ATTGTAAACAACCAACTTTGGAGTAAAATACAGAGAAAACAACAAACATTTTTATCATTTGATCATTTTATTCTGAAAGAACGTTCAATAATGAGTGTGTCCACCTTTAGCAGTGACGACTGCATTCACTCTTTGGCATTTTAGACCAAAGAGCATAAGTCGTCTTGAGATTGTCATCCTACTGATTGTTCTACACAGTGATTGCTTTAATTTTCCATGAAGAATGTTGAGCGTTGCATACCTATCTCTTAGACATTCTTTGCGGATTATTCTGTCTTCTCGTACAGAAGTACATTTCGGTCTGCCAGATCTTACACGGTCGTTAACACTGCCTGTTGTCTTGTACTTTTGATAGAGTTTTATCATTCCTCTAATTGACACCCTACATTCGTATTCTCTTCTCATTCTTCTTTTCACAGTCTTCCTTGGAAACCCCAAATCTCTCATGGTTACAATTTGCCTGCTCTCATCTAAAGTCAGGTTACGTCTCTTTCTCGCTGCCATCCTTCGTTACAAGTTAAATCAAATAAATTATAACATATTAAACTAGAATTTGAAATGATTTGCAGAGTCTTATCTCTAGAACAGTGACATTGGCAGATATTATTATGCAAAAAGCACATTGTATCGAAAAATCAATTAAACTGCATTTAAAGTTAACATTTATCTCGAAATAATTATGACAGACACTTTTGCAGAGGCCAAAGGTTAGCTACTAAGCTTACTGCATAGAAAAGATGATAACTTACGCTTTGATGCTGCAAACAATCTTCTCCGTCCTACTGACGACTGTTAGGTGACATATTAGAAAATGGATACAAAACTAAATATACATGTAAAGTTGGCAAATTTCGGTTACGTTTGGCACATTTGCATATAAGGTTAGTATGCATATCTAAAAAAACAATAGATTGGAAAATAAAATAATCTAAGGTATTAAAACACAGTACCTAACTTTAAGAAAGTGAAGTGAACAAACTTTTGGGATGCAGCTGTATAGTATCCAATCGCTTCTTTGTATTGAACATCCATAGGTCTTTTAAACAGGGTTTAGTGAAATATCTAAAATTTCAAAATCTCCTTTATGTCAGTGTTGTTTTAAATCATTACCTAAAGATATATTATTTCCCGACATTGCACCTAGCCAGATTTGATTGCTTTTGTCTTATCTACATTCATTTTAAATTATATAGAAATTATTTAATGTTTCTATGGCAGCTATTTTCAGATCCCCTCAGAAAGACTTGTGTATCGTCAGAATACTGTCCTAATTTGAGTTCTGCGTTATTTAGTGTAATGCCCTTTATGTAAGAATTAACCCTGATCATTGTATCTAATATTTCGACTACAAATAGGAACAGACAGGGAGAAACCGGGTCTCCCTGTCTACATCCTCTTTCTGACATACAAAATGATGAAATATGCCCATTTTGTAAAACAGATGCTGACGTAGTTAAAATCTTTATCCATTTAATGATTTTTGGTCCAAATCAATTTTTTTTGTAATACTTGTACAATAAATTGTGTTGAGACTGTGTCAAAAGCTTTTTCAAAATCAGGGAATAACAGTAGGCCTGGCCTGCTTAACCTTCTAGTTTCAAAGATAATATCATAAAGTATGCTTATGTTTTCAGTCATACAGCTTCAAGGAATAAAGCCTGTTTGTTTGTCATGTCTATTTGCATAACTTATGATTTTATAAAGGGAATTTAGCAATGTAATCTGGCGCCTGTTGTTTTACTAGATTTCTGTCTTTATTTGGTTTGGGAAGACAAGTGATAATTTCTCTATTCATTGTTTTAGATAATCTGTTATTTTTATAGGTTTCCTTCATAAATCTATGAATCCAAGGGCCTAATTTCTTCCAAAAGGACCAGATATCCATCGATACTAGTGCTCGTTTTATGTTTCATGGACAGAACTGCTGTTTCAATTTCTTCAATGCTAATTTCCTTATCAAGATTTTCAACTTCATCTTTACTTAGTTTAAGTTTTTTTATATTATTCATTTTAATATCTCTGGCTTGCTCGGTTGTGTTTATTTTCTTGAGAGGCGTCATTCGTGAGAGGCGCCAATAAAATCTGCTAATGCAGCTCAGTGTCCGTCGGGATAGGTTCAAAGTTCTCTTACAGCAGGTGTGAATGTGCTTGATATTTCCCGGACTGCATGTGTGTCTTGTGTTCAACACTTACCTGACTGCATGTGTGAATGTGCTTGATATTTCCCGGACTGCATGTGTGTCTTGTGTTTGACACTTACTTGACTGCATGTGTGAATGTGCTTGATATTTCCCGGACTGCATGTGTGTCTTGTGTTTGACACTTACCTGACTGCATGTGTGAATGTGCTTGATATTTCCCGGACTGCATGTGTGTCTTGTGTTCGGCACTTTCCTGACTGCATGTGTGAATGTGCTTGATATTTCCCGGACTGCATGTGTGTCTTGTGTTCAACACTTACCTGACTGCATGTGTGAATGTGCTTGATATTTCCCGGACTGCATGTGTGTCTTGTGTTTGACACTTACCTGACTGCATGTGTGAATGTGCTTGATATTTCCCGGACTGCATGTGTGTCTTGTGTTCGACACTTACCTGACTGCATGTGTGAATGTGCTTGATATTTCCCGGACTGCATGTGTGTCTTGTGTTTGACACTTACCTGACTGCATGTGTGAATGTGCTTGATATTTCCCGGACTGCATGTGTGTCTTGTGTTCGACACTTACCTGACTGCATGTGTGAATGTGCTTGATATTTCCCGGACTGCATGTGTGTCTTGTGTTCGACACTTACCTGACTGCATGTGTGAATGTGCTTGATATTTCCCGGACTGCATGTGTGTCTTGTGTTTGACACTTACCTGACTGCATGTGTGAATGTGCTTGATATTTCCCGGACTGCATGTGTGTCTTGTGTTTGACACTTACCTGACTGCATGTGTGAATGTGCTTGATATTTCCCGGACTGCATGTGTGTCTTGTGTTCGGCACTTTCCTGACTGCATGTGTGAATGTGCTTGATATTTCCCGGACTGCATGTGTGTCTTGGGTTCAACACTTACCTGACTGCATGTGTGAATGTGCTTGATATTTCCCGGACTGCATGTGTGTCTTGTGTTCGACACTTCCCTGACTGCATATGCGTTTGTGCTTGACACTTAACTTGCTGCGTGTGTGACGGCTTGATACCTCGCTGACTGATTGGTTCATCTTACACATTGGAACCGTTGTGTCTGATATGAGTACTAAAATGACAAAATGTGGGCAGCAGATCTTTAGCGTGGCAATGGGAGATTTGGAGACCCCCCCCCAAAAAAAACACACACACATAGACACGCCCACACCCACACCCACACACCCCATTTTTCGGTAACTTAGGTGTCATCTTATGGTTTGTGATTGCAGAAAAGTACTATTATTACTATCAAAATCAATAGGGTTGAGCCCTGATAGTGATTAAATCTATACCATTTCAAAAGACGTTGAGGACCACCCGATTCGTCAGTAACTATTGTTAATCTGGCATGGCATATGGCATATTAACTATAGCAATATGAAACAGTCAGGTGCTTCTTAACCTTTTGTGAGTAGCATATGTATTCAGCTGCCATTAGGGTGATACGTCTGTGCTGGCAGTCTTGCGGCTTGCTCACTTGGTGATGAACTGACGTCTTCAGTATCTGTGCGACCCGTGAAGATCCGAGGTAGAAGAGCTCTTCAGCAATCAAAGCATGCCCTAAATGTCGTAAGAGGCGACTTACGGGAACGGGTGGTGAGGCTCGCTGACTTGGTTGATGCATGTCATCGTATCCGAAATTACGTGGATCGATGCTCATGGTGTCAATCACTAGATTGTCTGGCCTAGACTCGATTATTTACAGACCGCCGTCATATAGCTGGAATATTGCTGAGTGCGGCGTTGACAACAAACAAATCGAAACAGCATCAACGCCTCCAGTAGCTATGCTGCACCGGAGACACGGGTGACTAAATCGCGCATTCACCGTTTCTTCCCTTGGGTGTGGCATAATCCTATACAGTTAGAAAGTGTGCAAGACCTGTATCACTTTATACCGACATTCCTTAATTTAACCGACATACTGTTCAAAGAAGCGCTTTCCTGACCCAATCACTATAAATAACAGCAGGGCAAAAGAAATATACACTTGAAAATTGGATTTGACCAAAACAATTAAAAAAGTTATCAAGACGTTGCTAGGCAGAAAACAGTTGCCGAAAAACATCCAGGTTAGGGTCCAAAACACAGCTATGATACCCGTATAAGATACATCACTATTAAATAACTATGTCCTGTTATTTCATTTTTAGCCACAATGGGTGTATACTTTCTTTTGCCCGGCAGGGTATTCACACGTCAAACAGATCCTATGTTGGCCTGTAGTCTAGCGCAGTAGAACTCTGCTGTTCGTTTATACAATGTCAATCGTTTCTGGGCGTAAGAAAGTGAATGAATTGACTCAGCGCCCACGTGAGAGGCAGCATCTAGAAACTGTATGGGTTCATGGGAGCAGCACCTATCGTGCAAGGTTCATGTGCTTATACAAAGACAGGTGCATGTACGTTCCACGTAGACACAGCACAACCCCGTCATAATCCAAGACAAATCGCTTCCTAGATTAAGCGATCCTGTCATCATGGTCTGCGTGACGCCAGTTAAAATAACATTACATCTACTTTACATCTTAAATAGTACCCTAAGCATGGCACGACAGTTTTATTACGTTTCATTCTATTTGTCTCAAAGGTTATCCAACCGTTATTAAAACCATTCCTTACAACACCTACATTCAGCTCTGTATGAGAAACAATACAATATTAACAAAAATAGTTATATTTCATGGGTTTTATTTACGCTAATGGGGAAAAAGATACCTCGTGTGACATATATATATTTTTATTGTTTAAAGTGTCAGTGTGGCATTGAAATCGTGATGACACTTTATACGCTCACGCAAAGGGTGGAAAGTAACGTAAGTTAAAATCAAAACACATCCTGCTGTCTCCATCTTTTGCATCGCAGTGGCCAAGGGCAGAGATCATCTGACAATGGGGCCGAGAATGATCTGGATCGCTTTCATGGGTAAGTCCGAAAATATTTAACAAGGCCGTGAAATTGCGTTTAGCTCAATGTCAATAGGACGACAAGCACATAAGCGACTGCAGTGATCTGTCGAAGGACAGCAATGGTAGCAGCGAGTGAGTGAGTGAGGTTTTACTTATTCGAGCCTGAGAGACGCAATGACGAAAGTGGAACACCAAACTTGTGCTTCACATATTGTGCCCATGTTGGGAGTCGAACCCGGAATGGCAAATTAAAGCAATAACTACTAGGCTAACAAAAGAACTGACGGGTAAAAGAAAATATACACTTATGTTTCATTGGTCCTGAAAATGAAACAAACAAGGAATGGTTATTCGATGATGAATATATTTTAGTTGTGTTTTGGAATTTAATTGTGCAGTGAGTGAGTGAATTGGGTTTTACGCCGCTTTTAACAGCAGACCAGTTGTATCACGGCGTGTCAGCTTAATGTGGGAGGAAAGCCTGCTCTGTGATGCAGGTCTCAGACGTTTACCACTTCGGTGAAACCCACGAGCACGGGTATGGTGCTGACAAATCAAGAAACATTATCGAGGCGAACCGGGATTCGAACCCACAATCATAGGTTTCTGGCGTGCCCAAGGGAAGCAATTCTGCACAGCGAATCGCGGCGCCTTAGACAACAGGGCCGCACTTGCCCCCTTTATTGTGCAGTGTTTCGGCGACTGTTTCAGGCCAGTAACAATTTAATGACGTTTGTAATTGTTAAATTAATTAATTATTAAATTAAATTACGCATTTATATAGCGCTACTTATCCAGACAACTGCCTGCTCAAGAGCGCTCAGTCGTATGCTCTTTTGAAGAGGATGGTCTTGAGTTTTGATCTAAAGGTGTTGCACCTGCTTTTCGGAAGGTTCTGTCGCCATATGTTGTTCTGCTGGTTGGTGGAACAGCAAGCTGTAGTTGGTTTGCAGATCTCAGTGTTCGGCCAGGTTGGTAAAGGGCAGTGAGTTCCTGGAGGTATACTGGGGATAGCCCATGGATCGATTTGTAGACAAACATGATCAGCTTGAACACGATCCTGAGTCTCACAGGTAGCCAGTTCAGCTCTTTCAGGACGGGTGTAATGTGTTCACGCATTGACTTCCGTGTGATGAGTCTGGCAGCAGTGTTTTGCACACGCTGTAGTCTATCCAGATGCTGCTGCTGGATACCATACAGAAGACTATTACAATAGTCAAGTCTTGATGTTACAAATGCATGGACTAGGCACTTGACTGATGCTGTGTCTACGTATCTTGCTATCTGTCTGATGTTCCTGATGTGAAAGTAAGCTGTCTTTGCACATACTGCTTACATGGTTATCCAGACTGAGTGTTGAGTCAATGATCACGCCTAGATTTCGGGCACAAGAGTTTTGCTCAACCGTACACTCCCCAATTTTCAAACCAGGAAATCGTACTTTGGACTGCATCTGTTAAGAGCTAATGATCAAGAGCTCAGTTTTGTCATCATTAAGTTTGAGAAAGTTGCTTCTCATCCAGCATCTGATGTTAGGTTAAATCTAAGTTTCAAATATATACTTTCTTTTGCCAGGCAGTTTATTCTTATAACTATTGTAGATGCTGAATAGTTATAATTATGTCTGGGTCTGATGAGTCTAGAATATGACTTTGAGAACATGATGTCACAGACATATGACGTCATTCTGAAGCTCGTCCCCTGACATGGTTCAAGAGTGTAACCCACTAAATGTTGCATGTCGGCAGATGTAGATGGTAGTATTCCTGACAAACAAGACTCGGTGAACTAGAGATCTGGAACTACACTTAGAAATACTTTATTGAGATATCAAAAATATTTTTAAACCATTGATTAATGAGAAGGCAATAGGTGTTATAGCTTATATTTTTTGCAGGGTGTCACGTAAATGTTTTAGTCTCTTACTTACCCCAAACAATATTTTGACGTGTTCACATTTATGTCTATTCCATTAAAACATATATTTAATATCTGGACAAACGTGAAGTCAGTGAATATGCATCTGGGACGGTTTTTGTCGTTATTTCGAAAGAACCTTTTAACGGAACATAATGGTTGTTGTTATTTTGTGAATGTGTCTTGTCAAAAGACAATCTCATTAAAATCAGATCTTAGTTTTCGCTATCGCTAAACAAAGATCTGAGGACATCCCATTACGGATCACGTCAGAACGACCTTTCGCGATTTTTGACCGACCAATTTAATGACTGACAAGAAATCGACAATAGCCAATCAGCTTTCTCGAGCTTTACGACACTAGTTTCAAACTGGCGACTACGCTTTGAAACATATTTTGACATATTCTCGATTAAAAAAAATTAAAACTGATAAGAAGAACATTCTGGAATGGCTTATATATGGCCTAGATTGTACGGATATAATCATAAAACCCGTAACTGTCGTTCGGAATACCCCGTGTTAAATATTTCGTGGTTGCATGATTGGAAAACACATTCCGACAGTCACTTTCATGATCTGGTAAGCGACGCTCTGATTGGTTGGATGAAAGGTCGCTCTGACGTGACCCTTAATGGGATGTCCTCAGATCTTTGTTTAGCGGTAGCGAAAACTAAGATCTGATTTGAATGAGATTGGTCAGAAGATGTTTCCATTGATGGTATGTTCTCTGTGTGCAGTTGCCGTGACAGTCGCTCACATTGATGGATGTAAGTATAGCCACACATTGTTTGTCTGGTACCAATGGGTATTTGGTTTAAGGGGGGTTTGGAAATAATTGGAAAAAGTATTTGGCACAGCTTTTTTAAAAAATAAGCAATGTCTTTTGAAACAAAATGTTCGCTCTTCCGTTCAGGGATCTATGATCCACCCCCATCAAAACTACATCGGCAAACACCAAAAGGTTGGTCCCCAGTGCCTTCACGAAAACATTTCAGCATATGACGAGTCTTGACCAGACAATCCAGTGATTGACACCACTAGCATAAATCTACGCATCAGGGATACGATGACATGCACTAACCAAGTCAGCGAGTCTGACTAACCGATCCCGTTGGTCACCTCCTACTAAAAGCATTGGTTACTGAAAACCAATTATAACCCTGGTTTTCACGTCGGTCATGAAAAGTGTCAAGAATGACAAATACGAAAACGGAATGTGCAAAGTATATTCACAAATATAAAATATATAATACAGTTTAGACCAGCTTTCTATTAGTAATATGCATATAGCAATATGCCAGCAATATCACGGCAGGGGAAACCAGAAATGGGCTTCACATATTGTACCCATTTCGTGAATCGAACACGGGTCTTCGGCGTGAGGAGCGAACCCTTTAACCACAAGGCTACCCGACCGCCCCTGAGTAGATCTATCTGAGAAACAATCCATTTTTTAAACAAAAAATTGAATTTGATCCTCCATTTATTAGGACGAGGTTTATTGACCATCTATTACTGAATCAGATAATCTTTTATCCACAATATATAATTCTGTACCTTCTTCAATATCCAGTGTTGATTGACAACGGTATACGCGTCTGTACCGAAAAGTTGCTGTTACAGTATATTAAAGAAGATGTTATCCATACATCTTTCGTCAACGTTGTCATCCGTCAACTTGTAAGAAATGCCTAGCAAACAATGTATTTAGCAAGACATTCGCACATTCCTCCGTCCCCTGTGACAAGTGTTGACATGTTTTCTGAATTTTCAATTTCAGTACACGTCGTAAAACGAAGTCTCGTGGTAAGTCTGATTACAAGTGTCAATTTGCATGTTTCAACAGTGGGCAAATATCCGCCCTGACCGTAATAGTCAGGTGACCGTAATAGTCAGGTGGCTCTATCATACTTGGTAATATTGATGAGGTTTTACAGGGTCATTGATATCAAACTTCGGAACCTTCAGATGTACAAGGTCACGCCAGAAACCTATGATTGTGGGTTCGAATCCCGGTTCGCCCCGGTTATGTTTCTAGGTCTGTCAGCACCATACCCGTGCTCGTGGGTTTCACCGAAGTAGTAAACGTCTGAGACCTGCATCACTTCGGGCTTTCCTCCCACATTAAGCTGACACGCCGTGATATAACTTGAATACTGTTAAAAGCGGCGTTAAACCCAACTCACTCACTCACTCACTCACTAACGTTATCTCAGCTGCATGTGTTTATGATGAGAGGCCTGTATGCGACTAAGGTCATAACTCGAAATGACCATTTGTCCTTTCGTATTAACAGAAATCAGAAGACCTGTTCTATATAGATATGAAGATATGTTCTACCAAACCATTTATATCAAAAAAGAGACAAACCCTTTCCATATCCAATCGGCATCTCTGCATAAAGTAGAGTGGATTGTACAATTCCGACTATATCTTGAGCATATGTTTATAAATCACTATCAAATAGTAATGATACCAGGTGTTGGTGAAAAGGTGACCGTATCCTGTCCCACCATGGCACCCGTCACAAACACATGCAAATGCAAGTCAACTGTTCACCTGAAATAACATTGGAACATATGGTACAAGTCAAAATAGGGAATTGCATCGGACATCATTTTTGTCACTGATGCGTCAAATTTGGAAATGTCCCCCACACGTCTCCCATAAATCTTTTTGAAAGCTTAACTGAGGCCTTGAATGTTGTAACCTTGATCAAACAACTTCTGAGCAAGAAACTCATATTCGATGAGAAATAATTTCTTTGTCATGGATGTAAAATAAAAATCGTTGTAAAATGTTTAAACCCCTTATTTTTTATTAAGGACGGTGGAACTAATGAGGTCAGTTCTGATAAGGCCTCGGCGGCGTCCGCAGCAGCAACAGAAAGTGCAGGGAAAGATGCAGCAACTACAGGGACCAGCGAGTCCTCCTCCTCCTCCTCCTCCAACACACTCGGGGCATCTCTTGTGCCCACTATTTCAAAGATGGCTCTGTCGCCGAGCACAATTGCGTCCATCTTATCATCGACCCCTGGAACCAAGGTCTCGACTGATAAATCGACCACAGGTAACTCCTCTTCTTCTACAGCTGCTGTAGATGCTAGTGCCTCGGCTACAGCTGCAGTTGCCTCACTCCCAGTTAATTCGGCATCGGCACGAAATGCCAGTGCTCCTTCACCAACAAACACCACTGGTGCCAACTCTTCATCAACAACCGGTACAAATGCTGGCCCGTCATCTAGTGCAAACGCCAGTTCGTCCTCCACCAGTGCGACCATCGGTATCATGCAGTCTTCGTCTGTCACCGATCCCAAAGCATCCTCGAATTCTTCTGTAACCACAATTGCAGCTTCGACGACATCAACAGCTTCATCAAATGCCAGTGCAGCATCAGGTTTACTATCCTCAGATAAAAATAGTGCAGCTGCAAATGGTAAAGGCACAGATAATAGTACAGTAAACTACGGTTATAACGAACACGCTTCTAACGAACTGACGGATATAACGAACTTACTTTTTTGTCCCGACTATTTGCTGTAGTTATGCTGTATATATGCATATAACGAACCACGGCTACAACGAACTAAAATTAGTGGTCCCTTTGAGTTCGTTATAACCGTAGTTTACTGCACTACAGTACTAGTAATGTAATCAACTGATTCCTTATTTCCTCTCTGGCTAAGAGACGACTAACGGGATCGGGTGGTCAGTCTTGACGCATGTCATCGTATCCGAATTTCGTAGATCAATGCTCATGATGTCAATCATTGGAAGGGCGGTGGGGTTGCCTAGTGGTTAAAGTGTTCGCTTGTCACGACGACGAAGCCTATTTCTGGTGTTCCCCTCCGTGATATTGCTGGAATATTGCTAAAACGGCGTAAAACTATACTCACTCACTCAATCAATCATTGGGTTATGTTCGGGCGGCCTTATAGCTAGCGGCGTTAAACAAACGAAAAACAAAACAAAACATAGTCTTCCACATGTCCAAAGAGCTGAAGGTCAACGGTTCCATACAATATAGTGGATAGAGCGTCCGCCCAGGGTGGTTCTATCCCCTTGCCGCGTCGTAACAAAAGACGCTAAAAGGTAGTACTTGTTGTCACCCTGTCTGGCGCTCGGCAGGAAGGCGATAAAACAAAGGCTTAAGTCTACCGTGTCTGAGTAGGTTATCCATGTTTATCCTTCGGCATGATATCTCAATGAATCCGGCATTTGTCCGGACTAGTACAAGCAGCCAGACACACGTGCATGCACGTCGCGAGATAAGTGCAATAATTTTGAACGCCACGTTAAACCCCATTTCACCTCTTATTCCACAACTAGTGCCCTTTAATTAGCTACAGGTAACGTTGGTCCTTATACAGTCGGAACTAGTCATAGTTTCACGGCCTCTGTTGGAGGCAGTTGTGTTTCGTTCCCTACAACTGTAGATTCAACATATTCTACTTCATCCACAGCTGCCTCCAGCGCCGATACCTTATTCGCGGCCGTTGTGAATGCATCACCTGCTCCTTGGACAGTTAACGCTTCCTCATCTGAGCCTGTCACTGGATCTTCAACCACAATAGCTTCCGTCGCTTCCACTACACCCATCACAAGTACCTCAACCACAGTCGTTGCTAGTACTGTTTCATCTTCTGCACCAAGTACTAAAATAAGTGTTAGTTCTCCAAGCACAACAGTGGCGCCTACATCTCTTACCTGGAAGAGCTCTGGTTCCCCCGCAATAGCGGCAACTGCAACAACTGGAACAAGTGCAGGCACCTCAGCAACCACAGGAATAGGTGCTAGCACATCACTGACAGGAGCCAGTGCCATCACTTCATCAGCAAGAGGAACAAACGCCATCACATCGTCAGCAACAGGAACAAGCTCCATCACCTCGTCACAAACAGGAACAAACGCCATCACATCGTCAGGAACAGGAATAGGTGCTAGCACACCACTGGCAGGAACCAGTGCCATCACTTCGTCAGCAACCGGAACAAACGCGATCACATCGTCAGCAACAGGAACAAACGCCATCACATCGTCAGCAACACCAACAAGCGCCAGTTCGGCGTCTGCGACAGGGACAAACGCCATCACATCGTCAGCAACTGCAACAAGCGCCAGTTCGGCGTCTGCGACAGGAACAGGCGCCATCAAATCGTCAGCAACTGCAACAAGCGCCAGTTCGGCGTCTGCGACAGGAACAAGCGCCATCAAGTCGTCAGCAACAGCAACAAGCGCCAGCACTACGTCAGCAACAGGAACAGGCGTCATCACATCGTCAACTACAGTAACAAATGCCAGTACGGCGTCAGCAACAGGGACAAGCGCCAGTACGGCGTCAGAAACAGGAATCAATGCCGGTGTCAAACCTACAGCTGGGGCAAGTGCTAGCTCTGCACAAACACCTCCAGTAGATTCATCCCCATCTGCTGGCGCACAAGTGAACAAAGGTGAAAAATCTACCTCCCCTTAAACATTACTTGTATCCTCACATATAGTACCAACTTTCAAATAATGCTCTCCATGAGGGGGAAGCAGATATATGTGTGGACTATTTTCTGACTTACATTTTAATCTCCCACACCATTTGTGACGAATGTAGCATTACACGTCACAAGAGTGAGTGAGTGAGTATGGTTTTACGCCGCTTTTAGCAATATTCCAGCAATATCACGGAGGGGGACACCAGAAATGGGCTTCACACATTGTACCCAACACGTCACAAGACCTTACTTTGTGTCAATTAGATCTATCTTGACCAATTGTTACGTTACAAACAAGTGACGTCAAACCAAATATTATGACGTCAGGATGCTCTTACAAACAACTTATATAGTTTCACAAGACGGTGATTGGTTGGATGGTGACAAGTCGGATGGCTAGATTCAGTAATAATACCTCCTTCTTGTCGTGTTTCAGTGGATACAAAGGGTGTCGAGACGACGTCTGTGACAGAGGCAACGAACAAACAACAGGGCACGACACCAGCTGAAACTCAGTACGTTTAAACATAAATATAGTTGAAAACTGACAATTTATACAAAATATACTTATGTACTTATGTATGCAGAAGGAAGGTCACTACCCTGAAACAAATGTGACTGCCTCCGTGGTCTAGTGGTAGAGCGTCCGCCCGGAGAACGGAAGGTCCGGGGTTCGATCCCGGACCGCGTCATACCTAAAGACGTTAAAAGATGGTACTTGTTGTTACCCTGTCTGGCGCTCGGCGCTCATGTTAAACTGCGGCATTGTATCTCAGTGAGCTAGCACTATAAATAGGCATCAGTCCGGACTAGTACAAGCAGCCACACAAACACACACACGTACATGCACGTCGCTATATAAGTGCAATAATCTTGGACGCGACGTTAAACCCCATTTTACCTCACCTGAAACAAACGTACCTGGGACTTCGTTACCGCTATGCTGAAGACATTTATTTAACCAAATGAAAGGATTTATGAACTAAACAATATTTTTGAAACGGATGACACATGTCTGTGTATTGTTTCATGTTGGATATTGATTATGGGGGCTGATATGACTACTATAAAGTGGTTCGACTTTTGCAGGAAAGCACAGCTATCGTTGGAGCAAATAAAAGAATTAGTGCAAATTTACAGCCTTCGACCAAGCAACTACGGTCGTTTCTTGGAAGCACTTCAGTGGCAGTCAACGAAGATGGTCAGGACTATGGACACGTGAGTGAGTGAGTGAGTGAGTGAGTGAGTGTGTGGGTGGGTGGGTGAGTGAGTGAGTGAGTGAGTGAGTGAGTGAGTGAGTGAGTGAGTGGGTGGGTGGGTGAGTGAGTGAGTGAGTGAGTGAGTGAGTGAGTGAGTGAGTGAGTTGCAGGCACATCGCGGCTTAATTCAGGATTAAAATCGCGTTTGTAACTTATCGTAGACGTTTGCCACATTGATGGAACCCATAAGCTCTGGTTTGGTGTCTATAAACCAAAGATCGTAATTGGGACGAGTGTAGGAATCGACTTTGAAAATGAAGGAATCAAAATATTCACATGATCCAGTTATTTGGTTTCAGATGTAGATCAAAACATATGTCCAGATGTACTTGTCCAAAGAACTTTGTGTTGATATTGTTAGAGAGGATTGGTGACAAGTGAGTGTCAGAAGGCCTCAACGGGACGGTTTTTGTACTAGCATCAACACGTTTCGACTAAATTTCGACTAAATTCAAATTTAACGATTCGGTTTGTTTCTAATAAATTGCTAATGGAATGCATATTTGTAAGTTTGGAGTTACCTCCCTTATGCCTGGCGGGAAGCACAGTTTATCCTTTTGAAAATAACCACAACTTGAAGGTAACTGCAGACAGACGAAGGACTTGCAGTGAGTGCTTATATCATTGGTAATTTTGAATAGGAAACATAAGAAATATTAATCTTTTTCAATGTCCAGACGCCGTCGAGTTATCACCCCCGTGGCAGCCACATACCAGGTGGTCCTCAACGGAGGTGACTGTGTGCCATGGAACAGCTTCCCCTTCGACCGCACCCTCACCTGGCAGGGGGGACGCGCCACGGTAAGAACAGCCCTCTCACCCTCAGGTGGTAGGGAGAGGGCACGGCAAGAAAAACCCTCTCACCCTCACGTGGTATTGGGGACGTGCCACGGTAAGAACAGCCCCCTCAGCCTCACTTGGTAGGAGTGGGGCACGGTAAGAACAGCCGTCTCACACTCACGTGGTAGAGACGGGACGGGGGATGGTCACGGTAAGAACAACCCTCTCACCCTCACGTGGTAGGGGTGGGGTGGGGGATGGTCACGGTAAGAACAACCCTCTCACCCTCACGTAGTTGGGGTGGGGGATGGTCACGGTAAGATCAACCCTCTCACCCTCACGTGGGAGGGGCGGGGGTGGGGGTGGTCACGGTAAGAACGACCCTCTCACCCTCACGTGGTAGGGTTGGGGTGGGGGGATGATCACGGTAAGAAGAACCCTCTCACCCTCACGTGGTAGGGGCGGGGTCGGGGATGGTCACGGTAAGAACAACCCTCTCACCCTCACGTGGTAGGGGTGGGGTGGGGTGGGGTGGGGGATGGTCATGGTAAGATCAGGGTTCTCATCCTTACCTGGTAGGGGGTGGCTACGGTCAGGACAAGCCTTACATTTACGCCTGGCAAGGGAGACACCACGGTAAGAGGGGTGCGTGCGTGCGTGCGTGCATGCATGCTTGCGTGAGTGCGTGCGTGCATGCGTGCTGTAAGAGCATCTCTGCGGTGACTTAACGCGTATCCAAATGTTATATGTGAATAGCAGTTAGATGTCAAGCAAATGTTATATCCATGACAGAACGATACGCGGAATCAGCAGTAGTCGGACGCACTCGTCAAATCAGTCAATCGCGAATCAATCAATACAGCATCTGCATTGACGGAGAAGTCCATATCCTTACTTCTTTCAAGACTGAAACTCCCTGATTATGTCCATCTGCCATCTACAGTTACCATACTGGGCAGAAAGATTGAGGGAAACATCAATTAATAGGTACTTACTGATGCAGTGTTGTCAATAAGCTGTCTTTTTAAACTATTGCATTAACATGGCTCCATATACCACACATATTATAAGATTGCGTCATCAAATGACGTCATTCACGCTTCATGACATCACGTCACCATGAGAACTTTGGGAAGTCCCACGCGTTTGCTTCTTTAGTGAGTGATTGAGTGAGTTTGGTTTAACGCCGCTTTTAACAATATTCCAGTTATATCACGGCGTGTCAGCTTAATGTGAGGAAATCCAGAAGTGATGCAGGTCTCAGACGTTTACCACTTCGGTGAAACCCACGAGCACGGGTATGGTGCTGACAAACCTAGAAACATAATCGGGGCGAACCGGGATTCGAACCCAGTATCATAGGTTTCTGGCGTACCCAGGGGACGCAACTCTGCACAGCGAATCGCGGCGCCTTAGACGACTGGGCCACCCGTGCCCCCGGGAGGTGAATGAATGACAGATGCGCTGAACACAAGGAGTTTCAGACGCGTCTTCTCCGTTGTTGAGGGGCGGTTGGGTAGTCCAGTGCTTAAAGCGTTCGCTCGTTCCGCAGAAGATCCGGGTTCGATTCCCCACATTGGTACAATGTGTGAAGCCCATTGCTTGTGTCCCCCGCCCTGATAATTCGATCCCCGGCCCGACAATCATAGGTTTCTGGCGTACCCAGGGGACGCAACTCTGCACAGCGAATTGCGGCGCCTTAGACGACTCGGCCACCCGTGCCCCCTGCTTCTTTAGACCATCATGTATTATTTGAAACTGAGGCTGATGAAGATGTAGTAGTATTTCCCCATAGGTTGAAACTTCCAACACCGAGCTGTGTACGTCAGGCCACTAAGTCATGTTTCGTTGCTTTCATCAACACAGATCCATTTCTTCAATCCTGATGGTCGATATGCCGAGCGTTGCCTTGGTAACCCTCTGACTGAAACCGACAAGGAGTGTCGTTTCCAGATCGTCATCCCCAACGAAATCATCACCGCGATAGACACGCCTGGATTCGTGGTGTTCAATCGGATTATGCATATTCAACACCGTGAGTATTGTCTAGAATCTTTACAATACAACTTTTGAAACATGAAGGCGCTGTAAGATGCCACAATGCTGAATCACGTCGACGTTTTTAGGTTGGCCCAAGGTGAGCGAGTGAGCTGGATTTAACGCTGCTTTGAACATTTATATTATGGCTTATGAGCTTAACGTGTTAGCTCAAAGTAAGTTTCAGACGCATACCGGTCGGTGGGGTAACATGGTGGTTACAACGTTCGCTCGTGTCGCCGAAGACCCGGGTTCGAATCCCCACATGTTGAAGCCCATTTCTTTTGTCCCCGCAGTGATATTGCCGGAATATTCCTAAATACGGCGTAAAACCTGACTCACCCAGACGCTTACCACTTTGTAAAACCATAGAGTTTACAAACCAAAACTAGCATCATAACGAATATGTGCTTCCTTTCCGTGATCATCGGATTCTGGTACGCCAAACTGACGTAATTCTACACAATACAAGAGCGCCGACGGCGTGAAGGTATCATCCATACAGTTGTAGTTGTGTGAGGGAGTGAGTGAGTTGGGTTTAACGCCGCTTTTAACATTATTCCATTTATATCACGGCGTGACAGCTTAATGTGGGAGGAAAGCCAGAAGTGATGCAGGTCTCAGACGTTTACAACTTCGGTGAAACCCACGAGCACGGGTATGGTGCTGACAAACCTAGAAACATAATCGGGGGGAAACCAGGATTCGAACCCACAATCATAGGTTTCTGGCGTGCCCAAGGGACGCAACTCTGCACAGCGAATCGCGGCGTCTTAGACGACTGGGCCACCCGTGCCCCCTGTTGCAGTAGAAGTAAAGTGCTACACCGAATGGATTAGAACGAGACCCGTGAAGATCCGGGGTAGAATCGGACTTCAGCAATCCATGCTTACCGCAAAAGGCCATTATGCTTGCCGTAAGAGGCGACTAATGGGAACGGTTGGTCAGGCTCGCTGACATGGTTGATGCATGCCATCGTGTTCCAATGACATAACATCGATGCTCATGATGTCAATCACTTGCTTGTCTGGTCCAGATTCGATTATTTACAGACAGCCGTCGTATAGCTGGAAAATTGCTGAGTGCGGCGTTAAACAACAAACAAACAAACAAACAAACACGATTAAAGCGAATTGTAATGTATTATAGCTAAAATGGATAGACTTATCAGTAAACCGCCCGCATGTTATCAAGAATCAGCGGGCTACTGTAACTTGATAATGCCCTCATATGGCTTGACGACGGGCCATTATCACGCCCGTTGTAAGGTGACGTCATAGGGTAGGCATAGGTGACGTCACGTTAAATAGTGACGTCATCTGGTTTGTTCTATGACGTTTCCATACTTGTAAAAGTGGGTCAGTGACATTTGTGTTGATTGCAGTAAAAAGTCCAAAACCGATATTGTTGTTTCTTTTTATTTGATACAAAATTCCATCCATTTTAGCTATTCGTCGGGCAGTTAATGGAAGACCTCGGGTTTCTGCAAATGATAATGCCCTGAAAAATAGCGTTACCCTTAAAATGACCTCTGTTTCAGTGGGAGATGTTCACACGATTGAGAACATGTTATCAAGAGGCCCCGAATTCATGCAGAGAGAGGCGACCATAAACGAGTTCTCGTCCTGCTACAACTAAACCTTTGGTAGTAGAACTACCACCCTGGCCTTGTTGACGCTGCCTGTACAATCAATCAACAGACATAACATTGTCACAGTGAATGTAGACGCATGTTCATTGTTTACAACGTCGCACGACGTACTGTCGAGATAGTCAAGGATGCACCAATTACATATGGCCTCCTTTCCAGGGAGTCAACAATATCACAAATATGTACATAACCCCCTTTCCAGAGGGTCACGTTGTAACAAGTCTATCTATGAATTCTTTTCAGATTCTCACGGTTGTAACAATTGCAACTATGAATACTTTTCAGATTCTCACGGTTGCAACAATTGCAACTATGAATTCTTTTCAGATTCTCACGGTTGTAATAATTCTATCTATGAACACGTTTCAGAGTTTAACGGTTGTAACACTTATATTTATGACATACTTTCCAGTGATGGTCAAACTTGCTTCATGTCCCATGTATCATGTTGTTTATAAAGAGAAAATTTAAACTCTTTGTGTCAATGTGTTGTTTGTGAACAGGGAGGTGAATGAATGACAGATGCGCTGAACACAAGGAGTATCAGACGCGTCTTCTCCGTTGTTGAGGGGCGGTTGGGTAGTCCAGTGCTTAAAGCGTTCGCTCGTTACGCCAAAGATCCGGGTTCGATTCTCCACATTGTTACAATGTGTGAAGCCCATTGCTTGTGTCCCCCGCCCTGATAATTCGATCCCCGGCCGCGTCATACCAAAAGACGTTAAAAGATGGTACTTGTTGTTACCCTGTCTGGCGCTCGGCATTAAGGGGCTAAAACAAGGACTGGTCGGCTCGGAGTCAGTATACTGTGTCTGAGTTGGGTATTCATGTTAAACTGCGGCATGGTATCTCAGTGGGCTAGCACTATAAATCGGAATCAGTCCGGACTAATACAAGCAGCCAAACAAACACACACACGTACATGCACGTCGCTATATAAGTGCAATAATCTTGGACGCGACGTTAAACCCCATTTAACCTCACCTCACCTCACCTCACCCTGTCCATAATATTCACAGAATGTATTCGGTTTGTTTTGTTGTTTAACGCCGCGCTCGGCAATATGCCAGCAATATGACAGCGTTCTGTAAATAATCGAGTCTGGACCAGACAATCCAGTGTTTGGTATCAAGAGCATTGATCTACGCAATCAGTCAGCGAGCCTGACCACCCGATCCCGTTAGTCGCCTCATACGACAAGCACAGTCGCATTTTACGGCAAGCATGGGTTGCTGAAGACCTATTCTACCCCGGAATCTTCAAGGGTTGAATTGGTAAAGACCGTCATACGACAAACAACTTCTCACATCAAGGTTACAGCATTCAATGCCTCTGGAAAAAGTATATGTCCAGTTGACTCATATGGAAGCATGGGTGGCCCAGTAGTTGAAGGTGCTGCAATTCGCTGTGCAGAGTTGCGTCTCTTGGCGATGCATATATATATTTATTATATATTTATTATATATTTATTATATATTTATTATATATATATTTATATATATATTCCTTTTCTAAACGAGTTCCAGAGCTCCAAATTGATGCACTGATATTAAAAACACAAACACTGAAAAAGGAGCTTGGAGTTAGACAAATGTCGAGTATTTTATCTACTTTCCAAGCCAATAGGGGATATTCGCAGATAGCAAATGATTTCATAAATGAAAAGACCCAATGCCATTCATGGTGTCTCACAATGACTTTCCCGTAACGTTGGTTCCAGAGACGCACACGCCTGTCTAGAAAGGCCAGGGTGAATGTGGACCCCTCTGTAACCATTAGACGAGACCATCGACACTACGCTCTAAACACCATGGCCACTGGCGAGAATGTGTTGAATCTTTTAACGGTGGTTCAGCACGTGGTCGCCGAGCATGCACAAAAGCCCCATGCATATCGTCTGGTCAGTAATTAGAACTCAGGTAGCCTCGCGCTAGTGAACAGCGTTTTAATTGGCTGTTTGATCTCGAGTTCTTAAGGCCTGGTTTCTGATCAATCGATCCCGGACTTGTGTGTTTGACCTTGGGCCCCCTGTGCGGGGCAGATCATTAACTTGTGTCTGCAGAAACCAGACTGGGCTGCAAACCACCGACTGAGATAACATATTGGCCCCTCTCGCTGATTTCTACCAGTTACAGGCATGCTAATAGCCCTTAGGGGTTCATCACGTAGTCGACGCATTCCCAATACGGAGAAATAACATGGTTCACATGCAATGTTTCGGGTGTGTTGGGGCGATAACTTTTGGTTCTGAAATCGTTCAACCTCTGTCAGTCATTTGTCACAGATGATCTTACACTGAACTTCTGACAATCGATCATAACATTTATATTTCATGATCCCCAAGTTTTAACGTAACGTTTCATCAGTGCACATTGGATATTTGCAAAGTAATTAATAAATAAAGCACAGGAGATACACACATACATTTCATATCTTAGATTCTGAAACAAATTCTGTATTGCGCGTTAACAACATCAGTGTTTTGTTGAAGACGTTGATGGTTGTTACGTGCATATATTTGTGAGTGAATATCCTGCGTGCATGTCGGACAAAACAGCAGACAATGTTATTGAACTTCAACGTTTCTGCCACTTAACGGGCATACTCGTAGCCTGATCTATGAGAATATGATATTAACCGCCGGATGTGATAAACTCAATCTACATCTCATTAAGAATTGACTTTCACTTTGTGTGAGTTCATTGGAGTATGAACCTTCATAGAGTGAGGGCCAACTCTATGAACGTTTGCGCTTACTTTGGACCTCACTCTATGAAGGTTCATACACCAAGGAACTCACACAACGTGAAAGTCGATTCTTATCATCTTTTATCAATTTTGGTTACCCCTAAGGATGTAGGCTTAGATCTATACACAATTTTATTTCGTACGTGTGAATTCATGCTTTCACAGACAGCCATACGACGACCAGCTGTATCGCGGAATAAAATAGTTCCTGAAAAAGAGAGCGAATATAGCTCAACTTGCTCTTCAGAAACATCTAACACATGTATTCAAATAACATCACCATTATATGAGAAAGGTATGTTAAGAACTACCTCAGCAAGTAAGTCACAATGACAGCGCGTCGTAATACATTTACATCAAGTACAAGACGTCAAAATGGCCGAAAACGGTAAACGTGACGGGAGGGATTTCGGAAGTTATTAATGAACCTGTGGCGATCAGTGAGAGGTGAAGGAAGATGTGTCAAATAGACACTAAGGTAAAATCATAGATTGCTGTAGACTGTCAGTGTCAGCCTAGACACAGATCGAGTCGATACTACGATAGATTGGATGTGCATTTCTTCGTTTTGTTCACTAGGATGGGTCGTAGCGAGGATATTCGTGAACGATCATGCAGTCGAACTCTCTGACGTTTCAAAATGTATACCAGAACGCTGAGTTCAAGATCAGAAGGCCTAAATGATCAACGCTTCAGTGTGCATCAGCGCAAGGGAATTCCCAGAAGATTCCGGGGTAGAATAGGTCTTCAGCAACCCATGCTTGCCGTAAAAGGTAACTATGCTTGTCGTAAAAGGCGATTAATGGGATCGGGTGGTCAGGCTCGCTGACTTGGTTGATGCATGTCATCGATCCCAATTGCGTGGATCGATGCTCATGATATTTATCACTGGATTGTCTGGTCTAGACTCGATTATTTCCAGACCGCCGTCATATAGCTGGAATATTGCTGAGTGCGGCGTTAAACAACAAACCAACCAACCAACCCAGGTCAAGTGACCGGCCTTTCGTCCAAAGGAAAAGTTCAAATTAAAAAAAATATTTTCCGTCACGGATTGTCTAGTTATTGAACAACCCCTATGAGTATAGACACGATCATAAATTTCGTAATGAGAGCTATTATTCAAGTTGCGTATCTTTCATGAAAAAGTATACAGAAGTCGTGTCCTGTTGACTCATACGGGAGCATGGGTGGCCCAGTAGTCAAAGGTGCTGCAATTCGCTGTGAAGAGTTGCGACTCTTGGCGTTGCATGGGGACGCCAGGACCTATGGGTTCGAATCCCGGTCGCCCCAATTATGTTTCTAGGTTTGTCAGCACCATACTCGTGCGTGGGTTTCACCAAAGTGGTAAACGTCTGAGATCCGCATCATTTCGTCTTTTTTCCCACATTAAGCTAATTCGTCGTGTTACACCGTGTTACGCCTGGGATACTGTCAAAAGCGGCGTTAAACTCAAGTCACCTACTCAATTACTAAATCATATATTTGATACCATCTCCTTGCTTCAACCAAACACAAATTACCACCATCAAATAACGAATTATGCTCGACATAGGTACATACTGCAACTCATCAATATGAAATAGCAGATCATATGATTTCTTTCGGATTTCCTCATGCTCTTAGCCGCCACGCCGTGATTTAACTATTCAAAGTGGTAATAAACTCATTCATATAGTGAAATGAGGTGGGGAGAAATGAGGTTTAACGTTTAGCGTTCAAGGTTATTGCACTGACAATACCATGCCACAGTGTGACGATCTCAGCGGTATGCTTGGGTATGTTATCTCAATATAACACTCACAGTTAATTAAATAAATTTACAGATAAAATATTGGATCTTACAATTAATAATTAACATGAAAACCCCCGATCTGCTTGCTCTCACGACCTGTCGTTTTTACGTCCATTACGTCTCTGCCACATTTACACTTTACCGATGTGCAACTTGTCAGGGTCCTCTGATGTGACTTCTTTTTTCTTTTCTCTCTCTCTCTCTCTCTCTCTCTCTCTCTCTCTCTCTCTCTCTCTCTCTCTCTCTCTCTCTCTATCCCTCTCTCTCTATCCCTCTCACTCTCTCTCTCTTTCTCTCTCTCTCCCTCTCTCCCTCTTTCTCCTCTCTCTCTCTCTTTCTCTCTCTCTCCCTCTCTCTCTCCCTCTCTCTCTTTCTCTCTCTCTCTCCCTCTCTCTCTCTCCATCTCTCTCTTTCTCTCTCTCCCTCTCTCTATCCCTCTCACTCTCTCTCTCTCCCTCTCTCTCTTTCTCTCTCTCTCCCCTCTCTCTCTTTCTCTCTCTCTCTCTCTCCCTCTCTCTCTTTCTCTCTCTCTCTCCCTCTCTCTCTATCCCTCTCTCTCTCTCACTCTCTCTCTTTTATTACTCGACAACAACCATCGGTGGTACATGGGTTGTACAACAACAAAAACCTACAGTAATAGGTATACAGCTTGATGGCATATAGTGTAGCATACGTCACAGTATAGCATTCAAATGTCTGAGGACCTTTGAGAGTTTTATTTTAAGGTACCTGCTTTACCATTTGTGAACAGTTTACGATATCTACTTAAGTTTAGCCAGTGGGTGTAGTATTCATTAACTCATTCAGCGCGTAAGGTTAAAGAGGAATTACAGTTGAATACATAATGGAACTCGTCACCAATTACTTGGCAGTCACACAATATACATATCATTTGTTCTCGTGATAGAATTTCCCATCGGCCTGTTTCTATTGGTAGTTTGTGCATGTGCCTATTGCTTGCCACTGTGCGCTACTGTCATGTATTATGTCGCAATTATGACTATTACAATGCAACAATGTCTCCTCATTCCCTTATGCTTCTCTTGCTCAAAAGTTGTTTGATCAAGGTTACAACACACAATGACCAAGTAAACCTTTCAAAAGATTTTATGGAGACATGAGGAGGACATTTCCAAATCAGTCACAGAAATGATGTCAGGTGTAATTCCCTATATTGATTTGTGCCATATGTTCACGTGTTTTTTCAATTGTTTGAACAATTGACTTGCCTTTGCATGTGTTTGTGATGTACCATCATTCTCGTCTGTTAAACGGCGATTAGGTTTAAGCCTGCTAGCATACTTTCTTTGTGCAATCCTGCGCTTTGGCACATTCAGCCGGAAGTAATTCCAGGATCCTTGCGTGTATCAATGAATGTGATCAATATATGAACTATAGCTGATTACACTCAAAGTGATCTCGGGGCGGTCGGGTAGCCTAGTGGTTAAAGCGTTCGCTCGTCACGCCGACATGGGTACAATGTGTGAAGCCCATTTCTTGTGTCCCCCGCCGTGATATTGCTGGAATATTGCTAAAAGCGGCGTAAAACCATACTCACTCACTCACTCACTCAAAGTGATCTCGGGGTCTTCAACAGGTATATGTCGAAGACTTCTTCAAATTATATGTTATTTTTAGAATGAACTACAGAAAACACCTCTTCTTCCACCTGACGGAAATAGCATAGTCACATTTCACGAAGTGACAATCTCGTCTCGCCTAACCTGGTCACACCGGAAACGGCTGCGGCTACGACGCAAGAAGACAATCCTCGTGACAGAGTTCAACACGACTGCATGACACTTTAATTGCGTTTTGCTGTCGACCGTAATATATGACAACAATGCCAGTAATTAACATGAAATATGTTTTATCAAAACTCATCCATTTGTCAATATCCTCTAATGTATCGGTGGAGCTTGTAGATTTCAGTTGTTCATATAATGGTCTATTGTAAGTAGATGGTTCAAGGTGTGTTCTATGTCTTCCAATGAGACACGTGGGTTGTGTCAGTATCATGGTAGCGAGCGCCGTGTGACCTGGGACTAGTGAAGCTGATCACCAATATGTTCACTGCCTGTTTCCTATTCACACTTACAGGTAGGTGTGGCTTGTCACGTTGTTCTGACCAGCCGTTTTAGTTCCTGCCAGGTCAGCTTTATGACAAGGACTTGCATGTACCATATAGGGCGTTCAGCTTACACTCGTGCGCCATTTTCGGGAAGAATGTACACGCACTTGACAATTCCGTCTTCTCTATTCTGGGTTTGCGCTATTGTGTCACTTGATTGTGGACCCGTGAAGATTCCGGGGTAGAATAGGTCTCCAGCAACCCATGCTTGCCGTAAAAGGCGACTATGCTTGTCGTAAAAGGCGACTAACGGGATCGGGTGGTCAGGCTCGCTGACTTGGTTGATGCATGTCATCGATCCCAATTGGGTGGATCGATGCTAATGATATCAATCACTGGATTGTCTGGTCCAGACTCGATTATTTACAGACCGCCGTCATATAGCTGGAATATTGCTGAGTGCGGCGTTAAACAACAAACCAACCAACCAACTTGATTGTATGGTCCATCGGTCACTTGATTATGTGGTCCATCGGTCACTTGATTGTGTGGTCCATCGGTCACTTGATGGTGTGGTCCATCGGTCATTTGATGGTGTGGTCCATCGGTCACTTGATTGTGTGGTCCATCGGTCACTTGATGGTGTGGTCCATCGGTCACTTGATTGTGTGGTCCATCGGTCGCTTGATTGTTTGGTTTGTTCTCAGGCCGCCGTCGCGTACGAGCACTAATGTCCGGCGTCAAGCTACAAACATATACATTTTATCATGCAAATTGTGTGAGAGGCGGGTGCTATCGGTAGGGAGGGACATGCTTACCATTTTATTGGACACGTGGTGTTATCACAGATTTTGAGTGTTCCATTCAATTTTTACCGCTATTTTGATTATTACTGTTTAGGCTGATAATCAAGATTGATTATTGTCTAGCGTTTACGTTGTAAATTTACAGAGCACTTATGGTCGCTCAATCATTTTTGGGGGAGGCATATTATATCTTGCTTATTTGGATTCACAGACGCATCGTGGAATGTCTATATATCTCTTACTAGAGAAAACAACTTTCACTTTTAGATCAACATGTTAATTGCTGGTAAAAATATAAATCATCATTGTCCACACGCTTATTTTTTAAAGTTGGATTAATTTATCCTATTTGTAATGATGAGAAGAATTTAAAATAACATCATCTTCGATTGTATTTTTGATGGGTTTTTTAAATGTTTGATATGAGTACAGGTCTGTCTATATATTCCTTTCTATTTCTACTCGAAAAGACATACAAAAATCTACTGCGGGCGGTAGAACTAGAACTAGAAAATTAGTCCATTTCTTTCCAATTATGCACCGTATCATAAAGTGAGTGAGTGAGTGAATGTGTTGGGTTTATCGCTGCTTTGATCAGTATTAGGATACACTGCGTGTATCATTAGAAGTGAGTGAGTGTGTTAAGATTTAAAGTTACATCGGCAGTAATTCAGCAATATCGTGACAACAACAATTTAAACATGCATCCGAAATATGTGTACACTTTCTAAAATACCCGTCAGGAAAGGACAGTACAATAACTTGAGTATCATTAAGAACAAGATGCGATAATGCAGTGTAATGTACCGCATACCTGTAAACCATGATCTTGTAACACCATTGGGAGAGTAAAGAATCTGAGGAACAACTCGTTACAAAGACACGATCTTGACTGAAACTTGGAACCAGAGTGATACTCATGTTAACGTTAAACAAACGTTTTGTGTGTGTCTCAGTCTAATTTCACTTATAACACGGACACTTTATGATTGTATGAATTAAACAACTTTATGAGTTGTATCGAATGATTGAACTCATCTATCGGGAAAAAGAAATAAACATTTGCAGTTTAAAAAAAAATACAAAACGTTATCGAAACGTTACTCTGTTGCAAACAGTCGCCGAGCTACTACACACTCCAAAACAGAAATATGATACCCTTATCAACTATATCACCATCGATTAACCATTCTTTCATCATTAGCCACCACAAAACATGGGTGTATACTTTCTTCTGCCCGGCAGTTTAACGATGATATAAATGGCCCGATGGCAACACATGCATACCACATTGAAATATACAGATAGATATTATTGATGCATTTCTGATCTGTTTTGTGTTTTTACCCAAATCACATTTTGTGTTGTCTCATTCTGGTTTACCAGCAAATTACTATGATGTATTCGCTGTGTTTCAGGATTATGTTTCTCCCAAATGGCTCCTCCTCCAGGTAAGCTAAAGGAAAGGTTTGTTTGTTTTGTTTGTTAGCCCACACCATGGTCGAGGCTAGACAAACCCGTGATTGATATTATGAGGATCGTTGTGCTACGATGACGTGCAATTAACCAAACTGGGAGATATTGCAACAATTAAATTGCATCACTGTGCTTGGAGATTATTATGACGTAATCGGTTCCAGTGACATCACAATGGCATCACCAGTCTCTGTCAGTTGATTTGGTTAGCTTTACTCCTTACACTCAAGACACTTGGGGCGCGTTACAAGCAACGAATCGCTTGGAGTAAGCAAATTTAGCTCACCCCCGTGCTTACGCACTTTTCCAAAATGGCGGCGGAACTACCGCTTGGTTGCCTTGCCCAAATGAAGAACGTAATAAAAGTCGCTCGATGAATTTATGACTACTTTGAAGATGTAGAGCGGACTAAGGAAGGTGCGATGTGAGCTGCCAATTTCCAAACTAATCCAGGCAAGAATTTCTTGTTCCGCTGTCAAACTCAGCCGCCATTTTGGTTTGAGAACGAAGCGATTTTGCCAGCGATTGTTGCAATTGCAAGCGGCTGGAAGTTAGCGTACCATTGTAAGGCGAATCGCTGTACATCGCTTGCAAGCGATTGGCTTTTAGCAACGCACCCTGGGAAGCAACTCTTTACAGCGAAATGCGGTGCATTAGAGGACTGGACCACTCGTGGCTCCTTTATGGCAAAAAGTCAATAGCGTTATATTTACAACTATGAAGGGATATGTTTGACCTGGAATATAGTTTTTGACAAAAACGTACTTGAAAGAATGATCTTGTTATCCTACAGGTCAAGCGGCATCAGCTGGAATGGCGGCTGCGGGAGGAATGGCTGGAGCCGGTGGAATGGGCGGGGCTGGAACAGTGGGCGGGGCCGGTTTACTGGGCGGAGTCGGAGGCATACCTCCTCATCTGTTGGGTGACCCGGGGGGTACGTGATCAATCACCGCAGTGGAAATCATAAATATATCAAGTTTAATAAATTCACAAAAAAAACTTTGCTGTTTAATTTTGTCCTACATGTATGACCAAATATGGACATATCTTCAATATGGACAACGAACATGCCAGGATCAGATTTTATTACGTAACTCCATTTACTCACGAAAACATAATGATTTGTAGGTCTGTTAAGGTGAAATGTCGACAAAGCTGTTGATAAGTTGTACAGAATTACATGTATTCACACAGGTTAGGTTTATATAATAACATACATATGTTGTCAAGGAGTCTCATGTTTAATCACATTTTATTGCGTTTTCAGAGAACCCGTTTGCCCTAGACGGTAAGTATATCCACAAAAATATATTTGATTAAAAATTATTAGATATACATTTGTTTTGTTCTGAATCATTTAAGAAATACAGTTATAATAATATGTTAATCAGAGGAAGAAATTCGACTAATTGTGAATGTTCAATTATCTGGAGGACAATTGAAGTATGTGATTCATTCTCAAACATAGCTAATCTACATTTTTTCTGACATTTCAAATTTGAAACATGTATGAATTATGCTAACGTATTATCATTTTCCTTTGTATAGGCATGTGCTGGAATTTAGGTAAGTTGGTGAGGGGTGTTCTTTTATATTTCTTGAAGAGCATATCGGACTTCATTATGAAGTGTTTACAGATTCGTTTTCTTTAATTTAAAAAATACTGGACCACAAATGACGCATCTAAAAGTACCTGGTAAAATTTCGAAAATTGAACATGCCATTTCTGTTTCAGAAAAACAACTCAGAGCCACATTGCCACGTGAGTATCCCCATTTACCGGATCTTGATGTTTGAGCTTCAGGAATTAAATAATATCAGGGCCGTTCCTCAAACTGATTTTACGCTACGAATGTCGTAAGTCTGTGTTACAGTATGGGAGTTACGAGAGTCCTAGCACAAAGATCGATTTGTGGAACAGGGTTTTATTATGAATGTCACTAAGTCGAAATTTATCGCGAAATATATTTGTGGTAATGTTGGTAATATTGCATGTAGTACAATAGAACAAGTTTCATAGTTATGGTGTCATTGGATTCGAATCAACAATCATTGCATGCTGTCAATATTATAGGCGCATCTCTGCACAACGAACTGCGTTTGATAACAACTGACCAATTAATATTTTGGAATATTCTTTTCTTCAAATTGTCACCTTAGCGTTGACAGAAATATTCAATAGTTTTTCTGTCTCATTCATCACTAAACTTACAATGAATTAATGTTCATATATATGTTACAGCAAATACAAGCCCCAAAGAAATGATGGGTAAGTACATAAGCACTGAACCGATGTGGTACCAAAGCTGATGATACAAATCTATATTACATGCATGTAGCAGCCACGATTAACAATACAAATAGAGGGCTTCCAAGTTGACTAGTCCACTGAAGTTGTGTTCATGTCGTTTATAACGAACACGCTTATGTCGAAGCTTTTAAGAGACGGATATAACGAACTGTTTATTTTTGGCCCGGCCATTTGGTGTATATATGCTGTATATATGCTTATAACGAACTGCAGTTATAACGAACTAAAATTAGTGGTCCCTTTGAGTTCATGATAACCGTAGTTTACAGTATGTAGAAAAAAACGGACAGAGTTAAATAAAGCTTATCCAAATAATCAAATAAACAAATCCTGGCACTTCGTGTCTGAACACATACTAACATTTAGCATTGTCACTGCAGCAGGATGGCATAATATTCTTAAATGTTTAATTGAAGTCTTTAAGGGACGTATTTCATACAATGCATGTTGTCACAGTAAGTTAGAATTTTTCAAACTAATGTTGACTTTTCAACCTGCAGTGCTTGTCATTAAGCAAATAGTGGGCTGGAAATATATCTTCTGATGTTTGCTGTTTCAGCTGACAAGGTGCAGTTGGCTATCACAAGCTTCCTTAACGGTGGGTGTACAGTGTGGTACAAAAGAAAGTATACACAACTGAAACAAACAAACAATACAGAGTTGCGTCCCTTGGGCACGCCAGAAACTAATGATTGTGGGTTCGAATCCCGGTTCGCCCCGATTATGTTTCAAGGTTTGTCAGCACCACACCGATGCTCATGGGTTTCACCGAAGTGGTAAACGTCTCAGACCTGCATCACTTCGGGCTTTCCTCCCACATTAAATTGACACGCCGCGCTATAGCTGGAATACTGTTAAGAGCGGCGTTAAACCCAACTCACTCACTCCAATTGTATACTCTCTTTACTCGGCAGTTAAGGTATATGTTTAGAGCAAGTTCAGTTCGATTTCTATTTTAAATATCTTATGAGTTGTAATTAGAGTTACGACATTCAAAGAACGGAAGCAATATCATACTGCAGAGATCAGAAATGAAAATTGCATCATGCTACGACACTAACTGGTAATGATGATGATGATGATGATGATAACTATAACTATGACGGTACTGATTGTTATGAACAATACAACATCAACTCATTTATGTTTCAGGCGGAGGAGAAAGTAAGTGTTTCTATTTCTGAACGTAAGGTTAAAAAGGGGCGATCATCGAAATGTAAGCAATGTACATCATTTACGATCACATACTCAAACGCAAAGGTAAATATCTTCATGTTCTGATTGATCATATCACGATATGACACATTGCAACAACACATGCTACTTAAATTTCATAGGTATTATTTGAACCAATGGGTGTGTGATTAAGTATGTTTTAATTCAATACAAACCACATTCTTGAGTCTTGAGAATCAGAGCGAAATTATTCTACGTCCGTATGAAAATCGCAAACCCAACTTTTCTTACAACTATTACCGATGACTCATGTTCATGAAGGTCTTATTTTGCCGGAAACAAATTTTCTTGGCCTTCATTTTTCCTGTATATATTTCAGTTCCTTCGACCGGCGGGGGTAACATTGCATGTAAGTACAATCAGATCACACGGAGGTCAATGTCTGTTCTCAGTACCGATCTACATTCAGTTCCACTCGGCTTTTTCCGTTGCATACCACTGCAACGTAGGAGGAACAGCGCAAACACGTACTGCACGTGCTACACAACGGTGTGCAGCATTAAAGGGGTCGTCTCCCGATAATTGTAATCGCAATCTGTCTCGCTCACGGGACGTTGTAGCTTGGGTTGCCACGGATATGGTCTGATAGAGCTGACGTTGAGTCAATTTTGATGTTCTTTATTTCGTGTTTTGAGGAGCCTTGATGTTTCGCCAATATCAGCCTGTCCAAAATTAGACCGCCTCCGTGGTCTAGTGGTAGAGCGGAAGGCCCGGGGTTTGATCCCCGGCCGCGTCATACCAAAAAGACGTTAAAAGATGGTACTTGTTGTTACCCTGCCTGGCGCTCGGCATTAAGGGGCTAAAACAAGAACTGGTCGGCTCGCAGTCAGTATACTGTGTCTGAGTGGGGTATTTATGTTAAACTGCGGCATGGTATCTCAGTGTGCTAGCACTATAAATTGGCATCAGTCCGGACTAGTACAAGCAGCCACACACACACACACGCGTGCATGCACGTCGCTATATAAGTGCAATAATCTTGGACGCGACGTTAAACCCCATTTCACCTCACCTCACCTGTCCACAATTGCGAGGAATGTGGTACACTGCTCCTGATAGGTCTTGCTTGTGGATGAATAGTGGTGTTCCTGTTGCATTAATGGTGTTCTGAATGCTGTTACTTCGCTTGAAAACTAAGTCAATGTTGGCCTGTTATAAGAACTTGTTAACCATACTCTGGACACCACTTGCTTGGTAACAGTGTCAGAACCTTCACCGAAACGTCGCTGCTAATTGTGATAAAGAAGTTGTTCATCAATATATCATATCCTTACTTAGTACTCTAACTTCTAAATGCCTCAGTGTGTCACCGTATTCCAATAGCGTGGGTCGATGCTTATGATATCAATCACTGGATTGTCTGGTCCAGACTCGATTATTTACAGACCGCCTTCATATAGTTGGAATATTGCTGAGTGCGGCGTTAAACAACAAACAAACAAAAATCTAAATGCCTCTCAAAGAAGTTCTGTTAGTCGGTGTTTTACAGAACTAGGTGCACAATCATACCAAAGGGACACGCCATAAGGTTCACGACCTGCATCAGGTTGTGTTGTGTCACGTGAGTTACAGTTGGAAAATAATCCCAATTATTAAGTACAAATGTCAGTTTATATTGTTTATTATGCCTTAAAGTGAAATTGACCAATCAGTGAGCAGAACTACTGACCCCACATGAGCCCCAAAATCGTCAGTAAATATGCAAGATGGTTGTTACTAATATTAGACCGTATACCAACAGCCATCTTGGATTTTCCAACACACACCTCACATATTTCACATGAAACTTCTGGTACATAAATTCCTTATTCGACACTGTTTTGTGTTTTTATATCATTAATTGTTATGTGCAAGGACATTAATCATTTCTGAGATCACGTAACTTTATTGTTAAAGATAATAGTTACAATTTTCAACAAGATTTGGCCTTTAAGGATTGAAGAGTAGTCTCCCTTTGACCCTTAATGTCAACGGTTGTACGATATGGTTACCAGACAGTTCGTTATGGTGTCTTTAGTCGCCGTGTACGGTGACATATCTGGGCTGATGCATCGCCCAAAATGTTCTGCTTATTTGATATGATACCGCAAACGGCAACTAAATATACCACTGTCAGTTACGTGCCACTGTGCGATGTTATAACGAATATTATAACTTCAGGTATAAGTGTGTTGTTAAACTACGGGTATGAGTGTGTTCTTAAACTTCAGGTATAAGTATGTTGTTAAACTCCAGGTATGAGTGTGTTCTTAAACTACAGATATAAATGTGTTGTTAAACTCCAGGTATGAGTGTGTTCTTAAACTACAGATATAAATGTATTGTTAAACTCCAGGTATGAATGTGTTCTTAAACTAAATGTATGAGTGTGCTCTTAAGCTACAGGTATAAATGTGTTGTTAAACTACAGGTATGGGTGTGTTCTTAAACTAAAGGTATGAGTGTATTGTTAAACTACAGGTATCAGTGTGTTCTTAAACTACATATATAAATGTGTTGTTAAAGTTCAGGTATACGGATGTTGTTAAACTACTGGTATAAGTGTGTTGTTAAACTAAAGGTATGAGTGTATTGTTTAAATACATGTATGCACCTATTTCATATTATTTTCCTCTTGTGCAGGTTTTATACGAAACGCCAAGAAGAAGGCTGGAAAAATGAAGGTCATGAATGCCGAACTCGGTAAATAAACATACAGCCATACATTGATTAATATCCGTTGATGTTTTCAACATATATATATATTGATATTGTCATGCATTTGTATTGAAACGTTCATCGAGCTATATAAAGTAAATTCATAAACGTAGGAATAATTATATTGATATTTTATTGGTTCTGAGCAGCCTCCATTCTAATTGGACAATTACGTCTTCATGCTGTTGAAGAAGTCGTTATTCCTGGAGATAACGTTATTTTGATAACGCTATAATCATATTGTGATGTCATTTCAGCTACTGCAGTCGCTGATCGAGTAGCCGATGGTAAGTGATTTTATGTTCGCTAGACGACGTTAACTAACGACTGGGGAGCTGTCTCGTGGAGCCATGTTAATAATAGGTCCCAGCTCTCTTTTACCTGTCGTAAACAGGCCACTGCACTGGATCAGCTGGTCAAATTCGGTGACTTGGCTGATTGTGTGCCATTGTACCCCATATTACGTTGCTCGTAATGTAAAGAAAACACACAAACAGACACGAAATGTGCGAGAAGGTTCCCTTTCAGATAGAATATGATAACTCTTACACGTAATACATAAATGAGTACTCTTTTTCGCAATACATAAATAATTACTTTTCCACACCATACATAAATAATTACTCTAATTACTCTTCAACGCATTACATCAATTATTACTGTCACAATACAAAATATAATTACTCTTCCACGCAATACATAAATAATGACTGGCACAAAATAATTACTCTTCCACGCAATGCATAAATTATGACTGTCACACAATGCAAAAATAATTACTCTTCCATGAATATACATAAATAATTACTCTTCCGCGCAATGCATAAATAATTACTTTTCCACGCAATACATAAATAGTTACTACCACAAGCAATATATAAAAAAATTATTGTCACACACATTGCATGAATAATTACTGTCACACGCTATACATGAATAATTACTCTAAAAAGCAATATATAAAGAGTTCCTGTCACACACAATACATAAATGATTACTTTCACACGCAATACATAAATAGTTACTCTCACAAGCAACATATTAAGTGAAACTGTCACACACAATACATAAATGATTAATCTCACACGCAATACGTAAATAGTTACTCTCACACGCAATATATAAAGAATTAATCTCACACACAATACATAAATAATTACTTTTCACACACGATACATAAATAATTTCTCTTTCACGCAATACATAAATAATCACTCTCTTTTGCAATATATAAAGAGTTACTGTCACACACAATACATAAATAATTGCTCTTCCATGCAATACATAAATAATCACTCTCACATGCAATATATAAAGAGTAACTGTCACCCAATACATGAATAATTACTCTCAAACACAATGCATAAATAGTTACTCTTACTCGAAATACAAAATTTCTGTCACATACAATACATAATAATTACTGTCACACGCAATACACAAATGATAAATCTTACTCGCAATAAATAAATAATTACTGTCATACACAATACAAAATATTGACTGTCACACTATACAAAAATAATTACTCTTATAAGCAATACATAATAATTCATGAAGGCCAGAGCGTTTGGTGGTAGTTCTTCCTGAATGTGGGTTCACTAAAGATGCCAGTATCTTCACCTACTCGTATGTGCAAATAAAGAGTGAGTGCGTGACTTGGGTTCAGCATCCAATGTTTAACAATTGTTGTCAGAGGAGGAGCCAAACAGGTTTTTTCTTGTGACAACACGTTTTGTCAGGATATCCTGCATGTCTTGCAAACAAATGTGGTTGGTTTAAAAAAATCTACGTTAAGTGCAAAATTTAAACGATACACATGCACTCACAGGCACACAGGCACACACACACGCACACGCACATACACACACACACATGCATATACATACATATATACACATACACGCACACATACACACACATGCATACACACATACACACACATACTCATACTCATATTCATACTCATACACACACATACATGTACACACATACACACATGCATACACACACACACACACACATGCATACACACATACACACACATATATACTCATACTCATACACATACACACACACATACATGTACACACATACACACATGCATACATACACATACACACACACACACTCATACTCATACAAACACACATGCACATATACACACGCACACCCATAGACACAAGCATACACATAAACACACACACACACACACACATACACACACGCACACACACAAACATACCCATACATACCTTCAAGTAAGCAGGAATGATTGATGCTCGGCTCCTACTACGAGACATTGCAACATGTGTTTTAATCTCACGTGTGTGTTGACATAATCAGTGTGAACCTAGGACTAGGTATGTACATACAGATCCATTTCATATGTTGTTTACCAAATTTTTCTTATTTCCCCCAGCTGGCTGCAGGATACCATGCTTCGGTATGTATTGACACGCGAATAATTCTAAAATATCATGAATATACGAAGTACGGCTTTTCCACCTCGCCCTTCAATAGGTGTATGAACGTCACATTGCGAGCTACATTCAATGTAGAAACCTCTGCTCGATGTATGAACCTCCACTCTATGTATGAACCCCCGCTCTATGTATGAACATCCGCTCTATGTATGAACCCCCGCTCTATGTATGAACATCCACTCTATGTATGAACCTCTACTCTATGTATGAACCTCCGCTCTATGTGTGAACCTCCACTCTATGTATGAACCTCCACTCTATGTATGATCCTCCACTCCATGTATGAACCTCCACTCTATGTGTGAACCTCCGCTCTATGTATGAACCTCCGCTCTATGTATGAACCTCCACTCTATGTATGAACATCCACTCTATGTATGAACCTCCGCTCTATGTGTGAACCTCCGCTCTATGTATGAACATCCTCTCTATGTATGAACCCCGCTCTATGTATGAACATCAACTCTATGTCTGAACCTCCACTCTATGTGTGAACCTCCGCTCTATGTATGAACCTCCGCTCTATGTATGAACATCCACTCTATGTCTGAACCTCCGCTCTATGTGTGAACCTCCGCTCTATGTATGAACCTCCACTCTATGTATGAACCCCGCTCTATGTATGAACATCCACTCTATGTATGAACCTCCAATCTATGTGTGAACCTCCACTCTATGTATGAACCTCCGCTCTATGTGTGAACCTCCGCTCTATGTATGAACATCCACTCTATGTATGAACCCCGCTCTATGTATGAACATCAACTCTATGTCTGAACCTCCACTCTATGTGTGAACCTCCGCTCTATGTATGAACCTCCGCTCTATGTATGAACATCCACTCTATGTCTGAACCTCCGCTCTATGTGTGAACCTCCGCTCTATGTATGAACCTCCACTCTATGTATGAACCCCGCTCTATGTATGAACATCCACTCTATGTATGAACCTCCAATCTATGTGTGAACCTCCACTCTATGTATGAACCTCCGCTCTATGTGTGAACCTCCGCTCTATGTATGAACATCCACTCTATGTATGAACCTCCACTCTATGTATGAACCCCCGCTCTATGTATGAACATCCACTCTATGTATGAACCTCCGCTCTATGTATGATCCTCCACTCTATGTGTGAACCTCCACTCTATGTATGAACCTCCGCTCTATGTATGAACCTCCGCTCTATGTATGAACCTCCGCTCTATGTATGAACCTCCACTCCATGTATGAACCTCCTCTGTATGTATGAACCTCCACTCTATGTGTGAACCTCCACTCTATGTATGAACCCCCGCTCTATGAATGAACATCCGCTCTATGTATGATCATCCACTCTATGTATGAACCTCAAATCTATGTGTGAACCTCCACTCTATGTATGAACCTCCGCTCTATGTATGAACCTCCGCTCTATGTATGAACCTCCACTCTATGTATGAACCTCCTCTCCATGTATGAACCTCCTCTGTATGTATGAACCTCCACTCTATGTGTGAACCTCCACTCTATGTGTGAACCTCCACTCCATGTATGAACCTCCGCTCTATGTATGAACCTCCACTCTATGTATGAACATCCACTCTATGTATGAACCTCCGCTCTATGTATGAACCTCCGCTCTATGTATGAACCTCCGCTCTATGTATGAACCTCCGCTCTATGTATGAAGCTCCACTGCATGTATGAACCTCCTCTGTATGTATGAACCTCCCCTATATGTATGAACCTCCACTCTATGTATGAACCTCTACTCTATGTATGAACCTCAACTCTATGTATGAACCTCCACTCTATGTATGAACCTCCACTCTATGTATGAACCTCCGCTCTATGTATGAACCTCTACTCTATGTATGAACCTCCACTCTGTGTATGAACCTCCACTCTATGTATGAACCTGTACTCTATGTATGAACCCTTCTGTATGTAGGAACCTCCACTCTATGTATGAACCTCCACTCTATGTATGAACCTCCGCGTTATATATGAACCTGAACCCTATGTATCAGTATCAATTTGAAGCTAAGTGCACGACGTGTATAATGTGTAGTTATCAGTTATAGCGTCACTAGTTAAATTGATCTAATTAACTCTTTGCTCTATTATTTCGTCCAGCAGGATGAAAAAGTTTCAATACTTCAACACTTTTGTTCGAAAATCAAATCAAACAGTGCTAGGTTTTTCTTTGAAATATTAACATATACTCAATCAAAGATACGCATATCGTTTGAGATATACCCTATTGTTTTACAGATGCTACTACTGGTATGTGGGCTCAGCCTCCGCCTGGCATGGCTCCAGCATCACTGACACCGGCTCTGACTGAACCAATGACTGCTTCTCATATGTTCCCCAGGCACCAGGCCCCGACCTATGATCCTAGAATGGGAGCAGTTGACCCCTATGGCAATACTATGGCTGGTCCAGGTCCTTATGATCCGCTAAGGAGCAGAGGACCTTACGATCCAGGGATGGGTACAGTTGGCAGTGTAGATCCCGGAATGGGCGGCATGGGCAGCATGGGTCCGGGACCATATGATCCAGCCAGAGGTGCTGGACCTTATGATCCAAGTATGGGAAGAGGCGGACCTTATGATCCAGGTATGGGAAGACCCGGTCCTTATGATCCAAGTATGGGGACATCCGGTCCTTATGATCCAAGCATGGGACCAGTCGGTCCTTATGATCCAAGCATGGGAGCTGCTGGTCCTTATGATCCAAGTATGGGACCACCTGGTCCTTATGATCCCAGGCTTGGCGGGGGAGCAGGGCCCTATGATCAAACTATGGCAGGGTCTGGACCCTATGATCCGTCTGTGGGTGGACCTGGACCTTACGACCCTGGTCCTGGAGCATTTGATCAAGGTCTTGGCGGACATTATCCAGGGCGGAGTGGAATGGGAACTGAACCCTACCCTGCCGATGTGGCTCCTCGATCAACATCCTCACATGACCGTGGGCGTGGCCTTCACACATCTCACCAGATGGCACTGCATGAGCGGAGGAGAATGGGACTGACACACAGAGGACCGCCGTCACAGATGGACATGGGTACTGGCTTCCGAGAACATCCACTGAGCAGGACTAATCCTACTAACCACATCACAGGAATGGAGCAGTCATCTCGTCACCTATCCTCTTCTATTGCCGACACTCAACTCAGAGGCTCCTCTGGTCAACAATCAGGCTTTGCTAATGCCGATCAAACAGGAGCCTTTCTAGGAGGTTCCAGTGGGCATGGTCAGTCCATGCCCGGCACTGGTACGAATCCCTTATTGCAAGACACTGCGCGCTTCTCAGCTGGAAATATGGCATCAACTGATCTTGGAACGTCTCCGACCAGGCCTGCTGATAACCAGTTTCAAAGAGCCATATTAAGGGATGGTGTTCCGACACCTAATCTGGCTAGTAGTCAAGCGATTTCAGGTTCTGGTACTGGAACTAATGCAATGCAGGCCTCAGGTGGTACTCACCTAATGGGCGACCCTGCTGGAAGTCAACTTGGTCAAACACAACGAATGTTGTCTCAGTCCGCAACACAGCTAGCTACAAGTCGCCAATCACAGTTTGCCTCTGATCATGCTGGATTTACATTTGACAGGAAACAATCTGCAAATCAGATGACGCCTACAAGAGTATCCTCAGGTATGTCCCAACAACCTGGTGGACTGAGCCAGGATTTTGCCAACGCACGGTTGCAGAGTGGTAGAAGGGATTTCAGGGATGTAGGGCTGATGTCAGACAGAAGGATGTCACACCCTTCCAGAGAGGCATCATTATTTTCAGAGAATCCCCGTTCGTCTAGAACAATGTCTCATTCCTCTGACATGATGACACATCCTAACTGGAGAATGACAGACAGATCCAACTCTCACTTCAATTCTCACGCTATGCGAGGAGAAACGTCAGGTAGCTCTCGTAGATCAATGCAGGCCATAGATCGACATCAACTTGTGGGCACTGGCTCATCATTTGACCATAGTTCCCAAAGGATGTCTTCGGATTCACCTAGGTCCTCTGACCGGATGTCAAGCTTTTCCCACCAGAGTATGTCGCCATCTTTCCCAAGGAGTAGAATGGCACAGATATCCCGGGTAGACACACGCGGATGGGGGACGCATTCACCTTCAAGAATGAACTCTCATTTTAATGATCAAGCTAGATTTGTGAGTTCGGCTGTTGGTAGCACTACAAAAATATTTTCAAAGAGACCCACGATCAATTCTGTCCATGAAACACCGGGTGTCGCAGAGGTAAGGGATCTAAAACTTACCGGGAACAACGGTGCCAAATTTGCAATGACATCGCCTGTTGGCCTCGGGGGAAAATCACCTGATGCTCTGTTGAGGGAAAAACAGACCTTATCGACATTTGACACACAAAAAGATCCCAAGGTTGGTACAGTAGGGAGCAATTCTTTGACACAAGGAACGACTCTTTCTGATAAGAACTTCTTTCACCGTAAAACAGATCTTCATTTAAACCAGAACAGAATTACGGGTAATGAAGAGAGTACGCAGCCAGCAAAGGATGTCCTTTTACCAAATATGGGCAGAAGTGCTCAAGGGTCATTATCTTTGTCCCAGGAATTATCACATGATGGCACATCACTAAAGAATGGAATACTTGGGAGAACAGGCAGCGATATGACTCAAACAACTAAGTCCACTGGAGATGTGACCAAGTTGGGATTAAACAATAACCGTCTTAATGACAGTATCACGGGAAGTGTTAGTGGCAGAGACACGCTTATGGGCCAAGTTTCTAATAAGGATCTCCATGCAGACTCGGTTCCACTGAGGAATACTTTACAGGATGGTGGTCAAAATGACCCCACCAGACAATCAGAGCAAGGTAGAAGTTTGTCGAACAATGCCCTTGGCAGTGATGCACAACACACAGACTTATCAGTGATGTCTCCTGACATGCTGACAGAGAACAGTTCTTCAGGCGGTGTTGGGGACGTGTTAAACAAAGCTAAAGGACTTGATAGTCGTTCTGGTTCTACGTTTACCAGTGGTAAACAGAATGTCACTGACATAGTAGATGGGGGTCGGATTACTGATGCGGAGCTTCTCACTAAATTCCGACTCCCCATAGTGATCAGTGCTGCGGACATCAATAGTCCCGTTAGGGATCCACACATTGACAGGTTTGGGGGTAGGCTGAGAATAACGCAGTCGCTAGGTGCAAATGATAAATTAATGGAGAAGGGACATAGTAGTGGTCTTAACACGCATGGTGGAAACCTCAGACTTGATGCTGCCTCAAGATCTCAATTTGCGTCAGAGAACAAGGCCGCCATGGACATGCTGACGGCTAACCAGGGTCAAAGTAACATACAGGATATTCAAATTGCTGTTCAGAGGCTAGGGGGTGGACGTCCTTTTCAGACTTTAGGGCCAGACAAGGCATCTGGTGGTGTTGTAGATACAGGTGTAGGACACGCCGATGCTGCTCTTGGGATGGGTACAGGACCTATTGATACATTACATTCCAGACAAGGAGCAGGAATGGACACACGTTCTGGTCACCCAATGGCAGATCGCCATGCTACTCATACGGGTTTCAGAGACGTAGGTCGGCTTCAAGGCCCTGATATGGGTATGGCTACCGATGTTGGATTTGGACACCCAGGTCCGTTCCACGGTGCTGAGATGGGTTTGGGACACCAAATGAGGGACAGACATGCAACTGATATGGGTTTTGGAAACGCAGCTCCGTTCCCTGGCCCGGATGTGGGTTTTGGAAACCCATGGAGGGACATTCATGCACCTAATATGGGTTCTTTTCACGGCCCTGATGTAGGGTTGGGTGCAAATCAAGGGATAGGCGTTGGATTTGAATCACATCATTCTACATATCAAATGGTTGATCCTAACCATGCCATGGGACCAGATCCATTCTTACTTAGCCTCCTCTAAATTTTGCAGATTTGATTGCAAAACTGCATTTCCTTTGAGTTAAAACTACTATTTTGGTTGTGAAAGTCGCATTGTACAGAAACGACGTGGATGGCATGATATGGCTTCTATGTTATAAAGGACTGCTAAATTATAATCTGTCATAAGGATAAGCCTACGGGTTCATTATTAGTGTGCTGAAATGAAATACGTTATGTATGATTTGAAATAAAATTGATTTCTATTAAAACAAGTAAATATTTTCTGTTTTGAAAAGGGTCAACATGTATGGACTGGTGGTATTTTTTTTTGTAAAAATTGATTATTCCAGCTGGGTGTAAGTGAAAAATGGATGCTTTGTCAGACATATGTTAACTGTCCAGGTGAACCCTGTTAATCTGGACCCGTTTAATCCGGAAACAATGCCTACCGAACGAATACAGTGGAGAACAATCATCAATATAAAAGGAAATAAAAGTATTTAGTTTCTTTAAAAAGTTAATCCGTAAATTTGTCAATCCGGGCGAGTTCGCTAAGGACGGAACAGTCCGGATTAGCGGGGTCTAACGGTACACCATGAACTATGATTCACAGCAGTGACATATCGTAAGTGCTGATATGGAGCAATATCATAAAAATTCTTTGCTGTTGGTGTCTCTATTCCTGTGACGTGCGCGGATGCTATGCAAGAAGGAAAACACCCTTTGTTTGACGTGACAATTAAAATGTCACGTGTCACGACCGATTAACGAGGGAGATGACACAGGAGGTCCTTCTCGCGCCGACGTGGAAATGGTCAATATGGTATCAGTGAGGATCCTTGTGCAGCCATTAGTCGTTTTGTTGACATTGAAAGGTAGGTTTACGCTTATTTATATTTTTCAATAATCAGTAGGTGTGCATTTGTGATTTTACCTGACATCAAATATCTCCAGCAATTGTTGTGAACAGGCTGGGAGCTTATGTTCCAGCTCAAATGTATGAGGCATTCCGCAAAGGCATTAAGTAAAGTATGTTTGTGTAACTGTCATGTTTATGAAAGTCATTTGTACAATGTTGGTGCATTATAAAATGTACCTGAGTTTGTTACCAATAACGTTGATTCAATTTCCAGGTGTCACCGGACAATGGGGCGGAGGTAACTATGCGTTATAAGTATTGTAATTCCTTGTTGAGTCAACGTGACTACAACGTTAAAACGCGAGGCATGAACAAAGATTGTTTAATTGACCATTATGCATGAAGTATGTATTATACATGCAACCAAAATATTATACATAACGTAATGGTAAGATGTATACTAGTATTAAAATTAATTTAAGAATCATATTTTTTTCATATCTTGGACGGATGATGTTTTACATGTTGGGCAAGTTTATGCATTTTCCCCACGATTTAAAGTGTATGTCATAACACTATTTACATCTAACTAAACAATGATGTCAAGGGAACTGCTAGGCAGTCCTTTAAGTAAGTATTGGATATGGCACATTCACGAACATGTTGTGGATCTCAGCTAAGCCTATGTGATATAATACTAGTGTACAAAGTTCCCAGTTCAATACAATATGTACAATATTCTCGTTTCAATACAAAGTTTACAATATTCACAATTCAATACAAAGTGTACAATATTCACATCTCAATACAATATATACAATATTCACAGTTCAATACAAAGTATATAATATTCACATCTCAATACACTATGTGCAATATTCACATCACAATACAATATGTACAATATTCACATCTCAATACAATATGTACAATATTCACAGTTCAATACAAAGTATATAATGTTAACATCACAATACAATGTGTACAATATTCACATCTCAATACAATGTGTACAAAATTCACATTTCAATACAAAGTGTACAATATTCACAATTCAATATAAAGTGTACAATATTCACAGTTCAATGCAATGAGAACAATATTCACAGTTCAATACAATATGTAGAATATTCACATTTCAAAACAATATGTACAATATTCACAGTTCAATACAAAGTGGACAATATTCACAGTTCAATGCAATGAGAACACTATTCACAGTTCAATACCACGTCAACAATATTCACATCTCAATGCAATATGTGCAGTATTCACAGTTCAATACAATGTTAACAATATTCACATCTCAATACACTGTGTGCAATATGTACAGTTCAATACAATGTGAACAATATTCACATCTCTATACAATGTTAACAATATTCACATCTCAATACACTGTGTGCAATATTCACAGTTCAATACAATGTGAACAATATTCACATCTCAATACACTGTGTTAAATATTCACAGTTCAATGCAATGTGAACAATATTCACATCTCAATACACTGTGTTAAATATTCACAGTTCAATGCAATGTGAACAATATTCACATCTCAATACACTGTGTGCAATAATCACAGTTCAATGCAATGTTAACAATATTAACATCTCAATACACTGTGTGCAATATTCACAGTTCAAAACAATATTAACAATATTCACATCTCAATACACTGTGGGCAATATTCACATCTCAATACACTGTTAACAATATTCACCCCTCAATACACTGTGTGCAATTTCACAGTTCAATACAGTGTTAACAATATTCACATCTCAATACACTGTGTTAAATATTCACAGTTCAATACAATGTGAACAATATTCACATCTCAATACACTGTGTTAAATATTCACAGTTCAATGCAATGTGAACTATATTCACATCTCAATACACTGTGTGCAATAATCACAGTTCAATGCAATGTTAACAATATTAACATCTCAATACACTGTGTGCAATATTCACAGTTCAATGCAATGTGAACTATATTCACATCTCAATACACTGTGTGCAATAATCACAGTTCAAAACAATATTAACAATATTCACATCTCAATACACTGTGGGCAATAATCACAGTTCAATACAATGTTAACAATATTAACATCTCAATACACTGTGTGCAATATTCACAGTTCAAAACAATATTAACAATATTCACATCTCAATACACTGTGTGCAATATTCACAGTTCAATACAATGTTAACAATATTAACATCTCAATACACTGTGTGCAATATTCACAGTTCAAAACAATATTAACAATATTCACATCTCAATACACTGTGGGCAATATTCACATCTCAATACACTGTTAACAATATTCACCCCTCAATACACTGTGTGCAATTTCACAGTTCAATACAATGTTAACAATATTCACATCTCAATACACTGTGTGCATTATTCACAGTTCAATGCAATGTTAACAATATTCACATCTCAATACACTGTGTGCAATATTCACAGTTCAATGCAATGTTAACAATATTCACATCTCAATACACTGTGTTCAATATTCACAGCTCAATGCAATGTGTACAATTTTCACATCTCAATACACTGTGTGCAATATTCACAGTTCAATGCAATGTTAACAATATTCACCTCTCAATACACTGTTTGCAATATTCACAGTTCAATGCAATGTTCATAATATTCACATCTCAATACACTGTTTGCAATATTCGCAGTACAATGCAATGTTCACAATATTCACATCTCAATACACTGTGTTCAATATTCACAATTCAATGCAATGTGTACAATATTCACATCTCAATACACTGTGTTCAATATTCACAGTTCAATACAATATTAACAATATTCACCTCTCAATACACTGTGTGCAATATTTACAGTTCAATGCAATGTTAACAATATTAACATCTAAATACATTGTTTGCAATATTTACAGTTCAATGCAACGTCAACAATATTCACATCTCAATACTCTGTTTGCAATATTCACAGTTGAATACAATGTTAACAATATTCACATCTCAATACACTGTGTTCAATATTCACAGTTCAATGCAATGTTAACAATATTCACATCTCAATACTCTGTGTTCAAAATTCACAGTTCAATACAATGTGTACACTATTCGCAGTTTGTTAGTTTACATTTATGTATCTCGTTACATTAAGAACAAAATGAATGAGTAGTTGTGTTACTGAATTTATGAATACAAAAAAATATTGTTGATAGGCCTATAGGATATAGATACCAAACATAGAAGGTTTCAAAGATGTCGTCAATGGCCAATGGAATTAACCTTGTACCTTTAGCCATTTCATGCTGAGCACGTAAGATATGCTGCATTGTTAAATGACAACCACCAAACAACGCCACATGTTGGCGGGGTATATTACCGGGGTTCCATTAGCCCTTCATTGTTTGTGTTCCAGTGGAGTCTATGGTCGGGCCAGGATTCATGGGTGGAGGTAAGTTATACAGCCATCGAGCTACTGTCTGTCTGCTTGTTTGTTGTTTAACGTTGGTTGGTTGGTTTGATGTTTAACGCCGCACTCAGCAATATTCCAGCTATATGACGACGGTATGTAAATAATCGAGTCTGGACAAGACAATCCATAGATTGACATCATGAGCATCGATCCACGCAATAGGGATCGATGACATGCATCAACCAAGTCAGCGAGCCTGACCACCCGATCCGGTTAGTCGCCTTTTACGACAATCATAGTCGCCTTTTACGACAAGCATAGTCGCCTTTTACGGCAAGCATGGGTTGCTGAAGACCTATTCTACCCCGGATCTTCACGGGTCTTGTTGTTTAACGCCGCACTATTCCAAGTGTATGACAGCGGTATTTGACGATTTGGTCACTCGTTTCTCCGGTGCAGCATAGCTTCTGAAGACGCTGAGGCTCCACCCTGCTTCTGTTGTTTTGTTCTTTGAATCTGTTTCGGTCTGTTCGTTTTTAAACGCCGCACTCAGCAATATTCCAGCTACATGACGACGGTCTGTAAATAATCGAGTCTGGACCAGACAAGCCAGTGCCTGACATCATGAACATCGATCTATGCCACTGGGATATGATGACATGCTTCAACCGAGTCACTGAGTCTGACAACCCGATCCCGTCAGCCGACTTTTACGACAAGCATGGGTTGCTGAAGACAAGACCTGATGTTCATGGGTGCCGAGCTAATGTAGATTCATCTGTGTCTGCAATGTCAATTTCCGTCACCTGAAGTCCGCGACAATGTAACCTCGTCATCATTGTATAATTGTTAGATTACATCTATTCCATCGACGTTGCTTCTTCTGGCTGTTTAGAGCACATGTATTGTCGTATAGAATAGATACATTACAACGTTATTTCAACTTCTGGTCGTGAAGAACAGATATATTGTAACGTTACTTTAACATATGGCCGTGCAGGTGAGACACTGGTACGTTATGACAATTTAAGTCATAAGCAGGAATCTGCCTTAAAAGGCGACTGTGCTTGTCGTAAGAGGCGACAAAGGGGATTGGGTGGTCAGGCTCGCTGAGTGACCAAATCGTCAAATACCGCCGTCATACACTTGGACTAGTGCGGCGTTGAACAACAAGACCCGTGAAGATCCGGGGTAGAGTAAGTCTTCAGCAACCCATGCTTGCCGTTAAAAGGCGACTATGCTTGTCGTTAAAGGCGACTAACGGGATTGGGTGGTCAAGCTCGCTGACTTGGTTGATACATGTCATTGTATCCCAATTGCGTGGGTCGATGCTAATGATGTCAATCACTGGATTGTCTGGTCCATCCTCGATTATTTACAGACCGCTGTCATATAGCTGTAATATTGCGGAGTGCGGCGTCAAACAACAAACGAAAAAAAACAAAGACATTATTATGAATCAGCATTCGGCACTATACATTATAATGGTTTTAACTCTTGAAACGTTTGTGTTTAAACAGGAGGATTTGGCATGGAGCTAGGAGGAGGAATGGGCGGAGGAATGGGCCAAGGAGGAGTAGGGGGTAGCGGGGTCGGAAGGAGTGCTGCACCTCGAGGAACGGGGGGTATGGGTATGCCAGGGGGATTCCGTACGTATACAGTATGGTCTTTTGACTTGATAGAGCGCATGTCCTCGAATACTGGACCTATATTCAGTCAGCTGTGCTGTCTACATTTGACAATGTTTGAGATACAATCGAGAATGATCGTTCTTCGAAGATTTATAAAAGCGTCAAATGACTCTTTCTCAAAAGTTGTTTAATCAGGGTTGCAACATTCAAGGCCTTAGTATAGCTTTCAAAACGCTTTGTTGTAGACATGATTGTGGAGGACATTTCCAATCGATGACAATAATGATGCAATTCCTTTTCTTGAACTTTTCATGTGTTTGTGACCAGTGCTCAGTTTTTCACGAACGCCTGTTTTCGTCACTAGATGATCGTGATTGATCAGCACATGTTTAGGCTTAAGTCGGAATCGTCAAATGAACCCTGGTTGGGCAGTTATTTCATACGAACATTGAACGGGTTTTGTTGCTTGTATTAACTGAATGCAAAAATCAAAACACCTAAAACATAAGATAACTGGTATGAGTTGCTCGTTTTCATGTGGCCTCTGTTCGATTCATACTTCCTGCCAGTACTCGGGGATACTCGGTGCTTAACGTAACATCATCCAAATAGTTCAGGATATACAAGATACCGTATTCGACGTAATAAACGCCCCGCTCTAATAAGCGCCCACGGCGATATATTGGCTTATTATATTTACAATCCCAATTAGCACCCCTTTCGATTGATCAATGTACACAAGACTTATTTATTCGTGTATAATATGCACTCGTGTGTTATATGCACCCTTAATTATCGGCAATTAAATTCTGGAAAAATATATCTGTCGTATATAAACATTTCAGGCTGTCAGCATAAACCACGAAATTTATCTTTCAACTCTGTTTTTTTCCACCAAAATACCATTCTAATAAGAGCCCCCTATTTCTAATTTTGAGGTGAGGTGAGGTGAAATTGGGTTTAACGTCGCGTCCAAGATTATTGCACTTATATAGCGACGTGCATGCACGTATGTGTGTGTGTGGCTGCTTGTACTAGTCCGGACTGATGCCGATTTATAGTGCTAGCTCACTGAGATACCATGCCGCAGTTTAACATGAATACCCAACTCAGACACAGTATACTGACTCCGAGCCGACCAGTCCTTGTTTTAGCCCCTTAATGTCATGCGCCAGACAGGGTAACAACAAGTACCATCTTTTAACGTCTTTTGGTATGACGCAGCTGGGGATCGAACCCCGGACCTTCCGCTCTCCGGGCGGACGCTCTACCACAAACATTCATATTTGTTCAAAACGTTTTCATGAACATGCTGTTCTGATAACATAATTTCCCTTCTCTGTATACAATTGCTTAGTTTGATAAAGATTCTGTGCCATGTTAATATCAATAGAAATTCTCTGTTTGTGTTACAGCACTGATGTCCTTAGACCAACTAGGTATGTGTTGCCGCTTCTACTTAAACAATGTCTGCATCTTTGAGTCAGTGGGAACTAATTACATATCTGAAGTCCATCCTTCTCATAAGACAAGAGGGGGCACGGGTGGCCGAGTCGTCTAAGGCGCCGCGATTCGCTGTGCAGAGTTGCGTCCCTTGGGCACGCCAGAAACCAATGATTGTGGGTTCGAAACCCGGTTCGTCCCGATTATGTTTCTAGGTTTGTCAGCACCATACCCGTGCTCGTGGGTTTCACCGAAGTGGTAAACGTCTGAGACCTGCATCACTTCGGGCTTTCCTCCCACATTAAGCTGACACGCCGCGATATAACTGTAATACTGTTAAAAGCGGCGTAAACACAACTCACTCACTCACTCACTCACTCACATAAGACAAGAAACCCATGAAGATCCGGGTTAGAATAGGTCTTCCGCAACCCATGCTTGTCGTAATAGACGACTATGCTTGTTGTAAGAGGCGAATAACGGGATCGGGTGGTCAATCCCACTGGCTTGGTAAATGGATGTCATCATATCCAATTTGTGTAGATCGAAGTTCATGTTATCAATCAGTGGATTGTCTAGTTCAGACCGATTATTTCCAGACCGCCTTCATATAGCATTATTGTGTTGCCTGTTTTCGTATTACCACGTGGGTAATAAAGTAGGTGTACCCCACATAGATATAGGTGGGCCACTTTGTATATATACGCATGGTCGATACTGTAGTCAGATAATGACAGACATGTCTGACGTTAAAGACAAAGACAATACATTTCCTTTTCAAATAAATACAGCAACAATATTAATTTCTATCGCCATGTTTCGAATAGTTTGCGATACTGTCGCCAGCGGGACGTTTGATTTGTTCGGAAGTGTACAATCACGTTGCGACAGTTTACCGGTCGTGGGGAAGTTTGTTTTGGACAGTAGTGTAGCGGGCTGAATCTGCATCATCAAGCCTTGTGTACATGTGATGCGCATCTTGTTTCAGCGGAGTACAACGAGATGCCTTACTTCCAGCGCCCTCTAGCGGCCCGGATTGCGTCAGCGCAATGGAGATGTAAGTATAGTTATATCTTTCAGAAAGGCATTTGCTGACAAGAAATATCATTACCTTTGTGATTCTATACACCTCGTCAAAAGTATCACAAATTGGAAATGTAATTGCGAGTTCATTTTGAATGTAGAGATTTTCATATGTGAACTGTGTGTTGACACATAATCTGCCTGTAGAATGGTAGCCATCTTACCTGCGAGCCGTATGCATACCGAGGGGGTCTCTATAAAGAGTTTCATGTTTGATGAAAGAAAGGTGATGCGCTTTTACTGCTATTAGTTGAATGGAAGTTCTACCAATTTGAAAGTCTGTCTTTGGAACGACTGTAACTGTTACTGAAATGCCTAAGCGAACTATCCCAGAAAATCAAAGATGGCAAACCATTGACATGCACCAAAGGAGCATGTCATATCGGGTCATTGTCACGGTGTTGATCATTAATCATGCTGTAATCAGTCGACTCATTAGAAAAGACACATTGACTGAACATGTGAGATCCGACTTTCCGAGATCAGGACTTGCACTGTTCTTCGTCATCACCGCCATACCTACAACAGAGAGCCCCTTAGCACTACAAGGCGTGGACTGAATGCATCAGGATGAAGGCCAGAAGACCAATAAGACGTCCACTCCTCACCCCAACACATATGGGACCGTTAAGCCTGGTATCAGGCTCGAGCACACACTAGAACCTGAGGTCATGGAGGAGGATTTGTTGGTCTGACGAGAGTCGTTTTTATTGCACCACACTGATGGTAGGACTCGTGTCTGGAGGCACAGAGGAACATCTCATCATCAGTTCAACATCCAGGAAACAGTGGCGTGTGGTGGCGGCTCACTGGTGGTATGGGGATGTTACTACTTTGATTGTAAACTTGATTTGGTCACAATTCAGGGGACATTAAACGGACCAAGGAACTAATATACCAGCTTTGACGTTTCTTGTTGTGCCTCACTTGGATAACCGTGCACTTGCCACACGTCCTGTCTTCATGGGCGACAATACCCGCCCTCACCGAGCTGTGACTATCGCCAAAGCAACGCCAAAGAGACTCTGCCTTGGTCTTTACCAAGACCAGACCTGAATCCAATCGAGCAGCTATGGGATCAGCTGGGACGTAGGGTTAGAACTAACTGTGACACAGGTACAACGTTACTGAGACAAGTTGATCTGTATTTCTCATTCCTGACAGTTACCATACTTATCCTGCCTCTATATATCCCCATTTACAGTCCTTGTAGTCGCTGGGGAATAAAGTTGTGTTTTTCTTGCTAATGCTCATTTTCCCCTATAATTCAGAAAAATACCATGAAGTATTGCTTTTGTTTCGCTTTCCAGCTTCTACTTACCCATTTCTTTTCTGATTCTCAAAACATATTGATGGCGCGATACTTTTGACGAGGTGTATATATACACAGCTACGACATTTTCAATTCATGATGGGGCGGTCGGGTAGCCTAGCTAATGGTTAAAGCTTTCACTCGTCACGTCGAAGACCTGGGTTCGTTTCCCGACATGTATACAATGTGTGAAGCCCATTTCTGGTGTCCCCGCCGTGATATTGCTGGAATATTGCTAAAAGCGGTGTAAAACCACACTCACTCACTTCAATACATGATTTTAGTTTATACAGACTTTCTAGATAAAATTACTAGCAATGCACAGTGGATTCACAAGTTGAACGCCCACTGTAGTGCAGGTCTTAGGCATTTATCATTTCGGTGAAACCTACTAGCACAGCTATGGTGCTGACAAACCAAGGATAATTATCGGGAATTCGAATCCGAACTCATATGATCCGGGCACATATAAGGGATTCAACTCTGCAAAGTAGGTTGTGTCGGCAAAGGCAACTGGCCCACCAGAGCCCCAGCACTTCAAGTGGGTGTCATTGTACAATCAAATACGACATGACTGTGCATGTGTCATCGTTTTCTATTTAATTCCCTTACACTAATCGTTAAAAGGGGCAGTCGGGTAGCCTAGTGGGTTAAAGCGTTCGCTCGTCACGCCGAAAACCCTGGTTTGATTCCCGACATGGGTACAATGTGTGAAGCCCATTTCTGGTGTCCCCCGCTGTGATATTGCTGGAATATTGCTAAAAGCGGTGTAAAACAATACTCACTCACTCACTCACTAATCGTGAAAAGTTAGAAGCTTTAACAAAACTTAAGAAAATGTTGTATATTGTCATATTGCCAGGGACTTTTGAAGCGTTCTGTCTGCCTCAATCAATCAGTGATACATACTGTCGTTTCACTCCTAGGATTAAAATATGTGAAATACAAACCTTACAAATAGCAAGATTACATATGATCCCCTGACCTCATGGCGGTATCAGGTCGTTCCATGATATACGCGGGTTATGGCAAGCCATATGTTATCTACATATCCTTGTACACAGGTGTCTGTCCTTGTACACAGGTGTCTATGCTTTACACACATGTGTCTATCCTTGTACACACGTGTCTATCCTTGTACACACGTGTCTATCCTTGTACAAACGTGTCTATCCTTGTACACATGTGTCTATCCTTGTACACACGTTTCTATCCTTGCACACAGGGGTCTATCCTTGTACACAGGTGTCTATCCTTGCACACAGGTGTCTATCCTTGTACACACGTGTCTATCCTTGTACACAGGTGTCTGTCCTTGTACATAGGTGTCTATCCTTGTACACACGTGTCTATCCTTGTACACACGTGTCTATCCTTGCACACACGTGTCTATCCTTGTACACACGTGTCTATCCTTGTACACATATGTCTATCCTTAAACACACGTGTCTATGCCTGTTTCTAGCCCAGATGCCGTCTATGCTAGGACCGGATCCGCTCCAAGGGGGATGTAAGTTTCTGTCCCAAATATTGCTGGAATCTACAGTACCTCAGCCACAAGCAGCAATGTGATGTGATACACTGCCATCTCCCATAGCTCATGTCACGTCTCGAAATAAAACCCTTACAATAACCATAGGAAATATCTGCTTAAACCAGGGTCCATTATATGATTCCGACCGTATCATAAGCATTCGTTTATGATGAATATTAGGATGACACTAGGTGTTCACGGATAACCGTACCCACTATAGTAATCACTATTACCCAACGACTGAAAGCTGTTTATCAAACCTGGAGTCAGAAATTCATAAATGGTTTTATCTGAAGCGTTCGGCCGGCATAATTGCTGTATACGAAAAGCTGAATTTGTAAATGTGAGAAGGTTCAAGCAGTGCAACCATGCTGACGTACTGTAGATTCTTATGTCCCTGGGTACCTTGACCCGTTGTGTTGGTGTATGCTATCTCACACATCGCATCACCAGCAAGACATGTTGTTGGAAAACCTTTAACTCACATTTGCCATTTGTTTCGACATCTTTCTCAATTGAAGAATACTAACATAAAAGCATTGACAACGTCAATACCGATTGAAAGTATCGTGGTGTTGTAAGATAAAAAACAGCAATTAGAATATAATAAATATATTTACAGATAAATTAACTTTATTGTGGATATTTAAAAAAAATTGATTTGATTATTTATCGCTTTTGTAATATGATGGATATATGAATGGTAATTTATTCGATCGTATCCGACATCAAAATTAACATCGTTTTATATATACATTGAAACCTCTTTATCTCGAAGTCGACTTCAGTCAAACTGTCGATAAATAATGTGTGTGAAGCGGTTATGGGGTACCGTAAACTGTTACGCTGGAATATATTCCTGTTGAGAAAACCACTACGATATGTGAGGCATACTAATACGCTCCATAAACACGAGGCATTGTGTGAAGAAGCCAATCAACGCGTTTTTTGTGTCATTGGTGGCTTAAATTCTGTAACATAAAGCATATCGCCTTATACGCTGTAAGTTCGAGTTCGCGTTGACGAGGTTTCGTTGTATGCAGTGTGTACTTGTGTGTTGTGTTGTGAAACGATTACTTGGAGATGGTCCTTATGTTCGTCCTTTCTTGCAGGGCAGCTCCTTGGGCGTAAGTGACACTAGCATAGATGACGGTGTCTTGGTTTGAGGAAACGTTAGACAAACAAAAACACTGGCAAAGAAGTGGAAATACTAACAAACTCTTTTTATTTATACGTGTCGTCATTAACGAAATAAAGTATTGGAAATACCAATCCAAAGTTCTGCAGTTTGTCCCGTATTGAAGGTGGTCTATGCTGAATCGCGGATGTGCTAGGTTGAAACACTGAAGTAGAACACAGATTACATTTATATTGCACGACTTTATATTGTTTAAGTAAAACATTGGAGGAAGCAGGCATAAATTAATGCCACGTGGGCTAAGTATTTTGAAGTCATCATGAGAAATCCTTCATGAAAGTGACACCGTAATTTGTTAAGGACTGTTTGCTATGTGAAATTCATGAACGATGTGATAAGTACATATATTTCGTGATCTAAATGATGTCTGTCATAGAGACATGGTTAACGCTTCCGAAGCCAATACATTTATCAGGATATAGCATCATTCATTTTTATAGCAACCCCGACGGTCACAGAGAAGCCTAAACGGTATATGTGTGAGTATACTTCTGTAGCTATACTTCATGTGTTGCTATACTAACCTGTCCAGCTAATTAATGTTGTCATATACACGAACGTGCGACCATTTGATATTCTTAAGGGGACCTATGGTTTTGGAGAACATAAAGCTGTTCCCGAGAATGAGTCCCAAGATATTGTGTCCCCGGGTTCTAGGTCAAACTGGAGATGCTGGAGCAAATAATGGGTAGTGGGGCCAAGAAATATGATTTGCTACTTCTTTCAGAGAAACGTGATGAATGCCAGTGAGCAATGGTTTAAAAAAATCTGACTCAAGATCCTACGGCCAAGTACACTATTTAAATGGTCATTAATCTGTTTTGAAATATATCAACATTAATGGTATCAATATTGTCAAGCATTCTCTTTCATTTATGCTAGTTTTATTGTCATTATTCTTGAAACAAGATGCGTTCTGTGAATCCTGAATCTAAACAGATTGATTTGCTAAATTTATTTATTTCGTCTAGAAATGTGGATTTAGGGGAAAATAAGGAATAATTTATTTATATCGTTGCCACGTTGTAGTGCAGGTTTCGATAGTTGAACATGTGTTAATGCGAACACTGGAACGTAAAGATGCTATCACCGATTCAGTTGTTTTGTTCTGTCATATGATCATATTTTCCAGATCCAAGACTAGGGAATGAACCAAAAGGTACGTTGTAGACATTATTCAAACAAATGCGTATGAAAGACTTGATACCTGATTCATCTCCAGCTCCTTTTGAGGTGAAAGTGGGTTTAACGTCGCGCGTCCAAGATTATTGCACTTATATATGCACGTGTGTGTGTGTGTCGGTGTTTGTGTGTGGCTGCGTGTACTAGTCCGGACTTATGCCGGTTTTATAGTGCTAAGCCCACTGAGATACCATGCCGCAGTTGAACATGAATACCCCACTCAGACACAGTCTACTGACTCCGAGACGATCCGTCCTTGTTTAAGACCATTAGTGTCGATTGCCAGGCAGGGTAACAACAAGTACCATACTTTAACGTCTTTGGTTATGACGCGGCCGCGTGCTCCTGTTGAAATGAAAAAAAATAGTGGATAAAAGTTTTTATTCTACTTTGCTATTTTTTAACAAATTAAAATGCCATACCACATTGTTATAATATGGGTGTAAATAAAAAGGTTTCTAGATACATTGACTATGCTACATTTGTAAACTGTACAAGTGTTGCATAGAAGTGTAATAGTGTAATATTTCTTCTGTTGTTAGTCAAACTCACCAGGTTCCGTATCGCATTGGTTTTGTTGTATTTCTCTACTAAAACGAGAAAAGAAAGACAATTGACTAATTATGTTAAGATCATTTGTTTGATAGGCATTACTAAGAAGTTGATGGATTACAAAGTAGATACAATTTATGGATAACAACTTCAGTAAAAAGCGACGTTTCGGTATAGATTCTTAAACCGTTGCAAGCAAGACTGAATGAGGAACATTGTACAGGATATATACAGTAGGTGGAGGATGAACATTAGAGGTTTTACAGTAACAACAATTGTATACATGAGTGGGACAACAGGAGGAGGAGTAATGACAACAGAAGGATAATACTGTCACAACACGATGGACAGAGAACACATAGGTGGAAGCCAATTGGACATGAAGCCAATTAAACAGGATAAGTGATTTTTGGTTAATGAGTTCATAGTAGACGGATGGGATGAAATAGCCTCGATCTCTGTTGATTGATGGCTTGTGGTGGCGAATGTGGACTGCTTCTGTTAGTTTTCTTTTAGTGAAATAATGGAGATTGTTGGAGAGGATTTAGACGTTGTCCCAGTGTTGTGATTAGGACAGTTGCTGATATGGTCCGAGATGGCTGATTTACTGTCTGATTTGATGGTTGAGGTTTTGTGCTCTCTGATTCTGTTGTCGATGGGGCGGGATGTTTATCCATAAATTGTGTCTACTTTGTGATGTTAAGATCAGTTCTGTTTCAAAACTAAGGAGAACATGTATATTTTCATAACACCATAACATATCCCTGAACATACCACTGTGCTGTTTCAGGTCCCGTTGGTCCAGACAAACATGGTAAGAATTCAGAATTACTAATTATTAAATTGTCACTGTCAATTCCATGGATATATTTTACAAACAAACGTACAGGCGCCCCTTGCCACATGGGTAATTCTCTGTGTCGTTTAATTGTGTGTTCTTTATAAAACAAATTGTGATTATGTTTTGGACACTAATGTGAATATTATCCTTTTATTTAATTTTCGTATAGCACCTGGTACTATCACTGATTTTCAGTGATCCATTTTAACATATTCACCACTAGTGTGCCTTTAAGGCCTAATAGAATCTCTTGACTAATTATTCTTTGGCGTTTACGTTTCACATTTAACACTAATCTTGCAATTGGTTGTGGTGTTCATAAATGGGTTGCAGAAATATCACCAATAGAATCTATTCTTTTGTAGCATGGAAAAAGCTCAAGGCTACCTTTGGTGAGTATTTCTAAAGACGATGTCACATTACTGATGACAAGATGGTATAGGTGGTGAACATCACGTGTTCTGATATTAAGAACGTGTCGATGTAGACTCTTACATCAAGCAAGTGCTGTATGACGTAAGTTACCAAAGCATACCCCACTTGTAAATGCTTCTCAAAGATCAAGGGTTACATATGTTGTAACGTATTAGCATTAATACTTTACTTTTACCACCGGTAAGACAGGCTTACCCTTTCCCGAAAGCCTGATGTCAACCCTGGTTTTCAGTCATTCAACAGCTATTTTGCCTTTTACGCCCGATTGAATCTGGTTTCTCTTCTGGTCGAGATTGGTTGTCATCTGGCATTATTCTTTTTTTCTTTTTTTTTTTCTTTTATTGTTTTTAGAAAGACGCACCTGTTACATAAATGGGCTTCCGCCCAGGGTAGCAGAAAGCCCATGACATAAAGCACAACTTATCAGTACATCTTACTTTGTTGTTTTTTTTTACAAAAAATAACATACTTCTCACTCACACTCACTCTTGTTTATATATCATATTGCAGTTTAGGAAAGTACATGGTCTCAAACATTAAAATCTTAAGTACAAAACTAAAATTAAATTGAAAGCTGCTCCTCATTTTCGAAAAGTTGATGATACAGCATCCAAGCACCATAGAATTTCTGTTGATTACCTGTCTTCAAAGCAATATCTTTTTCAATGTTGTATCGTGAAAAAGCTATCTGGCATTATTCTTTATATTTACTGAGGATAAATACATTTTTACATTTAGGAATTATTTTTTATATGCATGTATGTTTATGCTGATGGCTTGTAAATGGAACAAATTCACAACACATGTCTCATGGGATTATTGTTCGCTTATTTCATTTCAGACAAAACATTGTCGGTGTTCCCGACTCAGCAACGGAATAATTTGAAACAAATTCACAGTAGATTCACCCAGGAGCCAGCCCATCCCACTCAGTCTAATGTCAAGACTCACTACCCAGCTTCCGGCTTTCAGAGCAGGCCTCCTCATGGACCACACACACACAACACACACAACGCACACAACACACACAACACACACATCACTCACAACACACACACTGCACCACACCCACGTCTTGCAAGTCGAGTTCCAGGTAGCCATTTTACGACTAATGTCAAACCTTATGCCGGTCCTACACATCAGTCTCTGCCTACGAATGTCCATGCGCCAAACCCCCAAGTCCCCTCCTCACCTCAGTCGGTGTCTCCTTCAGCAGGAGGTGTGTTAAACACAAAGCCGCAGCCCAGCACTGGTGTCAAGTACAAGCACACCGTCCCGGTTTACCCTGCCTTTCAGCAGACTAGTGTCTCACAACAAAATCAGCCCAACCAGACACAATATAATTCAATGCCATATCAGGGTTCGGGAAATATTCCAACGAAGCAATCATCTGCTTTTACATCACGAGGGATAGTTCAAAGCGGAAGGCCTGTAGCGTCCAGTAGTTTAGCCCGAACTGGTTCCCAGGCCTCGTCTGTAAGGGGTGTGTCCCAACCTATTCATAAACCAGCCTCGGGATTAAATCAGTTATACGTACAGTCGAACACTGGGTTATATAACTTACAAGGTATCAAGGCCCCGGATGTAGGATACAATCAATTTGGGCAATCCAACTCTGCAATAATCCTAAATCCAAATCCTAATCCTCAGATAGAATCCATGAGACAGGCTGTGCAGAATGGAGCAAGCTTTGGAACTGTTTTGAAATCAAACAAAACGGCAGGAATCGTTTCCACTATGTCCCCATCCACAGCAGCACCACAACAGACAAAACCGCGCGCTGTACAACCGCCCACACCGTTGGATGCGTTAACCCAAGCAGCGGAAGGACCATCTATATTTAACCTCAACTCAGTTAAACTTAATGGCGTAAGAATTAGATCCGGCATCCCTGATGCAATTCCAGACTCATACATTTCTGTTACAAGTTCTCCCTATCTGGATGCCGGTAATTTGTATGGCATGAGACAGGCGCCACAATTCACAACACAGTCATGGGGCTATGCTTCTCCGGTGACCTACTACCCTATTCCCCAGACTGGGTACCCAGACTATTTTACGCAGGCTCCTTATTACCAGGGGTATTATGAGTTTAACCCGGCACTGAACCAAGTCGCTTCAGGCACTGTAGGTTCTGACTATATACACGGGGGTTTAGTGCTCCAGCAGAGCCAGAACTCTCTATATCAGATGGGCCAACCAGCCAGGAAAATAACCACACTAACACCAGCTACATCAACCCTATACGATCCAACAACACGAGCACCGATCACACAACCAACAAAATTGTCATCAACCACACAGGCACAAGTCACACAGCCCCGGACCACATCACCATCAACCTCACAAACCACATCGACACAACCACCTACCACAACTAGTGGGAAGTTGACGACACAATCAGTTTCTATGTTACCGTCTTCTAAGAAGGTTGAGGAAGCTACTCCGCTACCAACACAGGCAACGCCACGTCCATCACCGTCTTCCCCACTGCTACACATGAGCCCACGTTCACAGAAACTGAATCCCGAGAGAGCATCACTATATCGAGACAGACAGGTAAATATCAGACCTGAGTATCTCCTACAAAGAGACAGATACCGGGCTGTATGGAATGTCAGACCCAATCACACCATGGGTCAAAGGCCAAGTCATATTAAACCAAATCCGAACCCTCGTTTTCCGTTAAGGCAGCCTACAACTGAAGGTACATCGAAGCTGATTACTTCAACTGCAGAACTGATACCGACATCAACAAGTTCCACGGCAGAACTGGTACCGACGACAGCAAGTTCAACTGAAAAAACAATTTTCCCGTCAACAGCAGACCCAACAGCGGAACCAACAGCAATTCCCACTGAAAACAGCTCAACATCGGCCACCACGAACAGTTCAGTCCAGCAAAAGACCGAAGGACCACCAGCCATGGGAACTGTTACCGAGGGCCACAACCTGACGAAGCCTCTTCAGGAAAACGCTACATCTTCAACCATAGTCCAGTCCAGTTCGTACCAAGAAGTGTTTAGTCAAAGACACCAGCAGTTTGACGCTCAGATTCAGAATATGGACAGACTAGAAATGCTTGCCCAAGAGAATGTTGATTCGCAGACTAGAAAATCGGTAACAACAAATCCTTTCGTCAACACACATCCGACCACCGAAGGCTTGAGTCAGACACCTAAGTCAGCCACACCTACAGCAACAACGTCAATACCGGTGCCCGAGTCTACAACACGTGTCACCGTATCGACAGCCACTGCGTCTTCATCAGCACCTCTTACCACTATCCAGACGCCGACGACAGTTACAACTACTTCACCGCCTACAACGTCACAAGTTAATGTATTAGATACAGAATTTACGACGTCACACTACACAGATTATCTTATCAGTGCGGGTAGGAACCCTACATTGATCGGGCAGTCATTGGTCCTAGCACAAAATAGGTTTGACCCACGCGTCCAGGGACATCTGAACGTGAGAGGTCGAATTGAACTAAGTGACCAAATGCAGTTTTCTGGTAATGGTGAACCACAAGACGGCCATCTTGCTTTGAAGCAAATGGGAAGCAATATAGGAATCACGGTAAAACCAGTTCTTACTCAACAACCTACAATACCTCCAGGAAGAAGGCACCCCAGCTTACCACGCCGGTCATCTTTCATCAACAATGCTCAGACAATGAGACAACACACGCCAATGCAGACTTCAATCCGAAACATGTCCGGGTTGTACGCAACCCCAGCTCCCAAATTTCCCCTGAATACGAGAACAACGAGTGTACAGTATCAGTATCCTCAGCGTGCGGTGCAACCACTTCGAGCCTTCCCCGTTAACAAGCAAACCATGGCTAATTCCCAACGATTTGGAAGCCAGGCTGTTTTACCAAGAAACCACTTTCCTCAAAGGCAGCCTGTAAGGGTGCACCCACACAGAGTCACACAACAACCATCTTTCCGCAGACGAAATTTCACCAAACCGACATTCCCTCATAAAACTGTACACAATACGTTTCGAAATTCATTACACAAAGGGTTACATCCAACTCACAATTTCATGAACCACCCTGGAATGACGAGAGTTCATGGTCTAAAGCCAGGGTTGCCAACAGCCCTTGGAGGTCAGGGCAACCCGAGACATTCATCTAAAGTGACAACTAGACCCGTCCCAGGCACACATCGGGCAAATACTGGACGGAAGAATGTTCCTTATACTATTGCAGCATCTGTACAGCCAGCTCATCCTCCAGAATCTGTCCAAGTGAGAAACACTGTGTCCAAGACGAGACCACATGGTGGGAAACCAACTGTGCCCCACAGTCATCCTAGCAGTGAACCTAAAGGAAGACCAGGCCATCCTTCCGCGACTCGTCCCCACCTGAAACACACAGCACCTTCTCCACGGTCACCCCCGCTACCACAGAGACCCCCATCTAGATCCAATGCCATAGCCTCAACTGAACACCCACGAGGTCAACTTTCTGCATTGAATAGTGGCATTAGTAAACTAGCATCTGCAATACTGACCAGACAGACACAAGCCGTACACCATTCAACGATTCCAAGAGCAGTTGGTCAAAAGGGTCATCATCACACAGCTTCCCGCCATCCTGCTGCACACCCACATCCGCGGCATCGTTCAATGTTACCACAACCAGCGCCGACGTCAGCCCAACATCGTCCTCTACTGTACTCTACTCTGGGGAGTTTCACAGCGGCGGCCAAGACTCATCAGACCTTGCGTGTAGGGAACCCCGCCAATCAGATTAAGCTGACGTCAGCTAATCCCCGGCCTCAGCATCCAACATCCGGCAAGTTAGAGATTCGACAAATGAAAAGTAAGTGTCGAGTGAGTGAGTGAGTGAGTGAGTGAGTGAGTGGACGAGTGAGTGAGTGAGTGAGTGAGTGAGACAAATGAAAAGTAAGTGTCGAGTGAGTGAGTGAGTGAGTGAGCGAGTATTAATTATTGTCTCACAAGTTATGTTTTTCCATGTAAGTTCTATCTTAAATTTTTGTCTTTATTTGCTAATTGTATTCAAGTGAGAGATTGTTTTCTGTATTTGCTATAATTATTATTATTATTAGTATTAGTATTAGTATTAGTAGTAGTAGTAGTAGTAGTAGTAGATGGTTTTTCCTAAAGGACAATCAAGAACGAGCCACTTTGAACGTCCTGTAGGTGTGCGAGGATCTTTTAATCGTCTGTTCGAATCCCATATAACCTGATTAGGATTGTTCCTTGTCCGCACCATAACTGTACTCGTGACTAACACCAATGTGGAATAGCTTTTGGGCACTCCTCTCATAATCCGCTCAAATCAATCACGTCTTCCTACGACCTCATGCATCGAACGCTTTTATTGTTTGTTGATTGATTTGTTGTTTCATTGCCCAAGTTGGGTGGTAGGGTACCCTAGCGGTTAAAGCCTTTGCTCGTCATGCCGAAGACCCGGTTTCGTTTCCTCACATGTGCACAATGTGTGAAGCCCATTTCCGGTGTCCCCCGCCGTGATATTGCTGGAATAATGCTAAAAGTGGCGTAAAACCATACTCACTCACCAACATTCCTGTTATATGGCCCAGACAGACGATCAACTGACACAGCTTAACAAGCCGATTCATGTAACTGGGAATCTAACCGTGATCCCAACTAAGAAACTCATTAAACCATACACTAATAGGTTCCTTGCTAATGGCACGTGTACCTCGTTCTTTCCAGCGGGCCAACCAACTCCAAGAGCCATCCAGCCAAAAGGTACGTTACCCTCAGTCCCTGTGCCTAAACAGGCCACATGATCTCGAGTGATAACTTGAAGTGTCTTTTACTTTTGTTTTTTAGATCAGTATTTTCCAAAGTGTATAAGGGAAGGGACAGGTAATGTTTGTGGGTACCAATGTTTTTTTATACATGGATTGGCTAGTAGCCAAAGGCGTCATGATGCGGCGTGCGTCCCTTAATCCAGCCGGCATCCGATATTCGTGGAAAGCCGCATCAGATCATTCCACATTGAGCAAGCCCTCGTGAAAATCCGGGTTCGAACTCGGGTTAGAATTGGTCTTCAGCAACCCATGCTTGCCGCCAAAGGTGACTACGCTTGTCGTAAGAGGCGACTTACGGGATCGTGTAGTCAGGCTCGCTGATTTGGATCATGCATGTCATCGTATCCCACTTGCGTGGGTCGATGTTTATGATGTCAAGCATTGGATTGTCTTGTCCAGACTCGATTATTTACAAACCTCCGTCATATAGATGGAAGAGTGCGGCGTTCAACAACAAACACACCGTCATATCACAAAACTCTATTTAAAGCGCGTTTAGCTGAAAGCTCATGGTCAACCGAGTCAATGATACATGGCATGATCCACAGTGTATTTGTTTACAGGCTAACTGCTGCTGCTTGGAGGGAGGAACATCGTGAGATGCCCTGTACACCTGTCTGTATATGAAGACTACAACCGGGCTGTGTTTCCCAGTGTGTTGGCACCGCATGGTTCCTGTACATGTTCCTTAAATAGTGATTCAGTGGCGGATCCAAGCTCTACGAACCAAGATGTGGAAGTGTGTGTGCGGGTGGGGGTTGGGTGTCGTGTAATGGTGTTCGAAAGAAATAGATACAAGTATCATGAGCCCCAAATGATGTGATTATATGACTGAAATAAATAGTAATTGACCATTATCTGCCACTGCTATTATCAACAACCCCGCCCCTACCCCGACTCTCGTCACTATGCCCCACCCACGCCAACCACAGGCTCTACACACACACAGTAGTTAATATTGCATCCTCCGTAAAGCACCCCCTCCCCACAATGCCCCACCCCAAAATCCCCAACCCCCGCCAAAACACACACACACACACACCACACACACACACACACACACACACACCACACACACACACACACACACACACACACACACACACACACACACACACACACACACACACACACACACACCGTTAAACAAGCATGGATCCGCCGCTCACTTAACTGTTATGTCTACTGAAAACAACCTATATTTGATTTGTACAAACATATAATGGATTCTATTTCATCTTAATAAAATGTCATTATCGTCAACATTGTGTCCTGTTGCTAATACGAATTCCAGTTGAACGTGTTCTTGGGAACACGCGTCATTTGGGAGACACGCAACTTCAGCAAATGTATGAGTGAGTGAAGCTTTACGCTGCTTGTTATATTCTATATCACCGCGGCCTTTGGATCAAACAAACCATCAGAACTGACCTTTTCCGCTTTTATCACAGAGGGACAACAATTGATAAAACACTTGACTTTCACATTAACTGCGTCTGTAATCTTTTCCAGGAACACAAAAGCGACACAAACCTTTCCATAATCATAAGAATTCTCTTCTGAAAGAAGAGTCCAAACTGTGATTCCTGCTAATTCATAAGCATGTGTTTGTTAATCTTTATGAAATAGTGATGATAACAGGCGCTCTCTTCTGAGTCCAATGTGTGATTCCGACTATATCATAAGCTAGTGTTCATGAATCATAATCAAATAGTGAAAATGTGACAATTATTGAAAGATATTCTTCCCTACCGATGCTACCACTAACAAACACATGCAAAGGCAAATCAAGTGTTCACCTGACCAAACACTGGAACACACGATGCAAGTCAAAACAGGGAATGGCATCTGACAAAATTGTGATCATATGACGCTGAAGTAAGAGCGTGCTCGATTGTACCTCACAAGTTCTGAAATGTGGACACCAAAGGCTGGAGCTGGGATACTGCTTCACAAAAGAGAACATGGACTATTGGAAGTCATCCTTCTTTTCTTGATTCTTTATTGTCACTCTGAATTTTTAACAACGCTTTGATCCAAATATAAAACAGACGAAGCGGGTACACTGGTCTCTTATATTATTAGTTCAGGTGAGTAAATCAGTGGAAGGGATTGGCTTGTGACCATTTGAAAGATATCAGATGATCGATATCCCTGCTTAGTACTTGGCCAGATTCCCGTGTTTTGAACATGATCAAAACTGACCTCGTGACACAGACTTATCTTATCTTATCTTGTCGCACCTATACCATGGTCTGGTTGAAATAGAAGAGCACCTTTACATCTGTGTACACGTCAAGATGGTCACAGCAATAGTTGTGTTGGGGCTCTGTGCTGGTATGTATTTATTTATTTCTGCAACATATACGTCTGAGTTAACACATGGCTCATCTAGTTAGGGTGACTGGAACTTTGTCTCTTGAGGCTGCTCAGACTCTAATCCGAACATTGTGAATATTTTGATCAATTTGTGATAGTGTTTTGTGTGTACGCTAAACAGGTGTGTCTATGTAAGCATGTGGTGAGATTCATAATAAATCTCAAATGTTGTAGGTTGCTTTGTTTGTTGTTTAACACCGCCCTCAGCAATATTCCAGCTATATGACGGCGGTCTGTAAATAATAGAGTCTGGAGAAGGCTATCCACTGATTGACATCATGAACATCGATCCACGCAATTGGGATACGAATACATGCATCACCCAAGTCAGCGAGCCTGACCACCCGACCCCTAACGACGCGACTAGTCACTTTTTACGGCAAGCATGGATTACTAAAGACCTATTCCACCCCGGATCTTCACAATACCTTATTTGTGGAATGATGTAGAGTTTGTCAAAATGTTAAAAAATGTGTCTATAGTGGACCTCTGAACTAGTTGACTTGTTGACCTTGTCGACTGACTTTTTGTGGTGAGAAATATGTAAGGACAATATTATGGCATGAATCATGATGATAAATGAAGATCTTAAAACATCATTCTCACATTGAATTCTTGAATTAAAATTAGAGTACTTTTCGAATGAAACTTAAAATTATCAAACCTTTAATTTGATTGATATTGTTATTTTATCATTAATCCTCGCCAACATGTCCATTTTAGTTTAGGAAGTGCCCTTTTTGTATGAAGTTACCCTGCCCTTTATGAATCCTAGGGGCAAACTATAAACATATGTGCATGACAAACACGTACAATATATTCTTAGGACATGACATAATTGACGTCGTAGTCGACGATTTTGGTCACTCAAAATGACACCATGGGCCGTCTGTTGTCTCGAAGACATGTCTCACTTAGGCAGTTTCTCACCGTCAGAGCTGATCCTAGGCAAACGCAGTGTGATAGATGCTGTAGAGGTTACAGTTGTGGTCCATTTGCCAGCCCTGTAGTCTGAAAGTTCTTGGCCGCTTTCAGCAATATCCCAGAAATATCATGGCAGGGAACACCAGATATTGTCTTGTACCATTTTGGGGGATCGAGCCCGGGCCTTAGGCGTGACGAACGAACGCTTCCCCTCCGTCCCTAATACGACAGAAGACTTAACGTCACCACATGGTTATTTTCAGCAGTGGTACAAGGTGTCCCTTTCAAGCGACAGTTGATCGGGGCCTGCGTGGAGGAGTGTTCAGTGGTCGGCGTTGGGTTCTTCAGTGGTTGCCCACATGGTCAGACCTGCCAGTCCAATGGGTGTGGTCACACGTGTCAATCCGTCATCCTGGGCAAACGACAGTCTTTTGGGGCCTGTGTTGAGATGTGCTCGCCCGCAGGAAGTGGCCGATTGGACTCGTGTCCCGCAGGATATGCCTGCATGACTAATGGCTGCGGACATACTTGTCAGAGTGTGATGCTCAAAGGAAGAAGCATCGTGGGACCAAGTATGTATTTACATGTGGCGGCCACAAGCCTTACAATTATGTTTATATGGAATACTGTAAGGAACATTTTCTTGCGATTAACTTTTCAAGAGAAAATGCGATTTTTTCGTGAACGCGAAATCTTGACCAGTCTCGCATTCTCACACTGTGGGCATATTAAGGTTCTTTCAAATGTTGTAGATAGTGATATGGCGAAATGTCCCTCACAATATTCCGTAGTTTTAAGGGGTTATTTATCCTGAACACTGAGAGAACCCTGACCGCTAAAATTAAAATAAAAAGGACGGGCAGCATCTTGATCTAATCAGATGCTCAAAAGTATTTTGATCATGGTTACAACATTCAACCCCTTAGGAACGTTTCGTGTTAGACATCTGTGACAAAAATAATGTGCAAACAATTGATTATTTTGACTGTTACGATTTGGTCCCGTAGATGAACAGTTTAGGTGAGTTGTCTTTGCATGTGTTTGTGACGGGTGCCAGCAATGGGGCAATTAACGTTTTCCCTTTCGAAAACACCCGGTATCATCACCAACTGATATTGACCAATAAACACATTCTTATGATAGTCTGAATCGAAAAACAGTCTTATGCCTTACATTCATTAGAATGTAGATATCATGGCGCTCACAAACGGCAGGGTGTATAAACTTTCAAGATATGATAGCGCGGCTCTGTGTATTTGCAATCGGAACTCCCCCATTATATTCGTTTTTTATACTTCCTTATTTAGATAAAATTATGAGAACCTACTGTAGATACTACATCCCTCTCGCCTGAAAATTAATTGCAAGATGTTAAAACGTTATAGAAAACCTTTTCAGGGTGTTGTTGACCAGACTTATCTTCAAATCAATTACAGAGTATTCATTTACAGCCATAGTTTTTGGATAATTGCAATTTACCTGTGCCATCTTCAGACATACGTACTGTAGTAGTCATAGAAGTCGAATGAGGATAGATACAACTAGAAATATGAGTGGACGTTAATATGCTGACACAGAAAGTCATGTATTGTTCAGTGGTGTGACCTCGTTCAAGGTTCTCTGTACACCAACTGATAAGCAGTGTGACAACAAAGGTCATCTTCCAGTCCTCTCAACGCGGATAATCCCTGTGGTGCTATCTTCACTGCCCACGTCCAACACCTACACAGACTGGAGAAAATGATAGTGAACTTGTATGTAGAAAAGAACGTCCTATATTATCAACATTCTGGAAACAGCAAAGGTTTAACTTGAGACTACCATGCAATGTCGGTCACATTTGGTCTTCCTGGTAATATTTGGTATTATTAGTAATATTTGGTCTTATTGGAAACATTTGGTCTTTTAGGTAACATTTGGTCTTATTGGTAACAGTTGATTTTATTGGTAATATATTATCTTATTGGTGACATTTGGTCTTACTAGTAACATTTAGTCTTATTGGCAACATTTGGTCTTATTGGTAACATGTGGTTTTATTGCTAACATTTGATCTCATAGGTCACATTTAGTCTTATTGGGAACATTTAGTCTTATTTGTGACATTGGTGTTATTGGTCACATTTGGTCACATTAGGACACATTGTTTCTCAGTGGTCACCTTGCAACTGTTGGTCATATTTAGTAACATCTGGTTGAAGTTCCTCCAAATCTATGTTCGAGTGTTAACACTGCTGTTCCTTCCCAGAGTGCCCCCCGGTGATGTGTGAACTGTTCTGTTCTAACGGGTTCGCTACTGGAGCGGATGGCTGCCCCACGTGCAGCTGCAACAGTAATGCACTCCCTGTGGACCTGCAGAAGCTGCTCGGGACCCTCGGCTAGAAGATGTGAATGCAGACGGGTTGAAATAAAATATTAGCTTTTGAAACAGTGAATAAAATTAGTTCAACTTTTACTGAGATTTACAGACTGAAATATATCATATATCATATCAGTCAGTCATACCAATATCAATACCACAGTCATACCAACGGCGAATGTTACTTGTCGACTCCCCTATTGAAACAATATGTTTACCCAGAAATCTGCACGTAAAAGAACTTTGTGCGAAACTAACAAACAACCAACAGGTGCTATACAATCAACAAATGTATAACGAAAATTCACAAGGTTTACAAATAAATATAAATTTCTGCACAGCAATTACAATGGCGGAACACAAAGAGTGACAGTACAATATTAAAAGGCAATCCATAATATGATTGGATTGGAATCAAATACAAAATCAGTAGTGATAGCAAAAGTCAGTGATAAGCATAGATATAGATATATATATATATATATATATTCCTCCAGCGGCAACAGCTTTAAAGCTTCCGAGACGAGGAATTCAGGGATGGTGAGTGATCCACACGAGTGCAGGTCTTGATGTAATCATAAGTGAGAGAGAGAGAGATGTGTTCACACGTTCTTTTCACCTTCCATTCAGCTAGTTAGTTACTGAAAATTTCTACACAGTGCTCTCACCAATGTAGCGGTGCTAGAACATTCCACATGTTTCTTTAAGACACTATCACCTTTGATAGGCATTTAGAAGCTGGGAAAACATGATTACATGACGCTTTCTCATGTATAGCAACTCCTTTTTTCCTTGTACGACATTTGAGAGCTACTTTTGCTCCTTCAAAAGGTGAATGATTTCAACTGATGAAGGAGCCAGAATTGAATGCTTTCAACCTGATGAAGGAGTAATAAGAGAATGCTTTCACCTAATGAAGGAGCAAAAAGTAACTCTCAAATGTCGTACAAAGAATAAGAGAAGTTTCTATCCATAAGAAAAGTGTAAGAATAATTCCTCTAATATTTGTCAAATGTTCGTAAAGAATAACAAACAGGATGATCAAGGATTGATGCATCTTCCTGCAACAGGACAAGATTTTCCCAAGTTTGGTGCTTAGGGAACAGGAGAATTCATGAGAATCGCTTTTCTTTCAAAGCAGCCTGACATAAATTGCTGTCCCAAACAAATATGCCCAGCAAATTAGAGAGAGGGACCACCACATGTGAGAAATGTTGATACAATATACGGTAGTAACCAGCCATACCAAGAAATCTCATAAGTTCTTAAGTCTCTCGAAGAAGGCACGCACTCTTCAGGAGTTCGTCATACGCCATGGCATGATTGATTACATCATCAACTTCGACCTCCACAGTATTGGTTGTGATGACATTGATGAGACGTCTGGCATCATCACATAAGGTGATACCCACATGACACGCTTAATATCTTCCAACAAAACCAAGTGCCTCAATCTATCAACATCACCATTGACATCCTTTGAAGTACACCGCCTATCAAACAAAGTTTCCTTCTCCCTTGCAAACTCATCGCCTTTCTTCGCAGACCTAAACATCTGCCTGTAAACTTCAGGAGCCAATTCATAAGCCTTCAAAACTTCAACCTTTCCTCCTATCAATAGGTAATGCAGAATAATCTTCATGAGCTTTTCACCTCAACACACTCTGCAACAACATGGTCCACTGATCTTGCGGCCATTTCAAACGGTTAGCCACCTTTTCAAAATGTAAGAAAAACCTCTCCACATCACGCTCAGAGAAGGGCGGAACTAGTTTAATCTGCTGGGAAAGATTAATATCTCTTCCAGATCCCAATCTCATTTTTCCTTCTCAGTTTTGATTTCCTCAAGCCGATATAATCTCTTTTCTTCTTCCTGCTCTCAATCTAATTCTTTTGTTTTCGTTCTCTGCCTCAATTTCTTTAAGCCGTTTTTTCTATTTCAAATTCTAATTTCCTCAAAGCCAAAACATCAGTTTTTTCTTCAATCGAAGCCAAAGCATCATCGTCCACAATGATTGTGTTATCAGATTCGAAACACATGGATACAAATTTCCTCAGGCCAAAACAATACGATTATATTATTGAAATGAATAGTAATTCATCATTATCCGCTCTCATCTGATTGTCTGTTCTGAAACAAACAACCCCCGCCACTACCCCGATTCACTTCTTCATCCCCACCCCACCCCAACACACTGAAGTTAACATTTCATCATCATCACTCCTTCCACCCTAACCCCCACCCCTCGCCAATACACACACAGAGACACACAGACACACACACAAACACACAGACACACACACACACACACACACACACACACACACGACTTCCGCATTAATAACGTATTTACTCTTTACTACAGGAACATAAAAGCGACACAACCCTTTCTATAATCATAAGAAATATCCCCTGAAAGCAGAGTCCACTGTCTGATTATGACTTTTTCATGAGCATGTGTTTGTGTATCATTATGAAATAGTGATGATACCAGGTGCTTGTCTTGAACATTATCCAGTCTGGCCTTGTGACACAGGCTTATCTTATCTTGTCGCACCTGCACCTAGGTTTGGTTGAATAGAGCACCATTACATTTGTGAACACGTCAAGATGGTTACAGCAATAGTTGTGTTGGGGCTCTGTGCTGGTATATGTTTTCTTTATTACTGCAACATATACGACTGGGTAAACATTTGGTTCATCTTGTTATCGAGTTTGGATGGTTTGTCTCTAGAGACTGCTCAGACGCTAATCCCAACAACGTGATTATTTTTTCAATTTGTGTTTTTATGTGTACATAAAAGATAAACGTGTGTGCATGATACTCACGTATAATATGTTCGTCATATTGTTAAGGAAAGAGATCGTTGTTTCAAAGAAATTTTAACAAAGACGAGTGGTACCAGATACGACCTGTGGGCCTCTAAGTATCAGTGTACTGTGTATTTGTCATCGTTAACGGGACCGCCTCGGTGGGGTTACAGCCCTTAATGTAAAAAATAATCTTAATGTAAAAAGTGGGAGGTCAGGGGTCTGTGTTGGTACAGATTCCACCTGAGACCTACAGAGCATCGGGGATCACCGTCCTGATATAACCTGAATACTTTTCAAAGCTGCGTTAAAAACCCGACTCACTCACTTATTCAGTGGACACGTAAAACCATCATGTCCATTCATCTCCAGATTTAAACATTACAATGTCATATATGAACTCTAAAGTGTTCGTGTTTAACTTTAATGTGAACAATTTCGCTTTATCCACTCGGCAAACCCACCATCACTAATTTGACAAAAGACTTAATGTCACCATATGGCTATTTTCAGCAGTGGTACAAGGTGTCCCTTTCAAGCGACAGTTTGAATGCCCAGATGGTCACTGGTGTCATCCCTACATTCAGGGCAAACGACAGTCTTTTGGGGCCTGTGTTGAGATGTGCTCGCCCGCGGGAAGTGGCCGGTTGGACTCATGTCCCGCAGGATATGCCTGCATGTCTAATGGCTGCGGGCATACTTGTCAGAGTGTGATGCTCAAAGGAAGAAGCATGGTGGTACCAAGTATGTATTTACATATGCCGTGAACACGACTTCCTATTATGTTTATGTGGAATACTGTAGATACTACATCCCTCTCGCCTAAAAAATGAATTGCAAGATGTTGCATTTGAAAACCTGAAAGAACACCTTTTCATGGGATTGTTGTTGAACAGACTTATCTTTAAATCAATAACAGAGTATTAATTTACAGCCATAGTTGTTGGATAATTGCAATTTACCTGTGTCATCTGCAGACACACGTACTGTAGTAGTCATAGAAGTCGAATGAGGAAAGATACAACTAGAAATATGAGTGGATGTTAATATGCTGACACAGCAAGTCATGTACTGTTCAGTGGTGTAACCACGTTCAAGGTTCTCTGTACACCAACTGATAAGCAGTGTGAGAACAAAGGTCATTGGATGCCATCTGACAGTCCTCTCAACGCGGATAATCCCTGTGGTGCTATCTTCACTGCCCACGTCCAACACCTACACGGGCTGGAGAAAATGTTAGTGAACATGTATGTAGTAAAGAGTGAGTGAGTTTGATTTTACGCCGCTTTTAGCATTATTCCAGCAATATCACGGCGGGGGACACCAGAAATGGGCTTCAAACATTGTACCCATGTCGGGAATCGAACCCGGGTCTTTGGTGTTACGAGCGAACGCTTTAACCACTAGGCTACCCGACCGCCCCTTGTATGTAGTAAAGAACGTCCTATATTATCAACATTCTGGAAACAGCAAATGTTTAACTTGAGACTATCACACAATGTCGGTCACATTTGGTCTTCCTGGTAATATTTGGTCCTATTAGTAATATTTGGTCTTATTGGTAACATTTGGTCTTTTAGGTAACATTTGGTCTTATTGGTAACATTTGATTTTATTGGTAGCATATTATCTTATTGGTAACATTTGATCTTATTGGTAACATTTGGTCTTACTAGTAACATTTAGTCTGATTGGCAACATTTGGTCTTATTGGTAACATGTGGTTTTATTGCTAACATTTGATCTCATAGGTCACATTTAGTCTTATTGGGAACATTTAGTCTTATTTGTGACATTGGTGTTATTGGTCACATTTGGTCACATTAGGACACATTGTTTCTCATTGGTCACATTGCAACTGTTGGTCATATTTAGTCACATCTGGTTGAAGTTCCTCCAAATCTGTGTGTGAGTTTTAACACTGCTGTTCCTCCTCAGAGTGCCCCCCGGTGCTGTGTGAGATGTACTGTTCTAACGGGTTCGCTACTGGAGCGGATGGCTGCCCCATGTGCAGCTGCAACAGTCATGCATTCCCTGTGGACCTGCAGAAGCTGTTTGGGACCCTCGGCTAGATGATGTGAATGCAGACGGGTTGAAATATAATATTAGCTTTTGAAACAGTGAATAAAATTACTTCCACTTTTACTGAGACTTACAGACTGAAATATCTCATATAGTTCATCACACAGTCATACCAATATTAATACCATAGTCATACCAATGGCCTATGTTACGTGTCGGTTCTCAGACTGAAACAATATGTTAACCCAGAAATCTGCACGTAAAAGAACTTTGTGCGAAACCAACAAACAAGTACCATACAATCAACAAATCTTTAACGAAAATTCACAAGGTTTACAAATTAATATAAATTACTGCATAGCAATTAAAAATGGCGGAACACAAAGAGTGACATTACAATATTAAATGGCAATCCATAACATGATGGCGCAGTGGTCAGAATCAAATACAAAATCCCTAGTGATAGCAAAAGTCAGTGATAATATATATATATATTCCTCCAGCGGCGTCAGCGTTAAAGCTTCCGAGACGAGGAATTCAGGGTAGGTGAGTGATCCACACGGAAGTAGGTCTTGATGGGATCAAAAGTGTGAGAGAGAGATGTGTTAACACGCTCTTGTCCCCTTACATTCAGCCTAACTACCACCTGAAAATGTCTACACAGTGCCATCAGCAATGTAGCGGTACAAGAACATTCCACATGTTTCTTTTAGACACTATCACCTTTGATTTTCTTACCTTTGTAATTTAGAAGCTTGGACAACATGATTACATGACGCTTTCTCATGTTCAGCAACTTCTTTTTTCATTGTACGACATTTGAGGGCTACTTCTTGCTCCATTAAAAGGCGAATGCTTTCAACTGATGAATGCGCAAGAAGTGACTGTTTTCACCCGATGAAGGAGCAAGAAGTGAATGCTTTCACCTAATGAAGGAGCAGGACGTAACTCCCAAATGTCGTACAAAGAATAAGAGAAGTTGCTATCCATAAGAAAAGTGTCATGTATTCACACTATAACCGTCAGCGGTATACTGGATCGGAAATTTGCCCACGACGCTAACATCTAAATGTAGTAAATTCCTCACGACTGCTTACAGTAAATAGTACAACATTCATGACGACTAATAACTGTCCAAACACAATGCAATGAACGTCTACCGAATCTCAACAGAAACAATGTAATACAGTTACAGTCGTTTTTAAACAATAAAATACACTTCCATTTAACACTCTCCCCTTTCAAAGAAAGAATGTTTGAACATAGAGAGAACTTTCTTTGTTAATTAACTGATAAAAGTACAAAAACTGCTTTGTACAGTAGATAATATTAAATGATAATTAAGAGAAATGTTAACATGAATGCAAATCATGTTTGCAGTCACAACGGACCACATTCAAGCAACTCGAGACAATGCATCAGCAATCCCGTTGTCTTTGCCTTTAATCTGCTTGTAAAGATGGGCTCCATAGCATCGGGAGTTGGTACTTGTTCTTCATTTTATGACGAAATGTCAGTGGATTGTGTTGAGTGTATACTTGAATAGGAAACAAAGTAGACCCAGAGTTATCTTCTACATGTTGCATGGCTAACAATGGAGCAACATTTCCTTTTTCAAAGGAGGAATAATTCCTCTGATGTTTATCAAATGTTCGTCAAGAATAACAAACAGAATGATCAAAGCCTGATGCATCATCCTGCAACAGGACAGCTCCAGCACCAATGTCACTAGCATCTTCTGTCAATTGGAATTTTTTTTCCAAAGTTTGGTGCTTGGAGAACAGGAGGATTCATGAGGATCGCTTTCATTTAAAAGCAGCCTGCCATGTACAATTGCTGTCCCAAACAAATTTGCCCAGCAAATAAGTGAGTGGGGCCACCCAATGTGAGAAATTTTGATACAATTTACGGTAGTAACCAGGCATACCAGGAAATCTCTTAAGTCTATTGAATAATGCACGGATCCTCTTCAGGTGTTCGTCCTAGTCCATGGCATTATTGCTTACATTATCAACGTAGGCTTCGACTTCCTCAATAATGGTTGTGGCATCATTTTGTTTTGGTTAAGTCCATCCGGAGTCACACAAGCTGATACCCACATGGCACGGTTAAAATACTCCAACAAAACCAACTGTCTCAAACTATCAAAATTACCATTGACATTTTTTGAAGTACACCACCTATCAAACAGAGTTTCCTTTTCCCTTGCAAACTCGTTGCTTTTCTTTCGTAGACCTAATCGTCTGTCTGTAAACTTCAGGAACCAATTCATAAGCCTTCAAAACGTCAGCCTATCCTCCTATCAATAGGTAATGCAGAATAATCTTCATGAGCTTTTCACCTCAACACACTCTGCAACAACATGGTCCACTGATCTTGCGGCCATTTCAAACTGTTAGCCACCTTATCGAAATGTAGGAAAAACTTCTCCACATCACGCTCAGAGAAGGGCGGAACTAGTTTAATCTGCTTGGAAAGATTAATATCTTTTCCAGCTCCGGATCTCAATTTTTCCTTCTCAGCTTCGATTTCCTCAAGCCGATATAATCTCTTTTCTTCTTCCTGCTTCCAATCTAATTCTTTCCTTTTCGTTCACTGCCTCAATTTCTTTAAGCCGTTTTTTCTCTCTCAAATTCTAATTTTCTCAAAGCCAAAACATCAGTTTTTTCTTCAATTGAAGCCAAAGCATCATCATCCATAATGATTGTGTTATGAGATTCGAAACACATGGATACCAATTTCTTCAGCCCCAAGTAATACGATTATATTATTAAAATGAATAGTAATTCATCATTATTCGCTGTCATCTGATTGTCTGTTCCGAAACAACAACCCCCGCCCGTACCCCAATTCACGTCACTATACCCACCACACCCCAACCCCAAGCCCAACACACTGAAGTTAACATTTCATCGTCATCACTCCCTCCCCCAAATCCCCAACCACCGCCAATACTCAAACACACACACACACACACACACACACAAAACACACACACACACTCAAAACACACACACACACACACACACACACACACACACACACACACACACACACACACACACACACACACACACACACACACACACACACACACACACACACACACACACACACACACACACACAAACACCCCCACACACACACACTTGACTTCTGCTTTAATAACGTATATACTTTTTACTGCAGGAACATAAAAGCGACACAGCCCTTTCTATAATCATAATCAGAAGAAATCTCCCCTGTAAGCAGAGGCCAATGTCTGATTATGACTATTTCATGAGCATGTGTTTGTGTATCATTATGAAATAGTGATGATACCAGGTGCTTGTTTTGAACATTATCCAATCTGGCCTAGCTTGTGACACAGGCTTATCTTATCTTGTCGCACCTGCACCTAGGTTTGGTTGAAATAGAAGAGCACCTTTACATCTGTGAACACTTCAAGATGGTTACAGCAATAGTTGTGTTGGGGCTCTGCGCTGGTATGTATTTATATATGTCTGCAACATATACGTCTGAGTCAACACATGGCTCATCTAGTTAGGGTGACTGGAACTTTGTCTCTTGAGGCTGCTCAGTCGCTATTCTTAACATCGTGAATATTTTTTCAATTTGTGTTTTTATGTGTACATTAAAGATAAACGTATGTGCAGAACACACACGTACAATATGTTCGTCATGTTGTTAAGGAGAGAGATCGTTGTTTCAAATACATTTTAACAAAGACGAGTGGTACGAGGTACGAGCTGTAGGCCTCGGAGTATCAGTGTAGTGTGTCTTTGTCATCGTCATTCTCCTACCAAAAGGGACGGCCTCTGTGGTCTAGTGGTAGAGCGTCCACCCGGAAAGAGAAACGTAGGGGGTTCGATCCCCAGCCGCATCATACCAAAAGACGTTAAAAGATGATAATTGTTGTTACCCCTCTGGCGCTCGGTGCTAAAACAACACTTGCCAGCTCGGTGTTATTTTCATGTCTGAGTGGGATATTCATGTTAAACCTGTGTGCTAGCACTATAAAATTAGTCTGGACTAGCACAATAAGCCAAAACCACACACGTGGATGCGCGTTGTATAACAGTAATAACTTTGGAAGCGACGTTCAACCTCATTTCACTTCACCTCACCTTCGGGCGGTCGGGTAGCCTAGTGGTTAAAGCGTTCGCCTGTCACGCCGAAGACATGGGTTTGATACCCGATATGGGTACAATGTGTGAACCCCCGCCGTGATATGGCTAGAATATTGCTAAAAGCGGCGTAAAACCATACTCACTCATTCACCTCACATTCAAAAGGAAACGCAAATGTATTTTTGGTGAAAATGTGACAAATGTGGGTCAATGATTACTTTAATGTTTCAACATTTTAAGTCTGCAGTCATTATGTGTATGTCAACCCAGGGAGTCAAGAACCGCCTGGCACCAAGAAGCGTCAATGGAAGTATGAGGGTACGAATCAGACTTTGGTGACTGGTGGCGCTCTCACCCTGTAGTGTCGGTGCCAGTCATGGCACAGTCTGCAGTTGTATGGGGCGCTGTCGGACTCTGCTATGCCAGAGATGATCGATAGGGTTCAAATGTTAACGAGAGAGGACCTGCTTGTGTTTAGGTATGCCGTTGTGAGTCGTGGTCTGAAAGTTTGCCATTCCACAAAGCGACCTCAGCGCCACGACTGTGGTACGTCAGTGTTAGTGCCCTAAGATCGCTTTGTGGAATGGGATGTCAGGTGGTTGTGTTGGTACAGATTCCACCTGAGACCTACAGAGCCTCGGGGATCACCGTCCTGATATAACCTGAATACTTTTCGAAGCTGCGTTGAACCCGACTCACTCACTTATTCAGTGGACACGTAAAACCATCATGTCCATTCATCTCCAGATTTACAAATTACAATGTCATATATGAACTCTAAAGTGTTCGTGTTTAACTTTAATGTGAACAATTTCGCTTTATCCACTCGGCAAACCCACCACCACTAATCTGACAAAGACTTAATGTCACCACATGGCTATTTTCAGCAGTGGTACAAGGTGTCCCTTTAAAGCGACAGTTGGGGATCTGTATTCAGGGGTGTACACATGTCGGCGTTGGAACCTCCAATGGTTGCCCAGATGGTCAGACCTGCCGGAATATGGATGGGTGTGATCACTGGTGTCAACCCATCTGTATTGATACGTGCTCGCCCCCGGGAATTGGCGAGCTGGACCCTTGTCCTGCAGGAAAAAACTGCACGTTTAATGGCTGCGGGTATATGTGTTTGAGTGTGGTGCTCAAAGGAAGAAGCATCGCGGAACCAAGTATGTATTTACATGTGGCAGCCACACGCCTTCCCATTATGTTTATATGGAATACTGTAAGGAACATTCTCGCGTGATTAACTTTTCAAAAGAAAATGCGACATTTTCGTGAACGCGAAATTTTATCCATCCTCGCTTTCTTGCACTTTAGGCATATCTGGCTTCTTTACAAAGTTCTAGACTGCAGCAGGCGAGAAGATGGAAATGCCCCTCACAGTATTCCGTAGTTTTGTGGTTGAAGAGGCTATTCATCCTGACCCCCGAGGGAACCCAATCAGGTGCTAAAAAGTTATTTGATCATGGTTACAACATTCAAGTCCTTTGAACACGTTTTATGGTAGACATCAGTGAGTGAGTGAGTGAATGAGTTTTATTTTACGCCGCTTTTAGCAATATTCCAGCAATATCACGGCGGGGGAACCAGAAATGGGCTTCACACATTGTACCCATGTCGGGAATCGAACCCGGGTTATTGGCGTGACGAGCGAACGCTTTAACCTCTAGGCTACCGGACCACCCCGTAGACATCAGTGACAAAAGTGATGTGCAAATAATTGCATATGTTGACCTGTCCCATTTGGTGAACTATTCAGGTGAACAATTTGGTTGTCTTTGCATGTGTTTGTGACGGGTGTCAACAGAGGGGCAATTATTGGTAATATTGGTCATCTTATTGGCAACATTTGGTCTTATCGGTAACCTTTGGTTTTATTGGTAACATATGACCTCATTGGTAACATTTGGTCTTATTGGTAACATTTGGCCTCATTGATAACATTTGGTCTTATTGGTAACGTATGGCCTCATTGACAACATTTTGTCTTATTGGTAACATTTGGTTTTATTGGTAAGATTTCGTTTTATTGGTAACATATGGCCTCATTGATAACATTTGGTCTTATTGGTAACGTATACGTATGATCTTATTCGTACGATTTGGTTGTATTGGTAAGATTTGGTTTTGTTGGTAATATTTGGTCTTATAGGTCACGTTTAGCCTTATTTGGAACTGACGACATTTGGTGTAAGTGGTCACATTTGAACACATTAGGACACATTGTTTCTTATTGTCACATTGTGATCTTGGTCATATTTGGTCACTTTGGCAACATTTGGTCACATCTGGTTGAAGTTCCTCCAAATCTATGTGTGAGTGTTAACACTGTTGTTCCTCCTCAGAGTGCCCCCCGGTGCTGTGTGAGATGTACTGTTCTAACGGGTTCGCTACTGGAGCGGATGGCTGCCCAATGTGCAGCTGCAACAGTAATGCACTCCCTGTGGACCTGCAGAAGCTGTTTGGGACCCTCGGCTAGATGATGTGAATGCAGACAGGTTGAAATAAAATATTAGCTTTTGAAACAGTGAATGAAATTACTTTTACTGATGTGAGGTGAGGTGAAATGGGGTTTAACGTCGCGTCCAAGATTATTGCACTTATATAGCGACGTGAATGTACGTGTGTGTTTGTGTAGCTGCTTGTACTAGTCCGGACTGATGCCGATTTATAGTGCTAGCTCACTGAGATACCATGTCGCAGTTTAATATTAATACCCCGCTCAGACACAGTATACTGACTCCAAGCCGACCAGTCCTTGTTTTAGCCCCTTAATGCCGAACGCCAGACAGGGTAACAACAAGTACAATCTTTTAACGTCTTTTGGGATGACGCGGTCGGGGATCGAACCCCGGACCTTCCGCTCTCCGGGCGGACGCTCTACCACTAGACCACGGAGGCGGTCACTTTTACTGATACATACAGACTGAAATATCCCCAAAAGTTCATCACACAGTCATACCAATATTAATACCATAGTCATACCAATGCCCTATGTTACGTGTCGGTTCCCAGATTGAAAGAACATGTTCACCCAGAAATCTGTACGTAAAAGAACTTAGTGAGAAACCAAAATTCAGTAAACTACGTTTATAACAAACACGCTTATAACGAACTGGCCGATATAACGAACTTATTTTTTAGTCCCAGACATTGGTTCTATATATACTGTAAATATACTTATAACGAATTGCGGTTATTACGAATTAAGATCAGTGGTCCCTTATAATTAAGTTCGTTACAACCGTAGTAAATTCAAACTGTTGGAGTTCAGATGAAGCGCCCAACACTGAACATGACGAGTCTTGTGGAAGACCACCTTTAATTTATTGAAGTACACCCACTAGATTAGCATCTTATAATTAAACAATAACACATTGAGGACAACAAAAGGATCAGATAATGTCAGACCTGTTCGGCGTTCCACAATCCTCTGTGACACTATTGTATGGTAATTGTGGATATGCCTCTCAATTCCGTAACGTGAAGGTATGATTGTTAAATATGCACAGAATGCCAACATAAGAACAGTTCGAGTACTTTGACCACCTCAGTGGGGACCGCGAACACGGGTACATTCAGTGGATTCTAAAGGCTCGGGTATAGATACGGTGAGGTGAGGTGAGGTGAGGTGAAGTGGGGTTAACGTCACGTTCAAGAGAAAATGATTGCATTATATAGCGACATGCATGCATGAAATAGAATCCATAATATGTTTGTACAAATCAGATATAAGTTGAGATAATAGTTGAGTTAGCGGCGTACGTGTACGTGTGTGTCTGTGTGTGTCTGTGTGTGTCTGTGTGTGTCTGCTTGCACTAGTCCGGACTGATGCCAATTTTGTAGTGCTAGTCCACAGTGATACAATGCAACAGTTTAACATGACTCCGATCCAACCAGTCCTTGTTTTATCCCGAAATACCGGGCACCATGCAGGGTGACAGAAATTACCATCCTCAGAGCTTCCTCACCCTCCATACTCGCCAGACCTGGCACCAAGTGATTTCCACCTATTTCCTAAACTGAAAGAACACTTTCGCTGAAAGCGCTATGACGACAACGATTCCCCCAAAGCTGCCGTGAATGGGTTTTTCAGGGTGGCTTCACAACACTTCTTCCTGACCGGAATTGAGAAGCGTCTCTATCGATATGAGAAGGGTACTGAAAAATAGGGAGATTATGTTGACAAATATAGAAAAAACACTTTAGCAATTGTTGGTTTTGTTTGTCAGGCTTTTTGACCAGCCCTTCTTCACTGCACCCTGGTTCTTGTTGGTGCAGCATCCGACTGGGGGTGCCCCAAGTGGCAGGGTTTCAACACTGACAAAATAAATATGTTGTTCTACATTGTAGAGTGTGTGAGTGAGTGAACTGTGTTTAGCGCCGCTCTGATTAGTATTTCGGTTTTATCAGGGACGTCAGCTCATTTAAAATCCCCTGTGGTGAAGATCTCAGACGTTTACCTGGAAACCCACGAGCACGGGAATAGTGCTGACAAACTTTGAATCATAATGAAGGCGAATGTGGGATTCAAACCCCCGATCATCGGATTCTTGCCCACCTAAGGGACGTAACTCTTCACAGCGAATTGAGGTGCCTTGATGACCGGGCCACCATACCCCCTGATATCTGTGAGTAAACGAATATGGTGTAACGCCCCTTTGAACAATACCCCAGAAATTAGCATCACACATTTTACCCATAGGGGGATCGAACACAAGCCTTCTACGTGACGAGCGAACGCTTTAGCCACTAGCCTACCCGACCTCTCCAGTTAACTGTAGGCTACTACGTAGAGTTGGACTGGAAACGAAAAGAATCAGAACGCATAAATTATATTTGTAATTATTATTTTATTTCTATTTAAATACATTTCGCCTGAAACAGCCATTTTTGATAAATGAACGCAGGACTTTCTATACACTCGTTGATTCATTGTTCCTTGCCACGTTGTTCTCGCTACCCCAGACCCAATACAACACAGGGACGCACACAACGGGAGCATGCCTCTTGCAATTACACGATCACACATATATTCCGATGTCTGACGCTAGTTTAGAGAATAACATTGACCCGCGACACTTAATATATCAGGTAATACAAGATTGTATTGGAATTGGCTTACACAGTCAATAATCAGTCATAATTTGTAAAACATATATACTGCGCAAAAGAAGTAGAACAACACCAACAGTAGGAAGGTTGTGTGTCGCAACACCCATCAGCCATGGCTAACTGTATTCATGTGAACAAATATGTGTTCTTTAACTTGTTTTGAGTAGTATAATGTGTAAATCCAAGCGGTGAAGTAAGACACGGCTACCCTGGGTTTGGTGGCACAGAGGAGTATGTGTTCCTCAGAGAAGCTGCCACCTTATAAACAAATACAAGGGATTCAACAAATCAACATAACCTGTATCCCTCAATTACCCCAAAGGTCTAGTCGTAGGTTTTGCATCTTAAACACATTTAAAACAATAACTATCATAAACATAGAGCAATGGGTTTTTTTTGCTTTAAGAAAAAACAAAGAAATATTTAAAAAATAAATAATTAAATATAAGTATCTTAATAGAGCAGCGTTTTGGCTTTAAAAAAGAAAAAAAATGTGAAGAATTATTTTATAAAAGTTAGAATCATTTGATATAAGCAATGATCTTTTCGCTTTAAAACAGAAAAAAATAATTAAAAATAAAATATGTTTTTAGAAAAATAAGTATCATAAATATAGAGTAATGTGTGTTGCTTTAAAAAAAATATTGTATTTTGAACAAAGCTTCTCACATGTAGACAAAAGAATGAAAGAACAGATACTAATCTTGTCATATCACTACCCCTACAACCGTCTATCTTCTGATACAAAGATGAAGAAGCAGCTATGGTCGACGGGTCTTCTCCGATATTGTACAATGTGTCTTCTCTGTCGGAACGGTCTATGTATATAATATTGCTTTCCGGTAGATCAAATCCTTCCTGGTGAAGCACTGTATTGGCATCGATGTTGCAAGCACGGAATATCGCCTGAAAACATCATACCTTACTGTAATAGTTCAGCGTCTGTAAAAACAAAACAGGGCGTATGTAAATACACACTCTTAGATTGACTCCACAGCATAAATTTGTCCAAATATATACAGTCAACTACGGTTATAACGAACTCAAAGGGACCACTAATTTTAGTTCATTATAACCGTAGTTCGTTATAAGCATATAAACAGCATACATGCATCACTAAAAAATAAGTTCGTTATATCGGTAAATTCGTTATATCGGTCAGTTCGTTATAAGCGTGTTCGTTATAACCGTAGTTTACTGTACATCTAAAACACAGTTATGTAGAAAACTTAAACGAGTAAGAAAATGTATAAACGTTTTTAAAAAAAGATTATTTTGAAATGACAATAATGCCCAGTAGAAAACTGCGGACACTTTGTTCATCGTTGTATGAAAAATATTATATTGACAACAACAATCCACGCCGCCGGGGTACGATGGGACGCTATCAACCAGTCAGCGAGCCTGACCGATCGCGCCCGATCGATTTGGCTGCCTGATACGACCAGGGCTCTGTTCCACCAAACGATCGTAGCGTTAAGATACTTTAACATAGGCTTACGATAGTCGTAACGCTACGATCGCTCCGTGGAACGGGTGGTTTCTGGGGACCAGTTCTAACCTTGAATCCTCACAAGGTTGTAACAGTAATATTGACGGAATACATGATACTTGCCAATTCTATTCACAGAGAACCCGCGTGGCACCGATGTAGAACTCATTGCTACACACACTGCCGCAGTCGTTGATGCTGAAACATATGAGATTCCTTCATCACAGGCGATGAATTCAACATCAGTATTAACTGTTATAGTTCAGCTCAAGAATCTTTGTTTCAGAATTGGATATCGTGCATGTACCTATGTGCGTATTTAAATAAAAACACTTATTCCATTTATCTCGATGTAGACAATAGTATATTAGGTATCCATGATGTAGCACTATTTCAAATCTGAAGTTTTGTCTACTTTCTTTGAAAAGTGGAAGGCAATGGTGGCTTGTCATCTCAGGCACGGCTATTTGCTGAGCAGAGTAGCGTCCCTTGGGCACGCCAGTAACGTATGATCATGGGTTCGAATTCCGGTTCGTTCCCATAATGTTTCTAGGTTTGTCAGCACCATACCCGTGCTCGTGGGTATTCACCAAAGTTCTTAACGTCTGAGGCCTACATCAGTTCGGGCTTTCCTCTCACATTAAGCTGACACGCCGTGATATAACTTGACAATGTTCAAAGCGGCGTTAAACCCAACTAACTTCCTCACTCACTGGCAGTGTGGACAAACGAAAACAAAGTGATTTTTATCTCAGACACACGGTAATTAGCTGATGTACATTTTGCTTACAATATGTTAGTGCCAATGTTGTTGTATGACGCAGAATGTGCAATTAAGGGAGTGACACATTTCATTTCGACAGACTTAACACAGAGTCGGCAAAATTATTAAATATCACAGAGGCGGTCGGGTAGGCTAGTGGTTAAAGCGTTTTCTCGTCATGTCGAAGACCCGGGTTCGATTCCCGACCTATTCCCGACAGCATTTGTTTCTTTACAGCACCCGTGATAATCCGGGTCAGTACAGGTTTCAGCAACCGATACTTGCCGTAAAAGGCGCTAGCGTTTGTCGACGACTAACGGGATCGGGTGGTCAGGCTCGCTGACTTGGTGGGTGCATATCATTGTTTCCCAATTGCGTAGACCGATGCTCGTGATATCAATCACTGGATTGTCTGTTCCTGAGTCGATTATTTACAGACCGCCATCATAAAGCTGGAATATTGCTGAGTGTGGCGTTAGAGAACAAACAAACTAATCCTATTTACAGCGATGTGCATATGGTTTTGGTAATGTTTCGTTTGTCCACACATACCCCCTACACACCTACAACCCAACCCCTACCCAAACCCTAGCCCACCCCTGCCCTCACCCCCACCCTGAACCCCACCCCAAACCCCACCCCGAACCCCACCCCCACCCCCACCTTTGCTTGCTGACTACGTACATGCATTCGGCTGTTGGGTTGTTTTTACATCGGCAGAAGTCTCTGTTCCATAAGGCCATGGCTTGGTGCGGCTGGGAGCAGTCAGCCCTGGGCGCGTTTCTATAGCAACCTTGAAATAAACATGACATGTTAATCACAAAAATCTCTATGATGTATCAGAGACTACTACTACAAAGTCTTGTAGTGCAGTGATGTCAAATACAAGTTCTCATCGAAGACGCACGATGGCAATACAGCAGGTTCGACTCCATCAAGGTTAAAGGTTTGTGAGGCACCCACTGAAATACTTACTTGGGACCCGTGGTAGTGTTTTGGCTATTTCAATGACATCTGAAAATAAACGGTAAAATATGTAAGCGAGTAAGATAGTTAGGTTTAACGTCATCACCTGCACTATTTGAGTTATATCTAGGCGGGAAACAGAAAATCCTGATCATGACGAATCATGATTTGAGTTAGTGAGTGAGTATAGTTTTACGCCGCTTTTAGCAATATTCCAGCAATATCGCGGCTGGGGACACCAGAAATGGGCTTCAGATGTTGCAGTCATGTGAAGAATCGAGCCCGGGCCATCGGCGTGACGACCAAACACTTTAACCGCTAGGCTACCCCACCGCCCCGCTAGTGTTTGGACCTGCGGTGAGAGAATTGTGGCACATTCCAGGGACGTAACTTTGCACACTGACTTACGATTGTCTAGACAAGTCCAATAAACAACATGTTTTGAATACACAAAAAATAAATAACTATTTAAGGCACACTGCATAAATTACTGCGTGTCAAGTATGATCGACTATACAGTTCTATGCTGTATTATATTTTGCTATGCTGTTTTACATTACACTCAGCTTTTCTTTGCTGTTCTACGTTGTACTATGCTTTTCCACGTTGTGCTATACTGTTCTACGTTCTACAATTCTGTTCTATGCCGTACTATATTTTTCTATCCTGTTCTACATTGCACTATGCTGTTCTACGTTGTACTATACTGTTCCATGCTGTACATTATTTTTCTATGCTGTTATATATTGCACTATGCTGTTCAATACTGTTCTACGTTGTACTATGCTGTTCTACGTTGTACTATGTTTCACTATACTGTTCTACGTTGTACTATACTGTTCTATGCTGTAATATATTTTTCTATCCTGTTCTACATTGCACTATGCTGTTCTACGTTGTACTATACTGTTCCATGCTGTATATTATTTTTCTATGCTGTTATATATTGCACTATGCTGTTCAATACTGTTCTACGTTGAACTATACTGTTCTACGCTGTACTATGTTTCACTATACTGTTCTACGTTGTACTATACTGTTCTATGCTGTACTAAATTTTTCTATGCTGTTCTACATTGCAATATGCTGTTCTACGTTGTACCGTGTTTTTCTACGTTGTGCTACGTTTCACTATACTGCTATATTGTTATATTTTGTTCTACATTGCACTATGCTGTTCTACTTTGTACTATATTTTCCTATGCTGTACTACGTTGTACTGCGTTGCACTATGCTGTTCTATGTTGTGCTGTACATGCAACGTTACACATTTTGTTTCATAGTGAACTACGGTGAATTACAGTGTACTATGCACTATGCTGTTCTATGTTGTGCTGTACATGCAACGTTACACATTTTGTTTCATAGTGAACTACGGTGAGTTACAGTGTACTATGCACTATGCTGTTCTATATTGTGCTGTACATGCAACGTTACACATTTTGTTTCATAGTGAACTACGGTGAATTACAGTGTACTATGCACTTTGTTGTTCTATGCTGTTCTATGTTGTGCTGTACATGCAACGTTACACATTTTGTTTCATAGTGAACTACGGTGAATTACAGTGTACTATGCACTTTGTTGTTCTATGCTGTTCTATGTTGTGCTGTACATGCAACGTTACACATTTTGTTTCATAGTGAACTACGGTGAGTTACAGTGTACTATGCACTATGTTGTTCTATGCTGTTCTATGTTGTGCTGTACATGCAACGTTACACATTTTGTTTCACAGTAAACTACGGTGAATTACAGTGTACTATGCACTATGTTGTTCTATGCTCTTGTTACAACACTCTACCCTGGATCTAGTCTCACCGAACAACCTGTACACGTGTAGTCCATCTGAAACATAGAACAGAAACACGGTGAAACCACCTGATGTATACTGACACCCATTTACAACACAAAACACCAGTGGTAGATGATGATAGTATGAGAACTACGTTAACAACATATCTAACGAAGATAGCGACTTGACCAGCAGTGATTTACTAGGGGTGATTGGTATGTTCTGAACCTCTCACAGAAAGACTGGACCTAAGGTGTTCTATATTTCCAAATAATCCCCTTCGACAATGATACACTTTTACCATCGAGATTGTGGGGATTTCGTCCCAGCTTCGTAGAAGTCCTCTTGGCTGTCCAAAGCGTTACCCGCAGCTGCTGTGAAGTCATTGTTCGCGTTGAAATGGTTCCGGTTTAGAGCTTTGTTTATGTTCGAGAATAGATGGACCTGACAGACCAAGATCAGGTTCGTGCTGAAGGAGTTCAAAGCTATGCTCGTAGATTGAAGCCATGGCATTGACTGATTTGTACTCTGGCGCATTCTCCTAATGGAAGAACACATATTATCTGACCTTCCCGTGTGTCAAAGTCTTAATTTCGTCCCCTAATTGCCTCAAAGGTGCAGCATAATACGCCCCGTTTGTTGTCTGGCCTTTTGGAAGATGACAACCTGGGCATTCCAGAACACGGAGGTCATAACCGTCTCAGCTGGTGGGACAGTCTTTGTGAAGCCATGGTTATCCACAGCAACAAATCGCTGCAAGAACATGTCTGGGTCAGCTTCAAACAGATCCAGATTATCACGACTCATGTTGTGTCTGGTGCGTTTTACTCAGAAGCTTTGGGACCCAACGAGCTGATACTTTCTTCTTTGCAAAAGTGTCTATGATAATGGAAGGTATTTCTCCTTGGAAATACCCACCATATCATCGATTCCCTCTATCATTTCTGGTGTTGCTGGCGGAAGGGGTATCCATCCCTAGTGTTGTACTCATATCGTCATGGGTACCTTTTTCTGTTGGGCAGCTTTTTCTGAGTGATCACTAAACGTTACTCAGGTTTTTCCGTTTTCCAAAGGTCACAGCCCCTGCTTATTTTACTGACTCGTCACAGCAAACAGTTTTTTAATGTTCCGCTATAAAATCGTGTAATGTCTACAAGTTATTTCGCTCTTACGTAATTTCTTCTATGTGAGGCTCAGTCCTCGTCGGATAGTGTAACAGTAACATTCGAACGAGAGGCGTGGCCAGTCATAACCCAGGGCATCAATCAAACTGGAGCAATATTCATTATTAAACAACATAAACATTCAGTTGAGAGGCGTGGCCAATAATGACCAATAGCATCAATCAAACTAGAGACGTGGTCATTATTAAACTACAGAAACATTCGAACGAGAGGCGTGGCGAGTTATAACCCAGGGCATCAATCAAACTGGAGCAATATTCATTATTAAACAACATAAACATTCAGTTAAGAGGCGTGGCCAATAATGACCAATAGCATCAATCAAACTAGAGACGTGGTCATTATTAAACAACATAAACATTCGAACGAGAGGCGTGGCCAATAATGACCCACATCATCAATCAAACTAGAGACGTGGTCATTATTAAACAACAGAAACATTCGAACGAGAGGCGTGGCCAGTTATAACCCAGGGCATCAATCAAACTGGAGCAATGGTCATTATTAAACTAGATAAACATTCAAATGAGGGGCGTGGCCAATAATGACCTACATCATCAATCAAACTAGAGACGTGGTCATTATTAAACTACAGAAACATTCGAACGAGAGGCGTGGCCAATAATGCCCTTCATCAGTCAAAAGAGAAACGTGGTCATTATGAAACTACAGAAGCATTACAGCTACAAATAAGATGACTAGGCAGCATATGATTAAAACTATGGTCATCTTCCCGAGGCAAGGGAATTAACTGACTATAAAAGTCCAGTTTCCACCCTTGCCGAACTACGCTGTGCTTATGGAGTTACATTTTGGCTGGACAAACGAATCTTTCAAAGTCCAATCAAAATCGCGCACCGAAATCGAAATCCGGTTCGTAAACTGTCATGCATAGTTCGGTCCAATGCAGGATTTGCAAAGCATGTTCATCGCCAACTCGTTGTCAACAGATATTTTCCAAATCTTTCATGTTTTTAATCAAGGTGCTCGCGTGATTTGATGTACTTCGCGAAGTAAGAACCGTTTTATCACAAAATAGATCTTGATGGGCGATTATATCGTCTTAACTGGGCGCCACCATTTTGTTTGTAACAAATGCATGTGACACGAGACATGGAATCTGATTTGTACATATGGGAGAGGCATAGAATGGACATAACTCGTAATAGCCACTGGTGGCGCTACGATCGAGCCCAGGAATTCCAGGCTAGTTCGGCAAGGGTGGAAACTGGACTTGTAAAGTCAGTTAACGCTCTTGTCTCGGGAAGATGCACTATGTTATATACCTTTGAAAAGTGTAACCTACCTCCATTAACACGACACAAATCGGGCATAGCTGGGCTCATCATACACGGCTGTACCTTCTGCCAGGCAACGAAGGCGGGGCCTGGAGGGGGGCGGGGCATCATTGGTCGCGTGGGCGGCATCGCTGGCGCCATCGGGTTTCGAGGGGGGTAAGGATTAAAGCCATACGTGTTATTAGCTGGCTGTGGTTGATATGCTTGTTGGGGCGGCTGATAAGGCTGAGGGCTCGGTTGTCTTTGTGTGGGCTGTGGTTGTGGCTTTGGCTGAGGCTGTGGTTGAGGTTGTGGTTGAGGCTTGGGTTGAGGTTGAGGTTGAGATTGTTGCGGTTGCTGTTGTGGTTGCGGCTGTGGTTGCATTTGCGATTGTCCTTGATTTGGGTAAGTGTTGGGGTAGTCTCTCACAGCACCGGCAGGGGGCGCTGAATTCCGGGGCCCCTGATTGGATGATGGAGGTGCGAAGAAGTTATTTGGTATGTCGGGATAACCTGCGGGAGAAGGAAATCAAAGTTAACATGGACAGTACGTGTAAATATAAACACATCGAAATAGGTTAAGCACCCCTAATTGTTTCAGTATATATTCCCTGAAAATGTACATATGACGTGGATCTGAGTGTAATAAATGTCTTGGATATCAGCAATACCTGGGCATTATTTGGGAACGCTGTAGATGGACAGATGTACTGGGTCACATCATAAGACATAACGAGTGAGTGAGTGAGTTGGGTCTAACGTCGCTTTAAACATTATTCCAGTTATATCACGACAATATGGCCTGAACAGTGCGTGAGTTGGGTTCAATGCTGATTTGAACAATATTCCAGTTATACCCCGGCAGTATGACCTGAAGAGTGTGTAAGTGAGTGAGTCGGGTTTAACGCCGCTTTGAACAGTAGTCCGGTTTTATCCTGGCATTATGACCTAAAGAATGAGTGAGTAAGTTGGTTTTAACGTCGCTTTGAACAGTAGTTCGGTTTTTCCTGGCATTATGACCTAAAGAGTGAGTGAGTAAGTAAGGTTTAACGCCGCTTTGAACAGTATTCTGGTTTTATCCCGGCATTATGACCTAAAGAGTGAGTGAGTAAGTTGGGTTTAACGCCGCTTTGAACAGTATTCCTGTTTTACCCCGGCATTATGACCAAAAGAGTGAGTGAGTAAGTTGGGTTTAACGCCGCTTTGAACAGTATTCCGGTTTTATCCCGGCATTATGACCCAGAGTGAGTGAGAAAGTTGGGTTTAACGCCGTTTTGAACAGGATTCCGGATTTATCCCGGCATTATGACCCAAAGAGTGAGTGAGAAAGTTGGGTTTAACGCCGTTTTGAACATGATTCCGGATTTATCCCGGCATTATGACCTAAAGATTGTACTCAAAAGGAACATGGAACAGTTACAAAAGCTGTAAGTTAATAATCGATGATAACGCAATCATATACAGTGCTGAACATCCACCTCTTATATATAAAAATATTATCTTTATTCAGATCCAAAACGTATATTGTAATTTTTTAGGATAATATTGCCATACTTCCCGGCTAAACCGTTTGTGTTTGTACGTACATTGCTTTTTCAGGATATAAACATGATGCATTTTCACATTTTAGGGGGTTATTGAATACTCTGTACCCGAAAATTTCAAGTAGTAAATTTTCTAGTCACCGAACACTAAACAAACCCAAGATATCTTAAAACCACATCATGCATGTTTATCGACATTGTAGTATGCAAAAACTATCAGTTATTTTCTGAGGCAATTTCTCTATACGTGAACGTCATGATACAGTTGATGACGTCACATGATTCAGTCATAATTGAACTGAAAATAAACAAACCAAATCCCAGTTGTTCTGATAAACAATGACCCATCGGAATAGAAATAATTAGAATAGCTCATCCTTCAAGTTTTGATTTGAGGGGAAATATACTTGTTAAGAAAATATCCATGCGCAGGGAATAGTCTAGGATATTCCGAATCTAATTTCATCACGTTCTTAGCCAATCATATCACAGCAAAGATTCATACTCGCTTTACAATACTGATTCTATAACACTGACAGACTTGCCTCCTTGCCACTGAGCGCCTCCGCCTGGTTGAGCTGTAACATGTCAACAGCAATAATTAGTCACCATGACAAACAAACAAACAACAACACATGACAATACAGTCAACTACGGTTATGACGAACTGAAAGGGACCACTAATTTTAGTTCGTAATAACCGTAGTTCATTATAGGCATATATACAGCATTTATACCACAAATGGGCGGGACTAAAAATAAGTTCGTTATATCGGTCAGTTCGATATAAGCGTGTTCGTTATAACCGTAGTTTACTGTATCTTGTAAAAAAACATGTATACAACAAATGGTCGGGACTACAAATAATTTCGTTATATCGGTCAGTTCGTTATAAGCGTGTTCGTTATAAACGTACTTTACTATACAAAACTATTCGATCTGAATGTAACATAGTACTACATGTGCATATTGTTTTGGGATCTTAAGTAAAAAATATTAAACTTCATTTTATTTGCATTACATTAAATAAACGAAAGATGTGGGTGTGGCAAGCAGGCATTCATTATTTTGTATACTGCAGTGACATAAAACATATTGAACTTAAGTAGATATGTAGCCGTGTAGAGCACGGTACATGTTTCACGTTACAGTGACACTCATGTATAGATACCCGGTGAATATTACAGGGTGATTATCCGTGTAAGTGGTTTAGTCAACCTCAACCTCTTGTAGCATATAGGAGTGTTAAAGTAGCGACCCAAAGCGTTAATGAATAATGCACGATGTTATGTTTTCATCACATCAATTACATGAACTGCATCAAAAACAGCTTTGGCGATGTCTGACGGATGGTCATGACTCCTGCTCCATTGGTAGGGACATTGAGGAAACTACGCACTTTAAAAGAAGTACAAAACATTCTCAATATGTTTCTACAGAGGTGCATGCAGCGAAAAGTACATCAAAGGTACACATCGATATTTAGTGTCTTATACTCAGCTGACATTATTGAGAATGAAAACGTTTTTTCTGTAATATTAAAATGATAATTCTGTTGATAGGAAATAGTGTCCTTGTGCAGTATGCTCAGTGATTAATCTCACAGAGAGTTAAGACATATAAATTCAGATGCTCCACTAAATACACTGTCTACAGTTATCTATATAGCTAACTACTTGTATTACACACATCACACGATTAGCATTATCTAGGACTATAATCTAACTGACACATGTTAGAAAATAAAGGAATACAAACTGAAAACATTGTTTCAAGTAACATGACACATTGGTTTAATCTTTAAATAACATATCATTTTAAAGACTTGTGCATGCAAGTTTGACGACGTATGACGTCATGGCATCGTATGTGGTGGGTACCTGCATAAGGGTCGCTGGATGGGTAGCCGTTCGCAGGACGTGACACGGAAGGTGATGACGAGGGATTGCTGGGTAGATAGTCATTGATGGAGCGTGACATGGAAGGGGCGTTGCTGGGCAGGTAGTCACTCACTGAACGTGACATTGAAGATGGTTGGGCGTTGCTGGGCAGGTAATCACTCACGGGACGTGACATGGAAGATGGTTGGGCGTTGCTGGGCAGGTAATCACTCACGGGACGTGACATGGAAGATGGTTGAGCGTTGCTGGGTAGGTAGTCACTTACGGGACGTGACATGGAAGATGGTTGAGCGTTGCTGGGTAGGTAGTCACTTACGGGACGTGACATGGAAGATGGTTGGGCGTTGCTGGGCAGGTAATCACTCACGGGACGTGACATGGAAGATGGTTGGGCGTTGCTGGGCAGGTAATCACTCACGGGACGTGACATGGAAGATGGTTGGGCGTTGCTGGGCAGGTAATCACTCACGGGACGTGACATGGAAGATGGTTTGGGTTTACTGGGATGGTGGTCACCCCCAGAGCTTGGCCTGGAGGTAGGTGGGGAAGGGTAGTTATGCATGTTGTCGTTGAGACCACGTGACAGAGAGGGTGAAGCAGTTGGTGCTGATGCTGATGGGAGTGCCGTTGGAGGTGATGGAGCCTTGGGAGCCGTTGGAGCTGGTTGTCCGGCTTTTGTTTTGGAAACAGCTACAGAAGCAGATATAGTTTGGATACATGACAGAAAGCATCGCTAAAATTAAAGTCACCATTTGTGTCACGAAGTCAAAATGTGAAAATTCCTCCCTCTTTGACGTCATTTATATGTTTGCAAATGAGATATGATTATTATTATTTAACATAAAAAAACGGGATATTAGAATACACAGGTAGCTCCCCTTCAGGTATCGTTAGCGACAAACGCGATCTGCATTTACCTTGAGTATGCATGTGCATATTAACTCTGGAACAGTTATCAAAATTATACATGTCTGCATATAGATAGTGCCATAGCTATTGTCAATAATGGTGGGCGTTGACACGGGGATACGGTAAGGTAGCTCCGGATAAGGGGTCTATACCTGCGTTTGGTTTATATTTGTCCGCGCTTGGGTAATTAGGTAAAAGGGCTGACATAAGAAGGGAGGTGCTGCTTCCTGGTGACCCCGGGGCGCCAACAGCTTAAAACAGAACAGCATGAATAACTAAATACATGTAATTGTTTTTTTTGTTTAACGCCTCAATCAGCTGTATTAAAGCTATATGACGTCAGTCTGTAAATAATCGAGTCTGGACATGGCAATCCGGTGACTGGCATGTTTTTATTTGTTTGTTTGTTGTTTAACGCCGCACTCAGCAATATTCCAGCTATATGACGGCGGTCTGTAAATAATCGAGTCTGGACCAGATAATCCAGTGATTGGCATCATGAGCATCGATCCACGCAATTGGGATCGATGACACCACCCGATCCCGTTAGTAGCCTCTTACGACAAGCATAGTCGCCTTTTACAGCAAGCATGAGTTGCTGAAGACCTATTCCTCCCCGGATCTTCACGTTGTTAACATGCCTTGTCCTTTTGCTATGTGTAAAACGATAACAGGGAGTCTGCTTTGAGATTCAGAGGGAGAATGTCTCCTGTACCCATTTCGTAAAATGCGACCAAAGAGGGTCACCGTGACTAAATGGAGCGGACTGGTGTTCATGCTTTCAGTCACTGTGTCTGGTCCAGATATGATGCATTACATACATGTACCATCGCTGGTCGCGGCGGTAATCAACATTCACTCAGTCATGCCAGATACAGATGATATATAAGTTATAACATGCATCCGGAGAATGGTGAATATGACGTCATGATGACGTAATGCATGCGTGGTGAATATGACGTCATGGTGACTTAATGCATACGGTCTGAATATGACAACATGATGACGAAATGCATAGGTCTCACATGCTTGGATTGACAATGAATGTCAACATTCCCCTAATGAAAGGAATGGGAAAAGATCGGACATGCCAGTGATTGGAGGAAAAAAAAGATGTGAATGATATACCTGTTAGATAAATGGTTATAGTTAATATATTTGGCAGATCCTCGGGTGAGCCATCAACCAACCGACTACCATCGAGTCGTACATACCAAAGTGGGATTACAAAAGCAATATCTTAATAGCTGTGTTCCGCTCCACCTTTATTATATATCCCCTTCTGGCCCTTATTTTATCACCCATTGTCCCATAACATGATCATACTACTCAACCATTGCTAAGGATCATAGTTTTAACTTCAGGATAGAAATCATGCGGAATAACAAAGCCATGTTGGTTTCTGTTTGGGTGCGATGATACCGACCCATTCTGATATATATGTACTTTCTAAAAAAGTTATCAAAGGAAAATGGTTATTTGAGGGGATTTTTAGTTTCTTTTATCAACCATCTTATATCCATTATGTTCATCTGCATTTAAATGCTACATTTAGTCAGGTATGTCCATGTGATGGGAAGGAAACAAGCATCCTTAGAATGGTTGGAGTAGTATAAGAAATGCCCTGCCGAGCCCAGGGGCCAACAACTGACCGGGAGTATCTGCAGGATCTGCTGTAGGCGGGCCTTGTTGCCATGCTGGTCCGTCTGAAATAATAACTATATGTTCCTAGGATATGACTATTTAAACATTGCATTTAAAGAAAGCAGTTGGTTCACAAATCGGGCAACCATCCAGGTAATGGGAGTTTTGTTCCATCAACTAAACGTACGATTATAAAATACATCGGGGAAGAGTGAAACCTTGCCACCTCCCAGTGTGACTAACATTTCAAACCGATTCTATTTCATATCGCGGTAGGAAACGTTCACACAGGGCCTATTTTCAAAACCTTTAAAAATTCTGAACCAGATGATAACAAAATAGCTTAAGGGAGATGTAATTGTATTGATGCGTTAATATCCATTATCTAATTCATAACTGTCTGATGTTCTGATGGTAAAGCATCTTTTGACGTACAGCCTGTATAGTCAAAGGGTGGGTGGGGTGGGTGATCGCTCATGGATCCATATTTGGTGTCTCTTGGGAGAAACAGACACGCCGTATCATGCTTGGAGATTAGATGTTAGTCTCACAGACAAGGTATACCACGACAATGAATGATGAGTATATGCTTGTAAGGAATATATATATCCATAAGGAATGTTCAAGAAAGTTATGCGGGAGACTTAATGAGATTATGAAACGTTAACTGTTAAGCATGCTACTGTATAAGTTAAATGGAAAATATGAATTATGAATGAAAATGATACATGTCTCCTTTGAAGAAAATGACGGACTTACTTTGTTGCCCCCATGGTTGCGCAGGTGCGGGAACTGAAGATGAAGAAGAAAGCCCTTAAGATTGATATACTACACATCCTTGAAATCAGATGAAATGGGAACTAAGCCGTGGAGTCACTGACGACCGAAACAAATGTAGCAGGGCGTGTAGTCATCCCACACATGACATCCTTACCTTGGTTATGTGGACAAGGCGTCCAACCTCGAATCAGAAGGTCCGTGGTTCGAATCCCATCACGGGACTCGGAAGTTTTATTGCCGCTACATTCATATTAAATTTGAGCAGGGAGTACCCCGTCAACAGAAGGCACGTCAAGGACGCAAAGTTGGGTACTGAGACTTATTTTGCTCAAATCTAATATGAACGTGCTCACGTTTGGTGCAAATGTGGGTGACATAAAACTTCCTAGTCTTGTGATGGGATTCGAACCATGGACCTTCTGATCAGAGGTTAACCCTGTCAGCAAGCTGAAAAGGTAAGGATGTCATCAGTGGGATGACTCCACGCCCCGCTACGCAAAGTCAATATTAATCTACTTTATATAACTTGGACATAACACTACTTTCACAGTTTCCAGTATTCACAGAATCACAAGGTTATATCTCGCACTTTTGACGTCTCGACGAACTTTAGCTCACTGGGTTATGACTGGACATATGTTTACATTTAAATCTGTTAATATGTTTAATCTATATAAAAGCAGCATAAAGCTAACATGTACATAACATTCGAGGTCACGGAAACCAGTTATGTGACACTTCAAAGTTCAAGGTTACCGAATACATGATTTATTATGTCAAGGTCACAGGGTTACCATCAGGCGGGTCAGCTGGATCAGGCATTGACGATAGGTGAAACCCTCCCTGCATGACTGGTCAAAGGTCAGAGGTCAGAGATTATTTGGAGTACATATCAAACTGTGTTAACCGTCACAAAATCAAATCGATTGGGTTGTTTTCATTCATATTAATCGTTTATCATATCGTTTATAATTTACACGTATATCCAGCTTTTAATTTCTCATAATTAAGGCCATTCAACTTAATTATTAACAAACAGTTTATTGATATAATTGACCCCTGTTACGAAATTCTTAAGTGAATATAGCTTGCTTAGATGTATTGCGTGCTAATATTCATGAGTAGATATTTTAACTATTACAGACAAATGCGCATGCATGTATGTATATATAGATATATATAGCTATTGCGCGTTTTATACAATGATATAGCCCGAGTTATATATACGGAATAGACACTATCCTGTTATGGATATACATCCGTTTGGATCCTGTGTTAAAATAATCCCCTCGCAACCAATGCCTGTCCCCTGAGGGCACTGCATTTGACTCTGTTGTGCTGATTATAGCTACTGTGTTGTACTGCATTCGTCAACACTCGTCTCTTTCCGTAACCTGCACGAAGACTCGTCCCTCTATCGATGAAAGTTATGTGCGAAAATACGACAAACCAATCAGAATGCGCGTATGATTTCAAGTTCTTCGTCAAGGATTCCCTCAGAAATATTTTTTGATTTTACATATGTCTTGCATCTAAAAATATACCCAAGGCACCGTTAAATGTGTTCAATCATACTGTATAATTCCGCATGTCCAGATGTGCTTTAAATTACATCTGAAATATATATATAATATTTCGGGATATATATGTGAACCATAACACGACGAGTTGTCAATTATTTTAGGTATGCCCGTTTGCGCTGAGACGGAACCCGGTCGCAAAAATGGCCATGAGAGGGGCACGAGTCGCTATTCGGCTTGTCCCGGAATAACACGAGTTGGTCACGAATATGTAGTACTGATTTACACCTGGCCGTCAGCTTCACTAAGATTGCCGCTATAGCCGCTATACTAGTATATACACGGCACGGCACGCGGTCCTTTGCACGGCGCACAGGTCACAAATCAGGTACAGTTAAGCAACGTTGGTTGCAGAGAGACCTTGATGGAGGAACGTGTTTGGCAGCTTGGTTCCTGAAAGTTTCTAGGGCTTTGGTCCTGACCCACACTGAAGCACATGTAACACATGTGGTCTCTCCTTGTCTTTGATCGAAATGTGCCTCACTTGGATGGGACCCTTGTCCCCTCTACACGCAACCCAGACAGCGAATGGGACTTCTCAAAGGAGCCTAGTCAAACCCACCCAGAACTCTTCGGAAAATGTGAAGACTCCCTAACACTGCAGCCTTCTTCATTACCCAGATTGTCAGAAGGGCTGTATTCCTGGAAGCAACCCGGGTACTCTCCCAATGTCAGTCAACAGATTGGGAGGCACCAAACCTGAGGCACCGAAAACAATTGGGAGTCGGACAACTTGGTACTTAGGATGTAAGCGGGACGAGGTCTGCATATTTGCCATGTTTTTCCTGAATCTTGTTAATCACATTGGTGTCAAAAGGGACAGAAAATTCAATAATGTAAATGATTTCATTGGATTTATCAAAAAGGACAAGATCAGGTTTGTTGGCCTGGATACGTCTGAGGCTGTATACCGGCCTATTCCAATGAATTTTGTATTTATCATTTTCCATGACGCCCTCTACATATTCCGGGTCGTACAATGGATGGACCTCTGTGTCCAAACCACAAGCACGGCGAAGACGGTAATAAAATGATCGATCCACTTCATCATGTCGCTTAAGATACTGTGTTTGTGCCAAAGCTGGGCATCCCCACACAATGTGTTGGACAGTCTCATTAAATTATTACATATCTACATTTCATATTTACAGTTTGATGCAAAATCACACATGGACTGTTTCGAGTGGGAAGTTACTGGTCCTGAACAGCAAACAGAAGGCCTTCTGTGTCACTTTTCAGGCCAGCCGACTTCATCCAAGAGAAGGACTCTGCAGGTTTGCTTATCAGTCGTCTTCGGCGCCGCAAATCGCTGTGCAGAGTTGCGTCCCTTGGGCAAGCCAGAAATCTTAAATTGTGGGTTCGAATCCCGGTTCGCCCCGATTATGTTTCTAGGTTTGTCAGCACCATACCCGTGCTCGTGGATTTCACCGAAGTGGTAAACGTCTGAGACCTGCATCACTTCGGGCATTCCTCCCACATTAATCTGACAAGCCGTGATATGACTGGAATACTGTTAAAAGCGGCGTTAAACCCAACTCGCTCACTCACTAATTTGCTTTGTAACTGTCTGAAATAATATCTTGTGACTGAACCAATTTTGAATGGTTTCTGCTTATCTTATTTGCCTCTCACACATTTTCATTGATTAAATATTATGGTAAATATATTCTTATATAATTATGTAAATATTCCAATACATGTACACGGGGTGCGCATTCCTTGTCGGAGCAGATTATGATATGAACTACGTTCAGGGTTACTGATTAGTGGCGATGGTATTTGATTATCACACAATTAATCGTTATGTGGAGATTGTATAGATTCTATTACATCTACAGTAAACTACGGTTATAACGAAATAAAAGGGACTGCTAATTTTAGTTCGTTATAACCGTAGTTCGTTATAAGCATATATACAGCATAACTACAGCAAATAGTCGGGACTAAAAAAGTAAGTTCGTTATATCTGTCAGTTCGTTATAAGCGTATTCGCTATAACCGTAGTTTACTGTACACGTCATTGTCAGGCAGGAATACATACATGAACAACCTGCCATTGGATAATTGACTACCTCATGATTAATGGATATGTATATATGGTATTGTTATGTTCACAGTGCAAGCAGCAATACTAACATATAAATGATAGACGCATGTGAAGTATAAAGGCAGTATGAGCATATAGAGCTACATGTGATCACTGCATGACCGGTTCTGATACGGCAACGCTCTGTGACGCTGCGCGGTGTGGAAGCGGTGTGGAAGCGGTGTGTCTCAAGGTTGCTGTACCACGACAGGCTACAGTATATGCTATGTAACAGTCAATGGGTAAAATGCGATATACTCAGAAATATATGTCTAAAGATGCCAAAATATTGCAGTAATTACACACTTTGACTGAAAAATCTGCCCATTATATCAATTTTTTTAGATAAATGAAAAAGGCTTTAAACATCAAACTAGATCAATTATGCTAGGAGTATTAAAAAATTACAATGACTTTTTCTTTTAATCCTATCATTTTCGGTCAATGGTTGAAGAAAGTAAAAATTAATATGTTTTGAATTCGTTATCAAAATGAAATCGATAGATGTTTCAGGTATATAGTTATATAACTCAAATATTTAGGCATTTTTCTTATTTGGCTTTGTGAAAAGTTTGTTGGTTTGTTGTTTAACACCGAATAAAGTGGTTGACCATTTTACACATTGACTGTAGCATATATATATACTATATATGTATACACACATGACAACAACAACGGCAAAGGAATGTTGATAACATACCTTGCTGCCATGGAGAATATGCTTGAAGGAAAAGAATGACAATGATTTCCCGAGTGCTGTAGAACATAAGATCTGCATCGGTGTGTGGATTGCTACAGTTTGCAAATAAAAGTTCTGTACCTAATCTGAGTTAAAGTCAAAGGTCTGTCTTACTGCGGCATAGCGCCGGCGGAACTGCGACACTACTGCTACATAATAACGACACTACTGAGACACTAATGCGACACTATTGATACATAATTATGAAACTGCGACAGTACTACGAAACTTATGTGACACAACTGCGACACTACAGCCACATAATAATGACACTACTGATACTGATACTGATAACTGTTACATGATTTTGACACTACTGCGACACTACTGCTACAAAATTATGACACTACTGCGACACAACTGTTACATGATTATGACACTACTGCGACACTACTGCTACATAATCATGACACTACTGCGACATAAATGTTACGTGATTATGACACCATTGCGACACTACTGCTACATAATTATGACACTACTGCTGTATAATTATGACACTAATGCGACACTACTGCTGCATAATTAAGACACTTCTGCGACAATAATGTCGCATAATTATGACACTACTGCGACAGTAATGTTACATAATTAAGCCACTAATACGGTACTACTGCTACATAATTATACCGCTAATGCGCCACTAATGCGCGACTAATGCGACACTGCTGCGACACTTCTGCGTGTGAGCTAATGAGTGAGGTTTCACGCCGCTTTTAGCAATATTCCAGCAATATCACAGCAGGGGACACCACAAACTGGCTTTACACCTTGTACCCATGTCGGGACTCGAACCCGGGCCTTCGGCGTGACGACCGAACGCTTTAACCACTTGGCTACTCGACCGCCCCGACACTACTGCGACACTACTGCGACATATTTATGACCCTCCTGCGAAACTAGTGCGACACTACTACGACACTTATGCGACACTAATGCGACAGTACTGTTATATAATTATGAAACTACTTCGACACTACAACGACACTTATGCGACACTAATGTGATACAACTGTTATATAATTATGAAACTAATGCGACACTACTTCGACAATACTACGACACTAATGCGACACTACTGCTTCATAATTATGACACTACTGTGACAATAATGTTACATAATTAAGCCACTAAATCGGTATTAATGTAACATAAGCATGACACTTCTTCTACACTAATGCGACACTTATGCGACACTTATGCGACACTACTACTATACTACTGCGACACTACTGTGACATAATAAGAACACTACTGCGAAACTTAATTGAATTAAAGATATCTCTATTTGAATTAAAGATATCTGTAATGCATTTGTGGATATGTAAAACCTTTTTCAAGATATCTTGAATTGAATTTAAGATAACTTGAATTTATTTCTAATATATTTATGTACTGTAGGATGGTAATTGTTAAATGATATCTTAAGTACATTTAGAGATATCACAAACTAATTTGTTGATATCACCGTAACATTTTAAGATATCAGTAATTGTATTATGGATATCAGAAATGAATTTAAGATATCTTTAATTATTTTTTGATGTCCTAAAATCATTATTGATATCTCTAAATAAAATACCGATACTTTTAAAACAATTGAAGATGTCTGTAATTCCGTAATAAATGTGAAAACGGCTTGCCATACTGGCGCTGTCTAACCATAAACGAAGTTGGGTTTCTTTGGTTTCTGGGGCGGTCGGGTAGCCTAGTGGTTAAAGCGTACGCTCGTTGCGCCGAATACCTGGGTTCGATTCCCGACATGGGTACAATGTATGAAGCCCATTTCTGATGTCCACCGCCGCGATATTGCTGGAATATTGCTAAAAGCAGCGTAAAACCATACTCACTCACTCACTCACTCACTCACTCACTCACTCACTCACTCTTTGGTTTCTGGCGTTTGTACGGGACGCACGGCGAATTGCGAAGCATTATATGTCTTGTCCACGCGTCTCGTTAAAATGAAGAACTGTAGATATCAGCATTGTCATGAATATGTCACGAGATCTATGGTCGGTGCCATGGTAACATTGTCCATGCCGTTTGATGATCAGCATCCGATACATAATTGCTATCTGTGAAAACTCAAAAGGCCACGCTTTTGAAAAATGATTGTATTGATGCATGTGACCCACATACAAGTGTACATTCGGGCTACACTGACAATTTCCTCACTTGACATATAGCGTTACATTTACAACATACAAACCGCAATTTTGTTTCTCGAATTAATGATGTAAGACGCCATTCTCCAGATATTTACAATTTGTTCCGATTGAAATCGATCATTGGGAATAATAAGTTTGCTTTCTGTCGACGGTAATGTGCAATGAATGTGAAAATTGAACGAAGTTGATAAATGCCTATCTGTGGTATTCTTAACGATTCTTACCAAAGCATGCGTACATAAGACATACCTACAATATAATTAGGTGTGAGGTAGGATACATTCATTGTCCACTGGACCCTCGACTGGTGAAAGATGGGTGGGTGGGTGAGTTTGGTTTAACGCCGCTTTTAACAGTATTCCAGTTATATCACGGCGTGCCAGCTTAATGTGGGAGGAAAGCCCGAAGTGATGCAGGTCTCAGACGTTTACCACTTCGGTGAAACCCACGACCACGGGTATGGTGCTGACAAACCTAGAAACATAATCGGGGCGAACCGGGATTCGAACCCACAATCATAGGTTTCTGGCGTGCACAGCGAATCGCGGCGCCTTAAACGTCTTGGCCACCCGTGCCCCCACTGGTGAAAGGGTTGATGTACCCAGGAGGGCTCAGGGAACAACCCATGACACTTTTGTTTGTTTGTTTGTTTGTTTGTTGCTTAACGCCAGACTCAGCAATATTCCAGCTATATGACGGCGCTCTGTAAATTATCGAGTCTGGACCAGACAATCCAGTGATTGACATCATGAGCATCGGTCCACGGAATTGGGATGCGATGACATGTATCAAGTCAGCGTGGTTGACCACCCGATCCCATTAGTCGCCTCTCATGACAAGCATAGTCGCCTTTTACGGCAAGCACGGTGTTGCTGAAGACCTATTCTACCCCGGCTCTTCACGGGACACTAGTGCACGACATATGTAATGACGATATCAACCAGAGACTAAATCAGTAAAACTAATGGTAGTATAATGATAGGGCAATTATACCGATCCGTGTTATATCTGCGAAAACATGCCAAAATGTAGAGAGGAGTTTATGTGAACTTTGGTCACATACATATATGATCCATAGTTGATAAGAAATGTAGATACATTTTGCAGTAATAACAGGTAATGCTTATTCACTTACCTGGTTGTTGGTACGGGGAAGCGCGCTGATTGGCTAATGAAATAGAGAGAACATAATAAGTAAAACTGTACTTTATGATTCGTACAATTGTACACCAAATGGGTCAACATTCTTTACAATAATTATTAGTCTAAAGTAACTACAGGATTTCTATTAGTTGCTGACAACTAGGTTGAAGGAGGTCATGGTGAGTAGGGAGACATGCAGAGGTAGAGTGCATTGATTAGTGCTACAAGCTGACGTCATCACGTCACTAGAGGATTCTGCAATCTGAATGGTCCATCAGCTGACGGAACCTGTGTTATACCATGGGCGTGTTGAGACTTCCATACATCTATGCAGTTACAAACGTTGATATGATCGTTTACTGCTTTCAGTTGTGATAAACTCTGTTTCTGTTCACCAGCAGTGAATGGGTACCCGGTAGGATGGGATGGCAATGTCGTTGTAAACCTTCTAGCGCCTAACGGGTAGCTTAGGTTGTATACTCCCCAGGGTGCTGAGAATCATACTTGAGTGCACATTGACCAGGATAAACATAGCGCTTTGAGTATGCCCCTGAGTGGTGTGGAAATATGCGCAATATAAATAGCCTTTTATTATCATTATCATTATTATATATCCTAGATGATGGAAGAAGCATTTGTTTTGAAGCATTTAAAAGTTTCCAATTTTAAACCAAGCATCACGCTTATAAGGTTGATTCCAAATATAGTTATGTTCTAAACATTAATCCTAAACATATTGTAGTTGATGTTCTGATTGATTAAAAGGCACACTTGAAAAAAACACTTATTGTACTTTGACAACATGAAACATTAAATGATGAACGATCACAACCAACCTCCCGAGGTGAGGCTATTTGGGGGAGGCTCCCATCCTGGTGGAGGTTTATCAGGAGGCGGTTGCCATCCAGGGATAGGGCCGTCTGGGGGTGGTTGCCAGCCTGGAGGCGGAATATCTGGCGGTGGTTGCCATGGCTGCGGTGGTTTATCAGGTGGCGGTTGAAAACCTTGAGATGCACCATCTGGCAGTGGTTGCCATGGCTGAGGTGGTTTATCAGGAGGCGGTTGAAAACCTTGAGGTAGACCATCTGGCGGTGGTTGCCATGGCTGCAGTGGTTTATCAGGAGGCGGTTGCCACCCTTGAGGTGGACCATCCGGCGGCGGTTGCCAGGGTTGCGGAGGTTTATCAGGAGGCGGTTGCCCTCGGTGGTTTGGGGTATCTGGCTGTGGTAGCCATGGCTGCGGAGGTTTATCAGGAGGCGGTTGCCAACCCGGCGGTGGACCATCTGGGGGTGGTTGCCATGGCTGCAGAGGTTTATCAGGAGGCGGTTGCCAACTTGGAGGTGGACCATCTGGCGGTGGTTGCCATGGCTGCGGAGGTTTATCAGGAGGCGGTTGCCAACCTGGAGGTGGACCATCTGGCAGTGGTTGCCATGGCTGCGGAGGTTTATCGGAAGGGGGTTGCCAGCCAGGAGGTGGACCATCTGGGGGTGGTTGCCACACTTGGTTAGGGCTATTTGGTGGTGGTTGCCATGGCGGGCTTTGATGGTTAGGGGGTGGTTGCCAGCCGGAACCCCCTTGGTTTGGAGCGTTTGGGGGTGGCTGCCACCCCGCCCTAGAACCCCCTGGGGAACTTCCTGAAGGTTCCCATCCCCCAGTGTTTGGACTATTTGGGTAATTCTGCCATGCTCGGCTCTGGTCACTTTGCCAACCACCTTGGTTTTGTGGATTGTTTGATAGCTGACCGCCTGAAATGTTTCAAACTTTGAACAAAAACTTATATCCTGCGTTAAAACTTTTCTTTTTCTTTCAACTTTGTCAAAACAAATAAAGACAAGGGACATTTTTAATAGGTTGAAATCTACAATAAAATAGTGTTGAATTCTTTTAGACTTTCCTTTGCAAGAAGTTGTCGGTAACGTTATGAAATATATGTAGTTACGTCCATGATTTATTACACGTTAATTAATATTCATATTCGTTGGTGGTAAGCTGTGGTGATTACCTAGACTGTCAGGGAGGTCGGGGGGTTGGGCTCCATAGTATGGTGACCCCGGGGGTGATGCGGTGTGACCTTCACCTCCAGAAGGTGCTGCTCAAAGGTTACAAGTGAAAGGTTAACACATGCATCTATAACGACATGCAAATATACTACTATTAGACTAAGAGATCTAACGCTAGGTCATCACTCACATTTTACGACACTTTACAACTATTGAATGACGTTTCATCTGAAACAATCAGATTTGACTATCGGTTTTTTTTCTGTATATCACTGCTGTTTCGTTTTTTAGAGGAATAAGGTGGAACGTGATAGTGAAACCTCATTAGTCCGGACGGAACAGTTCCGCGTAACAGAGTCCGAATAAAGAATGGTACAGTAAACTACGGTTATAACGAACTCGACTAGGGACGACTAATTTTAGTTCGTTATAACCGTAGTTCATTATAAGCATATATACAGCATAACTACAGCAAATAGTCGGGACCAAAAAGTAAGTTCGTTATATCCGTCAGTTCGTTATAAGCGTGTTCGTTTTAACCGTAGTTTACTGAATACGTAGCAGGTGAGCTGAAATGTTTAGCTTCGCGGACTAATGCCGGCGTTATAGTATCAGTCCACTAAGATACCATGCCGTAGTTTAAACATGAATACCCCACTCAGACACAGTATTCCTACTCGAGTCGACCAGCCCTTGTTTTGTCCCCTTGATGCAAAGCGTCAGGCATGGTAACAAAAAGTACCATCTTTTAATGTATCGTGGTTTGATGCGACCGGGGATAAAACCACCGAGCTTTAGCTCTCAGGGGAGACGTTCTATCCACTAGAACACGGAGGTTGTCCCGTGTACCCAGTAGTTATCATATGACACTAGTCATACGGACTGGGCCATGTCCGGATTACCAGGGGTCCGTAGTAACGAGGTTTCACTGTAGATGTTAAATTCATATTTTGAGATGGAAAACACATTAACAGTGTGTCATAAAACAGCAGGCGTCGACCGATCAAAATGAAATTATTCTTTGAAAATATTAAAACTTTTTTTCACTCGAAATGAATAGAAACGTATACAACGCCAGTAAAATGCTTGTTTCAAATGTGGGTGATTAACTAACTGGAGCTAAGAAACATAATTAAGACATTCATGTTTATTCATAAGAAGAGGATTACCATGCACGTTAGTATTGTGAAATGTACAAACTACATGCAATACATTCAGCATGAATAAAAAATAACATTGGCTAACAATACTCTTCTAGACGGCAAATACATCATATGAACGGTTATATATAACACAGTTTTACATGAATTAAATATAATGCCATATACATATGTAATATACTCAGAATTCAATGATAATCATTGACACTCGACTCTGGATATAACGAACTCTGTAACAGCTCAATTCATAATACCCGATTTCGCGCAAACAATGTCGATGTTGCTCATCACTGCTGGCTCTAGGGACGATAGCGCTACGTCTGTAAAAGGTGTTCTAGGATTTAGCAAATTGGGAGTCCCCTTTTCTAGCCCGGATCTTCACGAAGTACTTTGTCGAAATAGGGTATTCGAATTCGGTTCGGTATAACCCAGTGTTTGTTTTATCCAAATTCGCTATACCCAGAGTTGACAAGCAGAATGTGTACATCCTAACAGAAACGAGTCCAAACACTGGCGGGGGACTTACCTTGTGGCCACTGGTTGTGCATGGGCTGGGATGGCACTGAATCAGAATCAAAGTCATGTTAGAATTTGTTCAACAGAGAAACTTTGGTATTTTTTATTAGAAACTTTTTAGAACACTAATAGCGATTTTCGTTTTTTTGCCCGTTTATCATAATTATGATGCAAAAATGTTTGGCTTAAAACGCATTGCATAATCCTTACATTTTATAAATTGTATTTGGAAATACTTACATATGAGTGTTCAGATAGGAAAAGTAGATGCTTAACTTGTCACGATTGGACAGCTAACTTACTGTAACTTACTTACAAATGAGAGTCTTGTGATCATATAACCACACAGAAAACAACATGTATGTACACGGCTATGTAAAGCTGTACTCTTGTGAATAAAAGTGTAAAATAATACAGAATATTAGTATTATAAATGCATATACGTGTATTTTACATGGGGCGTAAGTAGATGGGATTAATCAGAGAATGCGACCACATAAACACAATGTCGTGTGTGTGCATGTCAGCGAGAGTCGAGTTGGCTTTATACATGCATGTTCTATTATGAGTGAGTGAGTGAGAGTGGTTTTACGCCGCTTTTAGCAATATTCCAGCAATATCACGACGGGGGACACCAGAAATGGGCTTCACACATTGTACCCATGTCTGGAATCGAACCCGAGTCATCGGCGTGACGAGCGAACGCTTTGACCACTAGGCTACCCGACCTCCAGCTCTATAATGATTATTGCACGCTTTGAGAATATCTAACGTGACGGTGACGGACAGTAATAGCGCTCATATTCAATTGTTTCTTTTTTTCATTCATTTTTTGTTGTTGGCGTTTTTTGTTTTGCTTTGTTGGTTGTTTTGCGCCGCAATCAGCAATATTCCAGCTGTATGACGGCAGTCTGTAAATTGTCGAGCCCGGACCAAACGATCCAGTGATTGATATTATGAGCATAGACCCACACTGTCGGGTACGATGACACACCATCATCATAGTCACAGTGAGTGAGTGAGTGAGTACCCCGATTTTAGCAATATTCCAGCAATATCACGGCGGGGGACACCAGAAATGGGCTTCACATATTGTACCCATGTCGGGAATTGAACCCGGGTCTTCGGCGTCATAGTCACAGAGCCTGACCACCCGAGCCATGAAGTCGCCTCTAACGACCAACATAAGTTGCGGGGGACCCGGGGACCAATTCTAACCCGGAACCTCCTCCACGGGGACATGAGATCGTATTCCTCACAAACTGCCCACTAGCGATAAACTCATAAAACACATAAAATAACTACTTTGTCAGTTGAAAATGTTGAAAAAGGTCAAGGTCATATTTTCATCTTGAAGGTCATGGGCTGAAATGCATGACCTCGGTTGGTGTGGTGGCGACATTAATCAATGTTGAGGTTAAAGGTCAAGGGAGTTCGAGAAACGGTTAAATATGTTGTGTTTGATCGCAAAAAAAGAAGGGATAAATTAGTTGTATGGCATGACACTTGTGTGAGACTAACATGCAGAATATGAATACTTGTATCTAACATGCACATTAGATTATAATATAGGATCTACACATATGGGAATAAGGTATTATAATAACGCTTCCCTGGATACAGTAATCAAGAGCCTATTCGATTATAATTTACATGAAAAAGGTGTCTTTATAAAACGAATGATTTTTTTGCCGAAAGTACTGTTCACTGACATAAACCGCCGGGGAAAAGAAAGTATATACCAATGATTGAAGGTAGATAAAATGAAACAAGAAATTGGTATTCGATGGTGGTATTTGATACGGATATCCTAGTTGTGTGCGCTGTGAAGGCAACTGTTTTCGGCCAAGTAAAGTTTTGGTATCGTTTAGAATTTCATATCAAATTTTTTTCAAGTATATACTTTCTTTTTCGGTTTATAAATGTTCTCTTTTATGAAACCTGTATTTAGGGTAAGCATAGATATATCAACTGTATATCAACAGGCGTAAGGTATCCCATCGCTCTTGCATTGCAGACGTTCAAGCTGTTGATTCTCGCCGAAAATAACTGTAAATATTCATGGCTGATAAAAAAAATGCGGTGTATCCAGTGTGGTTTTGTGCTCGAGCCAGCACGTGATCGAGTGCATTGCAAGACAACGGTGAATCTATCTACAATACACAGAGTGGGGCTGTCTCATTACTCATATAATTGTTCCTCGGCCATTGGGCGTTATACCCCGAAGGTGGAAAGTAACTGTTCCCTGGAGAAAGAAGGGGGAGATGAAAACGACGAACACAAACACAATCATGAACACGTTCATGAACACGATCACAAACACGTTCATGAACACTATCGCAAAAAACACGTTCATGAACACTATCGCAAACACGTTCATGAACACAATCACAAACACGTTCATGAACACTATCACAAACACGTTCATGAACACAATCACAAACACGTTCATAAACGCGATCACAAACACGTTCATGAACACAATCACAAACACGTTCATGAACACGATCACAAACACGTTCATGAACACAATCACAAACACTTTAATGAACACGACCACAAACACAATTTTGAGAGAGACTAAAACACTACACATTAAAGACAACCCAATAATCTAAATAATAGAACTATTTGGATTTCAACTATGCAGTAGGACAATACAATTAGTTGGTCCATAGCTTCGCTAGAAACGATACAAGAGACAATGACTGCTGCAGTGCCATGAGAAGAACCTGGGTATTTCCACTATAACAGTTTCTGGGGTAGATTCTGACGTCATGTTTCATCAAGTACACCGGATGGCATTCACTTGGGATATAGTATCTTGTAAAAACACCAGCAGATAAACATAGATTAATAAATATTCAAAACGAGATTATTATATTTTAATATAAACCTTATGATTCATTACGTGTCTTGAAAGGTTCATGCAGCTTGACGTAAGAGGTTGATGGGTTGGATAAATGTCAACAAACGCTGAAATTCATTGAGCATAAAAGTCCGAAAAAACTGAATCTATTTGCAGTGACAGTTACTAAGTTGCACGTCACATAAAATAAAGATGTGAAAACGCCGCTTTAAACGCTATCCAGCAATATCACGACGGGACACTAGAAATGGGCTTCACACATTGTACCCATGTAGGGAATCGAACCCTCGTCTTCCGCGTGACAACGAACACTTTTACCCCTAGGCTACCCTATATATTATGTTAAAGCTAACACGTAGGTAGGGACCGAAAATGACGGAAATACTAAATTGTCCTCATGTTTACGTCGGACATATTGGCTGTTCTGAAAATAATGTGTGGAGTGTCCAAGAAATTATCTGCTGGCTCCCTTTCAGAGTAAACAACTGTATGTCGTGAAAGCTGACTAAATAATAGATAATGGAGGGTAGCTAGGATGGACGTTCATACTAATCATGTAATACTGATGATAAATATACAAGTGTACAAAATGGCAGCAGCTACATCTAACTATTCCCAGGTAACCTCTGGAGGGGAACTACAGTCTATATTAGTGGCCTATTCTAGGAGGCGAACACTGAAAACATTACAGCATCACATTTCTATACGGGAAGAGATCGTGTTTCAAAACAAAACCCATTGTACATCATATACAAAGTAATTTAACACTTACGATATTTACTTATAGTATCATCTGAAATGGATTCGAAACAACTGATGATAGAACTGTCTATGTCATACTTCTCTATGAGAGAAAGAGATAGAGAGAGAAAGAGATAGAGAGAGAGTGAGAGAGAGAGAGAGAGAGAGAGAGAGAGAGAGAGAGAGAGAGAGAGATTAAGATAAGCTTAAGGAAAGTAAAAGCTCAAGATCCATAAAAAGTTGTATTACATTCCTTTCAAAACTTTAATCACACACCGTAAATTAAGTGTGAATTGCTTTTACGTTTGTAATAAGGTAATGTTGTTCCCTGGTATTTCACATTTACAAAAATAAATAAATAATTTTTAAAAATATTTTTTGCAATAACGAGGGAGTGAATCAAAACTTAACGTCACATTGTCAGTATTTCAGCCATATAGTGACGAACATGTATCAATGAAACACGCAGTTCGTCCTCACGCGTTTAATATTGTCCTCGCTATTACGGTATAGAGAAGAAGCGTAAACACATAAACAGAACTCTGTGTGTCAAAACGCCCCTCTTATATATAGGCACGGATCATCTTAAATATACACGAAGGACATGTTATGAATATATAACACCCCTGAAGCTACTTGAAGCAGGATGTTAGTCCTTTGGATGGTGGTAGGCATGAAGCTATGTATCAGAAGGCTTTTCTTGTCGGGCAGAAAGGGTAGTTTCATGTTTCATCCTCGACGTTTGAGTTGTAAATAGCTTACGAGAACCTTACACTGTGGTTGGTGATCGAGGTCGGCTGTGTTGGAAATGCCAATACAGCTTTATTAACTAAATCAAGACAGACATTGTATTTTCACGTTGTCATTGTTTTCTTCATTCTTTGAATTGTTCATGGCATTACATTTTAATTACTGACTCTTCATCATTTTGATTTGCATCCCCTGTATTTTACGACTTTTGTCCCTTTAATGTATTATATCCATTTGTTTGTAAATGATCCATTATATATTTCAAAAGCTGTCTCATGAATATTAAAATAGTCGGTGCTTGTATGAAAGAAAACACAATTAATTTAACATCAGAAAATGCAGGGTGTGTAACCCATTCAACATGTACAGTATTCTTACCTTTTTGTACAGAATGTTTTGTTGCCGCTTAGAAATAGTTACAAGGTTACAAATCTATTATCATTAAGTAAGCATGTTAAAGTTGAATATAAATACTTTTCTGTCATCAACTGCCTTTATTAGTTTTGTGACATGATGACCTTGCATTATTTCATTTAGATATTTAAAACTAACATTTTGATAGGGGTAATGAGATAAGTCATATAATTTTTAAATAAATATACACTTGACATATTTTTTGATATTATGGAAAATATATAATTCGCCTTTCCAAAGTTGAGTGGTATAAAGCTTCTATTTGAGCATCCTGATTTCATCTGATGATTATACTTACAGCCTCCCTGAGCTTCCGCCAGACCTGCAACAACAGAGACAGCAAGAATATATTCCATAACCCTTCGGGTAAATTCAATCATGCTCGTTCCCCAAAGATTTTAAAGAGCGTCAAAACGTGTATTACAAACATGTGGAGGACATTTCGATATCTGATGCCATTCCCAAGTTTGTCTTGTACTATACGTTCCTGTGTTTTTTTCCGGTGAAGAATTGACTTGCCTCTGCATGCGTTTGTGACCGGCGTCCCTGGTGGTGCAGGACACGTTCCCCTAGATCATCACTATAACCTGCACTATTGTGTAGTGATTCATATATACATGCTCATGATATAGTCGGAATTGTACAGTGGGGTCTGATTGTAGCATATATTTCTTATGATTATAATAATAGTTTTATTACTGATGCTACAAATCAGGAATGACCTCCTCATATCGACTATAAAACATTTGAATGTTGTAACCCAGATCAAACAACGTTTGAGTCGTAAGGCGTCCTTTGAAATCTTCGACTGTGCGTCATAAGTTGTGTAATGTAGACACCCAAGTGCTGCTGGAATGATATTCAACATAAAGAGAAAGCTGACTGTTGGAAAGTTGAAGTCCCTGGCCATACAGTCTTGTTGAGTTGTTTGTGCTTGAATGTATTTAAAATAACATCTCGTCGGCTCATCATAATTCTCCCCAAGAAATGTTTAAAAATAATGTGTTGTGTTGATGCAATGTTTGAGTATTTCTATCGTTACACGAGTAGCATGCAATAAAAGCTAGGAAATTGTGTAATTTTGTATAATTTTGTATTAATTGTCTCGTGTTCGATGCTGAAGATAATAACGCATCTAATTCACACAGCGTTTCAATTTATCAATTTTTTATAGGTAATACGGCAAAGACTTACATTAACGCGTTCAAGCTATATACACAGCCAGGCAAAAGAAAGTATAGTCATGGAAATTGAATTTGATCAAAACTTTACAAACGTTACAAAAAGGCTACTAGGCTAAAAACAGTCGTCGAAAGTCCCAAACCACAGTGATACACATTTCATACATCACCATCGAATAACCATTTCTTGTTTGTTTCAGGTTTAGCCACCGTCAAACATGGCGTATACTTACTGTTGCCCGGTACTTAGTTCAGCTAAATCTTTGGCACATGCACAATCAATGAATCGCAGTTCAAAGTGATAAAACACAGTCCAAGCTACTAGAAACCTTCAATCACAAAGACAATATGTTTCATATCTACCTGTTAAACATGTCGACACCAGAGCTGAAAACAAGGAAAGGAATCATGAATAAATAATAAACAGGATTCTGTGGGGGAGGTTTATACATTGTAAAACTATAATAAACACGTTCATGCTCTGTCGGTTTATGCATGGTACAAGAATTATAAACAAGGGCCCATTGTGGCGCTTTATGCATTCTACAACTATCATAAACAATTCATGTAGTATCGGTTTATGCATTCTACAACTATCATAAACAAGGTCCTATTTTGGTGGTTTATGCATACTACAAGAATAGGCAACAGGGTCCTATTGTGGTGGTTTATGCATGGTACAAGAATAATAAACAAAGGCATAAAGTGGTGTTTTATGCATACTTCAAGATTAATCAACAAGATCCTATTGTGGTGGTTTATGCATACTACAAAAATAATAAACAAGGTCCTATTGTGGTGGTTTATGCATTCTACAACTATCATAAACAAGGTCCATTTTGGTGGTTTATGCATAATACAAGAATAGTAAACAGGGTCCTATTGTGGTGGTTTATGCATGGTACAAGAATAATAAACAAAGGCATATAGTGGTGGTTTATGAATACTACAAGAATAATAAACAAGGTCCTATTGTGGTGGTTTATGCAAACTACAAGAATAATAAACGAAGGCCTATTGTGGTGATTAATGCATGGTACAAGAATTATAGACTAAGGCATATTGTGGTGGTTTATGCATGGTACAAGAATAATCAACAGGGTCCTATTGTGGTGGTTTATGCATACTACAAAAAAAATAAACAAGGGCCTATTGTGGGTGTTTATGCATGGTACAAGAATAATTAACAAAGGCCTATAGTGGTGGTTTATGCATGGTTCAAGAATAATAAACAAGGCCCTAATTTGGTGGTTCATGCATTCTACATGAAAAAAAACAAGGACCTATTCTGGTGGTTTTTGCAAACTACAAGAATAATAAACAAAGGCCGATAGTGGTGGTTTATGCATACTACAAGAATAATAAACAAGGATATATTGTAGTGGATTATGCATTCTACAAGAATAATACACAGGGGCCCATTGAGATGGTTTATGCATACTACAAGAATAATAAACAAAGACCTATTGTGGTGGTTTATGCATACTTCAAGAATAATCAACAAGGTCCTATTGTGGTGGTTTATGCATGGTACAAGAATAATAAACAAAGGCCTATAGTGGTGGTTTATGCATGGTACAAGAATAATAAACAATGACCTATTGTAGTGGTTTATGCATTCTACAAGAATAATTCACAAGGGCCCATTGCGGTGGTTTATGCATACTACAAGAATAATAAACAAAGGCCTATTGTGGTGGTTAATGCAAACTTCAAAAATAATAAACAAACGCCTATAGTGGTGGTTTTTGCATACTACAAGAATAATAAACAAGATGCTATTGTTGTGGTTTATGCAAACTACAAGAATAATAAACAAAGGCCTATATTGGTGGTTTATGCATGGTACAAGGATAATACACAAGGGCCCATTGAGGTGGTTTATGCATACTACAAGAATAATAAACAAAGGCCTATAGTGGTGGTTTATGCATACTACAAGTATAAAAAACAAGGACCTATTGTGGTGGTTTATGCATACTACAAGAATAATAAACAAGGTCCTATTGTGGTGGTGTATGCATTCTACAAGAATAATAAACAAGGCCCTATCGTGGTGGTTTATGCATCGTACAAGAATAATAAACAAAGGCCTATAGTGGTGGTTTATGCATACTACAAAAATCATTAACAAAGGCCTATTGTGGTGGTTAATGCAAACTTAAAAAATAATAAACAAGGGCCTATTGTGGTTGTTTATGCATACTACAAGAATAATAAACAAAGTCCTATTGTGGTGGTTTATGCAAACTACAAGAATAATAAACAAGGCCCTATCGTGGTGGTTTATGCATGGTACAAGAATAATAAACAAAGGCCTATAGTGGTGGTTTATGCATGGTACAAGAATAATACACAAGGGCCCATTGAGGTGGTTTATGCATACTACAAGAATAATAAACAAAGTCATATAGTGGTGGTTTATGCATACTACAAGAATAATAAACAAAGTCCTATTGTGGTGGTTTATGCAAACTACAAGAATAATAAACAAGGCCCTATCGTGGTGGTTTATGCATGGTACAAGAATAATAAACAAAGGCCTATATTGGTGGTTTATGCATGGTACAAGGATAATACACAAGGGCCCATTGAGGTGGTTTATGCATACTACAAGAATAATAAACAAAGTCATATAGTGGTGGTTTATGCATACTACAAGAATAATAAACAAGGACCTATTGTGGTGGTTTATGCATACTACAAGAATAATAAACAAGGTCCTATTGTGGTGGTGTATGCATACTACAAGAATAATAAACAAGGCCCTATCGTGGTGGTTTATGCATGGTACAAGAATAATAAACAAAGGCCTATAGTGGTGGTTTATGCATGGTACAAGAATAATACACAAGGGCCCATTGAGGTGGTTTATGCATACTACAAGAATAATAAACAAAGGCCTATTGTAGTAGTTAATGGAAATCTTCAATAATAATAAACAAGGGCCTATTGTGGTGGTTTATGCATACTACAACAATGATAAACAAGGTCATATTGTAGTGGTTTATGCAAACTACAAGAATAATAAACAAAGGCCTATAGTGGTGGTTTATGCATGGTACAAGAATAATACACAAGGGCCCATTGAGGTGGTTTATGCTTACTACAAGAATAATAAACAAAGGCCTATTGTGGTGGTTTATGCACATACAAGAATAATAAAGAAGATCCTATTGTAGTGGTTTATGCATACTACAAGCATAATACACAAGGGCCCATTGAGGTGGTTAATGCATAATACAAGAATAATAAACAAGGGCCTATTGTGGTGGTTAATGCAAACTTAAAAAAAAATAAACAAGGGTCTATAGAGGTGGTTTATGCATACTACAAGAATAATAAACAAGATCTTATTGTGGGGGTTTATGCAAACTACAAGAATAATAAACAAGATCCTATTGTGGTGGTTTATGCATGGTACAAGAATAATACACAAGGGCCCATTGTGGTGGTTTATGCATACTACAAGAATAATAAACAAGATCCTATTGTGGTGGTTTATGCATGGTTCAAGAATAATAAAGAAGGACCTATTCTGGTGGTTTATGCATACTACGAAAATAATCAACAAGGTCCTATTTTGGAGGTTTATGCATACTACAAAAATAATAAACGAAGACCTATAGTGGTGGTTTATGAATACAACAAGAATAATGAACAAGGTCCTATTGTGGTGGTTTATGCATACTGCAAGAATATTAAACAAAGGCCTATTGTGGTGGTTTATGTATTCTACAAGAATAATAAACAAGGACCTATTGTGGTGGTTTATGCAAACTACAAGAATAATAAACAAAGGCCTATATTGGTGGTTTATGCATGGTTCAAGAATAATAAACAAGGTCTTATTGTGGTGGTTTATGCATACTACAAGAATAATAAACAAGGTCTTATTATGGTGGTTTATGTATACTACAAGAATAATAAACAAGGACCTATTGTGGTGGTTTATGCATACTACAAGAATAATAAACAAGGCCCTATTGTGGTGGTTCATGCATACTACAAGAACAATAAACAAGGACATATTGTGGTGGTTTATGCATACTACAAAAATAATAAACAAGGGTCTATATTGGTGGTTGATGGATACTATAAAAATAATAAACCAAGACCTATAGTAGTGGTTTATGCATACGACAAGAATAATCAACAAGGTCCTATTGTGGTGGTTTATGCATACTACAAGAATATTAAACAAAGGCCCATTGTGGTGGTTCATGCATGGTACAAGAATAATAAACAGGTCGTTTTGTGGTGGTTTATGCATACTACAAGAATAATAAACAAGGGCATATTGTGGTGGTTTATGCATGGTACAAAAATAATAAACAAGGCCCTATTGTGGTGGCTTATGCATTCTACAACTATCATAAACAAAGGCCTATAGTGGTGGTTTATGCATGGTTGAAGAATAATAAACAAGGCCTTATTGTGGTGGTTCAAGCGTACTACAAGAATAATAAAGAAAGGCCTATTAATATATGTGGTGGTTTGTGCATACTACAAGAATAATGAACAGGGTCCTATCGTGGTGGTTTATGCATACTACAAGAATAATAAAGAAGGTCCTATTGTGGTGGTTTATGGATACTACAAGAATAATAAACAAAGGCCTATTGTGGTGGTTTATGCATACTACAAGAATAATAAACAGGGTCCTATTGTTGTGGCTTATGCTTACTACAAGAATAATAAAGAAGGGTCTATTGTGGTGGTTTATGCATGGTACAAGAAATATAAATAAGGCCCTAATGTGTTGGTTTATGCATACTACAAAAATAATAAACAAGGCCCTATTGTGGTGGTTTATGCTTTCTACAACTATCATAAACAAAGGCCTATAGTGGTGGGTTATGCATGGTTCAAGAATAATAAACAAAGGCCCTATTGTGGTGGTTCTTGCATACTAGAAAAATAATAAACAAGGCCCTGTTGTGGTGGCTTATGCATGGTACAGGAATAATAAACAAGGACCTATTGTGGTGGTTTATGCATGGTACAAGAATTATAAACAAGGCCCTATAGTGGTGGTTTATGCATGGTTCAGGAATAATAAACAAGGATTTATTGTGGTGGTTTAAGCATACTACAAAAATGATAAACAAGGCCCTATTGTGGTGTTTTATGCATGGTACAAGAATAATAAACAAAGGCATATAGTGGTGGTTTATGCAAACTACAAAAAATAATAAACAAGGCCCTATTGTGGTGGTTTATGCATGGAACAAGAATAATAAAGAAGGACCTATTGTTGTGGATTTTGCCTGGTACAAGAATTATAAACAAGGGCTTATTGTGGTGGTTTATGCATGGAACAAGAATAATAAAGAAGGACCTATTGTGGTGGTTTATGCCTGGAACAAGAATTATAAACAAGGGCA